TAGAAATGTTGTACCTTAAATAAATAATATATAAATAGATATATGAAGCAGGATTTTTTTAAATATTTACTAGAAAAATATTCTATAAAACATAAAGATACTGTGTTATTCAAACAAATATTTTTATAAGGAAAAAATCTTGGAACAAAATAATCAAACACACTCAAATAAATTTCGGAAGAATCATTGGAAAAGTTAGAATGTTACGCCTCGCGGAGCACGAAAAACTGTTAACTTCAATACGGCTGAAAAAATGTTTGAAAGAAAATATAAATGTTTCAGATTATCAGTTGTTATAATATTAAAGAATATATAAGAACAGAAAAATATAATTAGTCGATTACAATATATAACTAAAGACTGTATGAAAACCGACTACAGTATAGTACATATTATTTTCTTCTACCTGACAATTTCCCAGCTTTAACCAGGGTCTACCTTAAATGTCGTAAATAGTTTTGGCTTATTGTTTTTACAACTGGCCGCCTGCCTGACATCAACCCTCTTTGGGAATGCATTAATCAGTGATGTCTAAATACTCTTAGAAAGTACATATGACTCGGAAAAATCACATTGGTACCTGCCAGGATCGAACCCGAGCCCTCATGCACGAGATGCGGGCCTTTTAACCACTAGGCCACCACTGACTGTAGTATATATTATATTGTGTTAAAATATTTGAGATGCATTAAAAAGCTTCATTTACATGACTTTTATTTAATCTCAATTGAAATATGTATATCGTAAATGATTTCATTATTCCAGCTAGATAAAGTAATAGTTTTAATCCGTGTAGACCGCGTTGTACCAACATAGATGGCGGAATCACTTTATTATTATTTTATAATGAGACTAGAGTACAGTAAATCGTGAAACACGGCAAAGCTAACTTTTGCTTAGAAAAACAGATAGATTTTAACGCGGAAAGTAGGCAAATATATCTCACAAGCTTTTCCATCATATAAATGATGTTACCACCTCAAAGGTAAACAGTATTTTTGTTGTTTTAATTCAAATAATAGCTTGTTTTTTCAACCTAAAATTATCATATACATATATAAAGATTTTCAATTTGATGTCTCAGAAACAGAATTCCAGCGTTTCTCTGACATATTCCACTGTTTTTTTAAACATTTTATTAGTTATATTATTTTAACTGGAATAATATACTTACGAAAATGAATTACTTTATGAACATTCATATTATTCGTCTGAAGTTAGTTTTCTAAGTTGATCATTAAGTGACTTTTGCAAGCGCTACTCAAATTTTCAATCGTTATATTTAATAAAGAAAATGTTTTACACTTGACTTCGTCTAGTTTGTGTTAAATCAATGTACCGAATAAAAATTATTTCAACATCTAAAAATACCATTCCTAAAATTTTTCAAACATATTTCTTCTAAAAATATACACAACAATGATTTTTTTTAGTAAATTAAGCCAAACAATTTCTTAAGAATCCAAATATGTATTTTTAAACAGACGTTTCTTTGTTATTCCGAGAACGGGATGACGTCACAAAATAAGAACGCCAACATGGCGGCTTTAAATCTACAGAATATTATATTAATTAAAATGGTTTATTTTCAGCTCATATTTAATATAATTTTGAAACTGCTATATTAATTTTCGTTTAAAAATTATTCGTAGAGTTAATTTAATAATATAAAAATATCATGCATATTCCTTTTAAGAGGAAAAAGTACCTGTGAGTAGGTACATATATATTTTTAAGGCAAATAATATAGCAAGTATTTTAATAGTATTTCCCAGCAATAGCAGGGATGAAATAGAATTAGAAGAAACGAGGGATTAAATGAAAACAATTGGAGTCGAAGCAATCAAATCGTGCCACGTTACTGTAGCCTTTGACAGGGGATCAGTGCGGGCTTCCACTTAAAAAGACCGCCATTTTGATTAATACGCCATTGCATTAGCTTCTCATTAAATTCGCAATTTTCGTTATTAAATTCATTCTTATAAATGAAACTAATATTTGAGGATTACTTTTTTGTTTTATTATTATAAAAAATACATACTCCCGACGTTATGTTTACTTTTCAGCAACCGTGATCACGGACAGACGAGATGTGTATCAGTATAATCCGAAAAATATTAGTTTCATTTAAATGAATACTCACGAAAACTTTAGATCTCTTTATTCTTTTATCCAAAAATTTATGTCAGATAGTATAATGTAATATTGTTACTTGCATATGTATAGAAATACTGAAGAAGAGAAATTAGCATGTTATTGGTGGCGCGTTATAAAAATAAAAGCGTAGTACATATTATTAATATACAATGTTCTTTGCAATACAGTGTTAATGAAGCTAAATAATTTTTATGTATTGTTTAAATATTAGTATTAAAAAAGTAATATTTCTAAGAATAATAGTACCTACATTTAAGTTCTGTCAAAACCGTAAGTGTTGGAAATATAATAAAAATTTTAAATAACATTCTATAAAAAATATTTATTTAAACTTAAATATTGTTCTCGATTGTCTTTGTGAAAGAGTTCTGAGTAATTAGGACAATCAATATGTCCTATTCCTTTGGGATTTAAAATCAATAATGAACTAAGTGTAATCTAAGGTGATTAAGGTCCACAAATTGCCGGGAGTTGTTCAGAACAAACTAATTACTAGCCAGGGACTTATCTAATGTACGTTAACTAAAGTGTAAGAGCTAACCACAACTTATCAAATAGATTAATTTTGACAAAAGATATTCTTATTTATAATTTAAATAAGACTATACGAAGTTCGTTTTAATGATTTATATTGTCCCGTTATATTTAAAAAAACATATTATGAGACGAAACCTTTTAGCATTCCATGTATTCACCGTGCCGGTGCCGGGTCCATCGCGTTGTAGTGAGAGGAGCCTCAACAGTGCCTGGGACTTGTGACCCAGGTGTAGGTTTAAGGGGCCCTATCTAACGCGCGTTAAACGCTCACCTCCAGTGTCCAAGCTCCTCTATTTACCTAACCAAATTTGAAAAGAACCTACTAGGGTTACTCTAATACTTATATGTGAAAGACGTAAGTATAGTTTCAATAAAATCTGTCAAATATTTATTTATATGTTATATTACTTGTTTTATACAAAGTAAGCTCTTACATCATGTTCCATCTAATTTATATAAGGTTCGGGTGAAGTTCTGTTTATCAGTTTCGTGTCTTGAGGTCGGCCTTGGGAAGGTCAGAAGCAGATTACAAGGTTAATGGTTGATGTTTGTGATGGAGAGCTCTGTAGGAGCCACTTTACGAGTGTACATACTCCTAGTAGAAGCTAAATGTATCCCACGAGAAACAGTACTGATTTGTACATATTACAATGATAATATAGGATGGAAGTCATAATATTTTAATAAATAGCCATTTTAATATTGTTTCTCAATAAGACGTGAACATATTTCGAGTAACTTCTTAAATTAATAAAGTTTTGAGTGAACGAATTTACTTTGGCTCGATTATTTGTTCTCAATGTCTGAACGTATTTAATTTTGAAAATGAAGAGCAAAAATATTTTTATATATGTTTATATTAAATTATATATACAGTACTATGTCTATGTATTATGTAAGAATGCGTATGTAGTAAATTTGTTTATGATACTGACACCTAAATATTTAATGTTTTACTTTCAATCTACGTTTGTTTTTATATTTTTCGAAATAAATCTTTTTCGACTAGTCTGCAGCTGTTAGCTCTAAAGACTTTGACCGTGTTACTGACGAAGATGTGTAATCCGAAGGGGTAAGTCCCCTTTGAATTAGATAGCGTAGGATTTATCTCAAGGGCCCGCTTGAGTGAGTCCTTCCAAAAATTGATTTGAAGAAGACAGGCATCGTTGAATAGAAGGTGGAATTGAAGGTGGCATCAGAGAAACATGTTTCAATTGAGTTATAGAGACTTCAATGTCCATATAGTCAGTCATAACTTTGTCGTCAAAGAAGAAGAATACCTTTTTGAACGTTTATTGCCTGTCAGGGTGTTGGCGACAGAAGATTAAATCGGCAGTTTGACGACGTAGGTTCAAATGTTTTATTAAAGTCTCGAAAAATCATTTTGGTATATGGGGTTCACGTAATAAACTAGAGTATCTGATGAACTATAATTTGCAGCACCTACAGTTTCTTAATAGTTGAACGATGAGTATCAACGAAACAACATGTCGTTTATCGTACGTAGGTACGTAGGTATTGTCGTTTCAAAATATAACATTTGAAAGATAGTGGATGAAGATTTATAAACTATGACAAACCAAAAAATAAAATTAGTATTATGGCTTTTTATATTACTCTAGTAGTTTCTTTTTTTCTTTTAATCAATCTTTTCCATTCAAGATTTTTTATTCGATTATTTATTTCTAAGATATATTTATGTATTACGTTTAAAATATAAAGAACAGACAATTAATTACTAATTAGATTTAATTTGTGTTGCATCAAAATAACTTCATCAGTCTTGTGCCAACAGTTTGTAAATCGTACCAATTTACTAAGAATTTTTTAATTAATAACTAGAAGACCTGGCGAACTTCGTATCGCCCTATAATCAAGAAATATCTATTACGTTTTTTTATTTATATTTTTTGAGTTTACCTGTAAGCCATAAATCTCCGTGTTTTGAAGTGCGACAGAATGATTGACATATTAGTTAGTTGTCAAATCTAATGTCAAAAAAACGTTTGTATGGGAAATAGAAAAGGGCTGTTTTTATGGTTTTCCCAGAAATGAATCAATTTTTTTTCAGCTTTTATACCTTCCCTGAACCTCCACGAACATTTCAAGACCAAGATAAGATAAATCCGTTCAGCTGTTCTCGAGTTTTAGCGAAACTAAGGAACAGCAATCCATTTTTTTATATATAGAAGAGAAGATAAATTATAAATGAATAAATATTTAAATGAAACATAATATTCAAATAATATTTTAATACAAATCATTTATAAGTCTTTATTTAACAATACATTATGTCTTCGTAACATTTATCCGGAGGGACCTCCTTTAACGGACGCCTTCAGCCGATTATTTTCTTCGACTAAAGCCTTTACTCTTAACTCGTATTTCTCTCTTAATTCCTGAAAGAAGAAAATATTTTACCTTATAAAGTACATACTGTCTACACAGCAATTATAAGGCCTATTTTTAAAGCGAAAAAAGTAAAATATAATAATTTTTTTTTTTTCATAAAAATCATCGTCATTGTGAGTATTTTTTATAATAGATTTTCTGTTATGAAAATTCAATATATATTTATAAGTGGTTAGAAGACCTATTTTTTAGGTACAATAAAGGAATATAATAATTTATTTTTTTTTCATAAATATCGCCACCGTCATTGTCAGGATTTTTTATAGGAGATTTTCTTTTATAAAAATTCTAAATATATTTCATTCAAAGTCATTAGAAAACCTTTTTTAAGGTGCAAGAAGGAAAAATAATAAAAAATATCATCATTATTACCACCATCATCTATGATAAGCTTTCTTTTATGTAAGGTCAATATATATACATATAATGCATATATCTAAATAAAATGTAGAGTGAATAAGTCATATGTAATTGTTATACTATAGTGATCTCGTCTGCACGTGATCACGGTTGCTGTAAAGTAACCGAAACGTCGGTAGTGTGTAGTTTTTACAAAAATAAAGTCACATAGTACATCCGAAAAATATTAGTTTAATTTCAAAGAGAGAACCTTTCAAAAGTCTGTGATAAAAACTATTCTATGTTCTTTCTCAAGGTCAACTCTATGTCTGTACCAAATTTCATTAAAATCAGTTCAGTGGTTTAGGCGTGAAAGCGTAACAGACAGACAGACAGAGTTACTTTCGCATTTATAATATTATTGTTATGTACCTTGAATATAGCGAGTTGTGTTTCATATTCCTTTTTGAGGTCATCGTTAATGTTGGAGCTTGTCTGAGCTCTCTTCAACACGAGGTCGTAACGCTCCTTCTCTCCTTTAAATCTTGACTCCAGAGCTTGGAAACGATCCTACAAATCGATTTAAAAACCACTTAAATAAGACATATATGTAATTTATAATTAAAAATAAATCAAAGGAAACACAAAAAATACAATTTAATTGCTATTATTTCGATAAAAATTACTAAAATAATATAAATCTGTAATTTTGATAGATATCGAGATTTGAAACCTAGAAAAATATATTATTATAAAAATAGAAAGAAACATTAATAAATACAAACAGGATTTGAACCCGCTACATCCACTATACGTTTTTCATTTGCTTCTCAAACTAAACTATCGTGCCATGTGAATAATTGTATATGAATTTTAATTCAACTGAATTCTTAATATTAATTTTAAACATATAATTTGGTATAATTAGGAGTATATATTTCATTGTCAAGTACATATACATATATGTAACCATATTTTTTGTTAAACGTATAAAAAGACGCAATCAAATGTATGTATTTCTTTGCAAGTATGTAGCTATAAAATCCTTCATTATAAGTACTTCCACATAAAGTTTAATTCAATATAATAATAGGAGTATACAGGGTGACTGGTGAATTACTATCAATATTTAAGGAGAATACTCGGTACATGATTCTCATTCGAATTATGTAAAAAAAATAAGTACTTAATTTTTGACCAAATTTCCGTATAAATAAATAAAGTGAGGACACGTTCCAAGTGTTCCAAGTGTGGACGCGTGCGGCGGCGTGCTGATACAACACCACGCCGCCAAACGCGTGTGTGTGTGTATGTGTGTGTATACCTAATCTGTAGGGTGTTCACACGATGCGTAATTAATTACATAACTTTTGGCTAACTTTACTTAGAAGTTTATTAATATTTATGTTATATTAATTTTTATTTTGTCATATATGATCGTCAAATATCACGTCCTCAAATATCGATAGTAATTCACCAGTCACCCTGTATATCTTTGTAAGTATATATATATGTGTGTGTGTGTGTGTGTACCTACCTCCATAGCCTTAACCTCCGAGTTCCTGATCTCCAACAAGTCCTTAGTGATCTGATTGATATCCTTCAGTGACTGTACCTGTGTGGAGAGAGCCTCTATCTGTAGTTCTTGGTTCTTCACCATCTTCGTCTTGTCGAAGATCATTCCTTTCGCTTTACTTAGCAACTGTGGATGAACCATATGTTTAGTTATATATAGTTCAGCACTTTTGTAGTTTTACGTTACTTAAGGTACGCATAAGTTAAAAAAACAGAGATTACAATTAGAAATTCTTTGTAAAAATTCCAAAATGCTTTATAAATAGAAAGCATTTGATAATTAATATCGAACGACGATAACTAATATGATCTAAGCACAATCCTGGCGTGTGAAAGTATTTTAAATAAAAACCAAAAAGATAAACCATCGGATTATTAAAGACCATAATGAGATCTAAAACTTTTACCAGTATTCATTTAAATGAAATAATGTTTTCGAATTGCTAAATTTTATTTCATTATTTCAATACTATACAGGGTGACTGGTGAATTACTATCAATATTTAAGGAGAATACTCGGTACATGATTCTCATTCGAATTATGTAAAAAAATAGGTACTTAATTTTTGACTAAATTTCCGTATAAATAAATAAAGTGTTGAAACGTTCCAAGTGTTCCAAGCGTGGACGCGTGCGGCGGCGTAGTGTTGTATCAGCACGCGTGTGTGAGTGTGTGTGTATACCTAATCTGTAGGGTGTTCATATGATGCGTAATTAATTACATAACTTTTGGTTAACTTTACTTAGAAGTTTATTAATATTTATGTTTTATTAATTTTTATTTTGTCATATATGTCGCGCCGGGAGATTCATCATACCAAGAAAATAAGCCTTTCCGCGAATTCGTTTAAGTTTTAATAATTGTTCTAAGAAACCATTGTAAATGTTTTCAAATTACCCACTTCATCAATGTAAATAGTCTTAACAAAATATCAGGTGATTATTTTTGTTCAAGTACCTACAATTGTAAAACAGAATCTACCATATAAATGTCCGAGCATAATCATACTGAATTAATTCTACATTGGTCGCTCTTAGGGGTCACTCTGGTAGAATCTCTGCTAAACAATTCTTGAGTCATTGTGGGAATTTGTTAAGCAATAAACGAGTAACATTATAAGTAAAGACCCTCTTTTCTTTAAAATGGAAACCCGTGCTACGTCGCCGATATACCAAACGCCCGGACCCGAAAGCCTTTCAAGGTACTAGGCTCTTGGTCTCTTCCACGAGGATCCCCTCGCTCTCACATCAGAAGCGAGGACGTCTCACGCTTCACATTCAACCGCCGGATCGTCTACATGAAATCGCCTGGTTCGACATACAACTCTGCACGAGTTATTGGAAATGCAGGTGACAAAAGTTAAGTACTCTCACCGTATCTATAATAATTTCTGTCCAAAACAGACCTCCCGTTTCAAAAACAACCTCCCGTTTCTCTTCAAACAAAGACCTTTCGATTAGGTCTAGCTCATTTTGTAATAGATCCAAAACAATGTCACTCCTAAGGAGATTGCTATTTTTACAATAATGCTAATTGTAAATATGTACTCGTATCGTACGAGGTGACAAAGAAGCCCATTTGTACATACTGTTCTAAAATTAGAACACGCTTTAGATAAAGGTGTCTAAAAACTAAATATAGTGTTAGTAATAATTATTTATAATGATTTAAATATTTATCTACTCCACAAAGCCATAAAATTTTATAAAATCACCTATTCCCAGAATCATTAACCAAGAAAAACTATTGAACGGTCTTGCAGGGTGTATTACAAAAATTCATTTAAAATTTTTCTCGTGTTCACGACACCTCTTTAGCTGCAACCAAAGGTGAAAATTGAAACTCAGGTCACGAGATTGTTTGTAAAATCATAATAAACTTCTTAACAGCTGTGTCTGTTCTCTCCATACTTAAATAAAACGATCCTATAGAACTATATACTTAACAGGCAAGAGAGGGGGCGTTCGTCTGAATTCATCTTTAATTAACAAATACGGCTTCTATTCCACGCTCTAATTTATTAGGATAACGGTTATACAATAATCAACTCTAAATAATCAGACACCACGCGGATATAAATGGATTAACCCTAGGAACGTGGTGAACTCCGTACCAAGTCTTTACGTCGACAGCTTGTCAATATCTTCATATTGCCAGCGCACATTCCGAATACACCCAAGTCAAATGTCGGCTTGACGTTCCTTTATTTCTAACCTCCAACCTACTGATACTGATCTCTTGGTTACGAGGTATTACTAATTCAGGTCCTAATTACTAAAAGAACCATCAGCATGCTGTTGCTCATATGAGCATACGAACCACTGATGCTGAGAATAGTTAGCATTTGTAGGAACTTCAAACGTCTTTAAAGGACTCATTTCTTTTATGATAAAAATTCAAAATACCAACAGACTTTAACTCTTCGAAAGGATCTAATTATGAAGTAGATTCTCTTTCAATCTATTCACCTTTTAATAGGTTTTCTTTAAAAGAATTAGATTCATGTGTTGATTATAGGAAATGTGTTAGACTACAGAATGCGTACTTCTTTATTCGGAATCCTATTCATTTCAAAGAATCCGTGGTGAATATTATGACCTGATACTTCGCGTGTTTAACAATAGAATTGAGAAGAGATCACGCCTTAAATTTAATCATGGACCAAGCTATTGAGGAGCGTTCTAATACTGACTGCTCTCTAAGAAACGAGTTCCTCAAGAAAGCCATAGAGTATTCCATTGTGGGACCACAACAATGTACTGTTGTGTCAACTGCTTTCCAGTAATGTCTTAACATGTTTGATTGAGGAAAATATTCTTTAAAATAAAAGAATCCTATTGGTTAAATAGAAAATAAGTCTTATTCACACTTCTATAAATAGATTGTCTAATCCATATTTTATCAGTTTCAGAACAATTCCGGTTGCATCCCATACACAACACTCATCACCGTTTGAAGTTATCTAAATGTCCGTTGCTGGTAAACTACAAAAAATAACAGGAACACACAATCCTAAAGTAATCATGTCTATGTCAAATATATTCTAAGAGCTAGCAACGTTTTTGAACAAGAATTTCAGGTAGGCTAGTTTTTAGATATTGCTATCTCTCACACTCACGTCATACGGGCTATCTGGCTGACGGTAGTGGTTGCGTTCATCAGTGCGCATCGTACTTGTGCAGGTAAACGAATTATTATTTCAAATCATTTTAAAAAGGTTTTTTATTATTATTATTATTTTTATTGAACTATTCACAACATAAATTTATTATTACCAGATATTTTTATTGTTGTTTAAACGGTGCCAATCGGCAATGTTGAATTGAATATCATGCTATTTAACTATCTAAAGGCTCAGAATTAATTTGCCAGATAAAAAATCGGTTGTTAAACCTTTTGCCAGATCGAAATAAAGTGTAAAGAGATGTAGTATCATTTAGCTAGGTCTAGAAAATTAATCGTCTAATAAATGATGGAAGAAGGATTAAAAACTATTGAATTTATTTATTGATGAATACGGTATAAAAATAATACTTTATTGTTGTACAAAATTGAGATAATAAATAAATAGATAAATACGTGTTACTGTATTGTGCATAGACAAAAGTCACTATAGTATTTTGGCAACTTTAGAACAAGTGATGCATTTACTTGGTTGTTTCGATACACCAAAAGAAATAATCGTTGACGAGGCTAGTAAGTTGATAGGAGAGAATAAAACTTTATGTGATAGTTTTGGAATTAATATTTTTGCCGTATAGCCAGGTATTAGCCGAGCAAATGGGGATCGGAACAGGCTGAGCTTTCAACCACTGGCCTCTACAGCCTAGTTTCCATCAGCCACGACGGGAACAGTGACTCGCTTCAGGGTGCCGCGTTACCTGACGCGATAACCGTCTATTGTGGTATACGAAATTCAGAGAATGGTACCTCTGAGTTTAACATGTGTTAATACTCTAATATTAATAATCTAATAATAAGCTAACCTCATAACCATGATGTATCCGTATGTGAATTGTGAACCATCAGATTTTGTAGGGACGCCTTGCTGAGCTATCAGAAGTCAAGTGTACATCACAGATCTGGAGTATTACCTCTGAGCTAATCACGTGTTACCCTCAAGCTAACCTCGTATCCATATGAGAACCATGAGATTCTGTAGGCATGCCTTGTGAAGCCGTGAGAAGACACGTATACACCAAAGAGTGGTACCTCTGAGCTAATCACGTGCTATCCTTGAGCTAACCACAGGTCCTTGATGTATCCGTAAGAGAACCATGAGATTCTGTAGGCATGCCTTGTGAAGTCGTAAGAAGACACGTATACACCAAAGAGTGGTACCTCTGAGCTAATTACGTACTATCCTTGAGCTAACCACAGGTCCTTGATAAATCCGTAAGAGAACCATGAAATAATGAAGGGACGCCTTGTGGGACCGTGAGGAGACATGTAAACACCGTAGATCTGGGTTGTTACACCTTTATGCTAATCATGTGCTAGCCTTTAGCTTACCACGGTTTTGTTGTATCTTTAAATAACGTACGGATGCCTTAAGTATTCATGAGTAGTCTTGTAGTCACTCGATTGTAAGAACTTACAATATCTGTTTACTTTATGTTTTCAAACAGTAAGGGATTGGATCTCGTAAAATCTAGTAAACCCTACGAGATTTTTAATTTCTTTTTGATAATGATCGCTATACTTATGTTACAGGAGATGACCACAAAAGGTTGCTAACCCACACAAACGGATGGCAGTGTCGCATATTGATAAGTGTGATGACAACAAGCTTATGAATAGCACCGAAAACAAAATCTACAATATTCTACAAACCGATGGCATAACACGTGTAGTGTATGCACATCACATCTATGAAATTCTGCTAACACGATGGCATGACACGTGTAGTGTATGCTCATCACATCTACAAAAAAAAAAAAAAAAAAAACAAAATCTACAAACCGATGGCATGACACGTGTAGTGTATGCTCATCACATCTACAAAAAAAAAAAAAAAACAAAATCTACAAAAAGATGGCATGACACGTGTAGTGTATGCACATCACGACATCAACAAAATTCTGCAACTACAAAAGTAATTAAAATAATAATAATTTCAGATTTGATGCATCTCTGATTGGATCTCAACTCCTCATGATAGCGAGACGTTGGCGCTGAGCACGCACCAACCGTCAGTATGGCCGTGTCGCGCCGGGAGATTCATCATACCAAGAAAATAAGCCTTTCCGCGAATTCGTTTAAGTTTTAATAATTGTTCTAAGAAACCATTGTAAATGTTTTCAAATTACCCACTTCATCAATGTAAATAGTCTTAACAAAATATCAGGTGATTATTTTTGTTCAAGTACCTACAATTGTAAAACAGAATCTACCATATAAATGTCCGAGCATAATCATACTGAATTAATTCTACATTGGTCGCTCTTAGGGGTCACTCTGGTAGAATCTCTGCTAAACAATTCTTGAGTCATTGTGGGAATTTGTTAAGCAATAAACGAGTAACATTATAAGTAAAGACCCTCTTTTCTTTAAAATGGAAACCCGTGCTACGTCGCCGATATACCAAACGCCCGGACCCGAAAGCCTTTCAAGGTACTAGGCTCTTGGTCTCTTCCACGAGGATCCCCTCGCTCTCACATATATGATCGTCAAATATCACGTCCTCAAATATCGATAGTAATTCACCAGTCACCCTGTATACTCCTGACGCTTAGGTTACTTTACAGCAATCAGCATTACGTAGTAATCCGAAAATATTAAATTTATTCATTACTACCATTTTTGCAAAAAGTTGTAAGTATATTTTTTAATATTCAATAGCTCAATTTTTTTTAATTATATAATTTAGTCATTGTTATATAAAAGACAAATCTTTAACTTAAAAATCATATTTACTTGAATTTATGAATAAGGAATTCAGTGATACAAAGAAATGTATAAAAGACAGAATTTGTACACAAAGTGTAAATTTTGAGAATAGTCTGTCTGAAATACTGAAATACGTAAAACCCCCAAGTTATATCGGCAAAGATAGTATACAAAGTATAACATTATTTAAATGAAACTCACATCTCGTCTTAATGATCACGATTGCTGAAAAGTAACCGAAACGTCGGGAGTACGTAGTTTTTTTACAAAAATCGCGTAGTATATCCGAAAAATATTAATTTCATTTAAATGACTCGCGAAAATCTTAGATCCGATTATTACATCATCATCATCAGCCTATCAGAAGCCCACTGCTGTAAGGCCTCTTCTAATATAGAGAAGGTTAGAGCATTAATCACCACGCTCGCTCAAGACGGGTTGGTGATTTCAAACTTATAATTGTGAAATTACAAATCTATGTTTCCTCACGATGTTTTCCTTCATCTGTCAGTGATGTCTAAATACTCTTAGAAAGTACATATGACTCCGAAAAATCACATTGGTACTTGCCAGGTTTGAACCCGCGCCCTCGGCAACGAGAGGCGGACCCTTTAACCACTAGGCCACCACTGACGAAAAACATTAGTTTCATTTAAATGAATACTCGCGAAAATATATTATTTCATATTTAAATATAATTTCAATCATGTTTATTCTTAAGACTGACTACTCACCTCCTCGTGTTGTTGTTTGATCTTCTCAATCATTTCCTGATTCTTTCCTCCTGGTTTTGATAGCGCCGCTTGTAACTCTGTCTCCAAGTTCTTGACCCTAGCTTTAAGAAGATCTATCTCTTCTTCACGTACCTTAATAAAACTCATTTATAAACCTATAGCTATGTACCATATTTAGGTGTATTTTAATGAAGTTACTTTCCTAATAAATAAAGAAATATATGATCTTACAATAATCAAAAAAAAATCGCTTAAATTGTAATTCTGTAGTTTTATATATTGTTTTTTACGAACATCACAAAAGTAAAAAAAAAATGCAAAAAAATCGATCATTTTAAAGACCTTTCTGATATATTTTCATACTAAAATACTACGTATATCACAAATATATGTATATACATATTTTGTGCCATATATATTATTGAGTTCACCTTCAGTTCCAACATCAATCCCTCAACACTTCTCTCACTCTTAACCTTCTCCAATTCTTCAATCTTCTTCAACAGATCCTGTTCTCGTTTCTGCCAGTCTGACTGCAAACATGCAAAGACTTACATCAGCAAAAATACTCTTTTACTTCGGAGATTGAAACTGGGAAATATGTATTAAGAAAAAGTCTACGATTCTTAGGCTATGTTTTTTTATGTTAAAGAGGCCAACCGAGCAGACGGCCTAAATGATGGAGGTAGTACCGTCGCCCATGGACATCAGAAACAGTTTGTGGATGTGTTGCCAGCCCTGATTAGGGAAGAGGGGGAGGAAAATGTGGGAGGGTGGAAAAAGGAAGGGGCAGGAAAGGGTAGAGGGAAAGAGCAAGGGTAACCGGCTCTCTCACTCATCGGACGAAACGCAGCCATTAAAGGCTACTTCACGCCGATCTTCTGTGAGAGGGTGATACTTCCCTGGTTGAGACAGACCATGTTCGAGCTGTAGTAACTGACCACAGCTAGGCTCTACCACCTACCATTTAAAGACTTATTTGACTTTATTTTCTAACTTACTAATTCCTCAGGTTTTGATGGTTCAGATTTCGCTTCAACTGTTGACTCAGTGACGTCAGATTTCTTTCCCTCTTCAGGTACTTCAGACTTCCCAATCAACTCCTTAACCAGAAGAAAAAATGACATACAATTACTTATGCTAACTTTTTACACTTTAGATCTCATGTAATTTTGTTAAACATTATTTTTCTTTATCTTAAACATATATATACAGGGTGACTGGTGAATTACTATCGATATTTGAGGACGTGATATTTGACGATCATATATGACAAAATAAAAATTAATATAACATAAATATTAATAAACTTCTAAGTAAAGTTAACCAAAAGTTATGTAATTAATTACGCATCGTGTGAACACCCTACAGATTAGGTATACACACTCACTCACACATACGCGCGCGGAGGCGTGTTGTTGTATCAGCACGCCGCCGCACGCGTCCATACTTGGAACACTTGGAACGTGTACACACTTTATTTATTTATACGGAAATTTTGTCAAAAATTAAGTACCTATTTTTTTTACATAATTCGAATGAGAATCATGTACCGAGTATGCTCCTTAAATATTGATAGTAATTCACCAGTCACCCTGTATATATATATATATATTATATACCTGTTTATTATCAAGAGCTGCGCTATCTAAGTTGTTCTTGATCTGTTCTCCATCGCCGACCTGCGGAGACTCCGGCTTCTGTTCTTGAGCATCTGCCTACATTAAGAATATTTGATACCTTAGATTTATCAATTGATAAAATTTCGTCGATTTATAATACTAACCATGGAAAAAAATCACATTAATAATATAATGTTTAAAGTAAAATTGCTAAGTAACACGAGAAATTCAATAAAATAGGTCTATTTTCATGGTAGTCTAAGTGGAAATACCGTAGTAAAAATTTTATAAAGTAATCTCCCTTATCCGAGTATTCCTACAAGGCGTTTCATGTTCCACGTTTACTGTTTGTCATGTTTCGCATGAAATATTCATATCAAACTTAAAGCTTTACATAAATTAGTGAAACTTTTAATGCGCAAGTCATAACACGTAAAGCACGCCGCTTTGAGAATAATTTATGCAGATTATAATGTCAGTGTATTTATAAAGATAAGTCTTGTATACTAGAAATATACGAGAAAATCAAAAGAACGTAGTAGATGGAGTATTTCTTCGTTTTAACAACTTTACTTTTGCATCGGTGTTAATACCTTAGTGTCACGAAATATTCTAACTTTAGTCCATAAAGACCTCATATCAATTCCTTCCGAACCCTCTAATATAGACAACAATGTTGTACTAAATTCATGATTCTCCATTAAAGTTACATTAAAAGCACATTTGTAAAGAAATACGATGACTTGACAATTATTTTTTTTTATATTAAAATTATAATAAGGTAGGTACCGAAAAGGTTAAATACTTACCATAGTGCTGTCGAAAATTAGACTTATTAACTTATCGGTATCTAATTGTTAGGATAATGAATTTATCAGAATTCTTGTAGATGCAAACGACGCACAAAATTCAGTGAAACTATCTATTTCAGGAGTTGGAACGCGTGCGTTTAAAAATAGAGTACGGTTGAGAACGCTCTCTACGCTCACAACGATTCACTACTTTCGCGCGTAACTTTCGATTTGTGAGTTAACATATGATTAATTTGAGACAACACTATTCAGCCAAGATCTGTAGTATTTACTAAAGTATTGGCTATCATTTAAAAAATTATATTTACAATTTAAAGGTATTCCTTTGTATTCAAAAATTAAAAATAAGTTATAAATTATTTTTAAATTAAGTACCTTTCTTATAATTGAAAAGAGCCACTTTCCTTACCATATTTCTTAACTAAAAATCACTTTACAGAAAGACTTGGAATCTTTATAACTTTCAAGACTTTACAAAACCTTACAGCAAAAAGTGACATCTTAGTATAACATATCCTTATAAAGAAATTTCATAGCTACAAATAAAACGCCGTCATGCCTTCACACTCATGATTAAATTTCATTTTTATGGAATATTAACAAGCTTTATAACATTACTTCAATTCCAATGACTTGTTCTCAGAATTTTATTACAACCTTATTAGTAGAAACGTAAAAGAAAGAGGGCAATATAAATAAAAATATCGAAATAAAGACACTTGATTTGTAAATAATTTAGTGTTTAAGGATGTAATTCAAAAATTTGGTTAACTCTGATGTAATGTATGAAACAAAATTTTTCCCCATTACAAGTCATAATATTATGATTAACATATTATAGCAATAACTGTAAAAAAATACTGTAATTTAAAATACTTTAACAGAAAAATAATACCCAAAACTAGTTACAACTTTATTATATTTTCAATGTATCCAAAATTTGAGCTTGGAGTAATTGAAAATATCGAAAAATGTTTAGTTCACCTCAATTGAATTTTAATACAACAAAGTTTATGAATGTATTCTTTTTTTAACTTTACTAACTTATCATACTCAACTTTTCTGCAAAAAACCTAATATGCCTTTTCTTTAGAAAAGAAAATGACAACACCGTTATCTCTTGTCACCATGACAAATAGAACATAGTTTTTAAATTCGTAGGTAACTGGTTTGAAATTGAAAATTATAAACAGATTTATTTATTACCACTAAAATTACCAAGTAATATTTAAAAGTACGTCAAAATAGATATACTGTAAGAACAGAAAAATCTATTTATCATATGGTATAATATAACGGCTTAAAATGTACATTTGTTTTTGTTCATAAGATTTATTTTTCAGTTAATGATGACATCAGAAAAAAACGCTCAAATCAGCCAAGCCAGGGAAACGTTCCAAATACTGTATCAGATATCACAACTCCTCAGCACCGGTTTGGACACGGAAACCCTCACAATATGCATCAGATTGTGTGAATTGGGCGTTGATCCAGAAGTTTTGGCTCACGTTATCAAGGAGATACGAAAAATGGGAGAAGCCACCGTACACGACAAACCAGCAAACTTACAAGTATAAATAATGATGTTAAAAATAGTCTTAAAAGGTTGAACCAGAACAAAATGTCAAAACGAACAGCATTATTTAGGACAACTAAGAATCTCAATCATTAATGTAGTTTTGTTTGAAGTCATTTTTTTATAAATACTCTGATTGAAGACTTAGCTTTTAGCACATCAAGATGAAAACTTCTGACTATTCCATGTATTCATCATAGATTTGGCTGTTATACCTCTCACACCCACTTCTACTTACAAATCTACGACTCATCTACTATTAGTGGGTTTATGATCTTCCTAAGTATAGCAAACACCAAAAAGACTAATAATGTTTTTTATATACAGTTGCATGTTTTTATTATCCAAAATCATCATGTTAACTATCAATAATGTACATATAGATCTTCCATATAAACTTAAGTTAAAATAACTGTAGGACGAAATAAAACAAATAATAAGTATTGAATTGTTTCTATTAAAAACCAAACATCACATCAGTAGGCAGTCTGTCGGGTAAATGGTGATGATGATAAAATGAAAGCATGGGTCAAACAAGTCTTCCATGCTATCAACAATCTACCGAGTCAAACAGCACCGCTATATGACTACCCGAATCACAATACAACAATATGGGAAACAAATAAATATATTGTATGTGAACAACTACCACAGAATGAGGTTTAACTAAAAGCAGTGTAATTATGAGCAATCAGTACCAAACTGAAAATATCACAGATGCAAATAATTCACTCTTTAATCCTGGTTCGGGATAAAAAAATAATAATTTATAAACAAAAACTATGCCAAAGGCAAGAATTCTATATATAATTGTGCAGTTATAATATTCAAATTAAATAACGACGGTATAATCGAAAATTAATCATGTTTACTGTATGTCATAATTACAATAGTTCTAAATAAACTACAATAATATAATATATAACTTAAAATTGAAGTATATAACTGCACAATTGACCAATTTAATGTATCTATTGAAAACTTTGGCCGGGCGATTGACTCTGGCCTAAAACTGAGGGGTCTTCAAATATTGGTTGCTGAGGTTTGAACTGCTCCGATGATATTCTGGTGAACATTATACCTATGCCTTCTATTAATGCTAATAGAATGCCCCCTACTAGTGCACTACCTGCCATAGCTGGAACACCTGGAAAAATAAAACTTGGTATAATTTGTCGCTTAGAGAAAATTAAAATGTTAGTTCTTTTAAAATTTGATTAGGTAGGAAGAGGAGCTTGGACGGTGGAGGTGAGTGTATAACGAGTGTTAGATAGGGGCTCTTTAAATCTACACCTGGGTCGCAAGTCCCAGGCACTGTTAAAGCTCCTCGCCCTGCAATGCGTTGAACCTGGCACCCGCGCGTTGAATCAATTGAATGTTAAGAGGTTTCGTCTCTTTATACAGGGTGACTGGTGAATTACTATCGATACTTGAGGACATGATATTTGACGATCATATATGACAAAATAAAAATTAATATAACATAAATATTAATAAACTTTTAAGTAAAGTTAACCAAAAGTTATGTAATTAATTACGCATCGTGTGAACACCCTACAGATTAGGTATACACACACACACGCTGATACAACACCACGCCGCCGCACGCGTCCACACTTGGAACGGGTCCACACTTTATTTATTTATACGGAAATTTGGTCAAAAATTAAGTACCTATTTTTTTTACATAATTCGAATGAGAATCATGTACCGAGTATTCTCCTTAAATATTGATAGTAATTCACCAGTCACCCTGTATAGTAACTCAGTCCGTATTACTAACTTTAGTTATACACGGTGTACTTTTAATATAAGTTACGGTACTTTTAATATAAGTTACCATTTCTAGCCGCGAGGATCCCGCCAGTTAATGCTCCACTCATGATAGAGTTCCAGGGATCTTCTTTTTGTCGTAAGTACACCAGAGAGCAATCAATTGTTGAAAACATGCCGCCCCATACCGCAAAATTACCACCTACTATTGGTGACCGCTCCTTCATAGCTGCCAAACTACCAAGCTATAATATAAATAGTTTAATTAAAATCACTAAAAAACAACATTGGTTGGCGAATAATGATAGTAAGGATGATAAATTACCATTTTTCTACTAAATCCAGTTGGAGCATTTCTGAATCCCTTTATTGAGTGAAAGATACCACCGCCTATTGCGCCCATCAAAAATGCACCACCAGCGTCGTCTAAAATACGCCACGGACAGGGTTCTCTCGAATATTCGTCCATTATTTATTTATAAATATAGTTTTTCTGGAATAAAAATCTACATAAGAATATTTCTAACCTCCACAGTTTCATTGATATTTTATATGCATCAGAGATTATATTTTAACTCACCAAAACATAAAAGTACTACTATTTTTGGTATAGCTACTGGTGGTCACTTTTGATTTTGTAAATTTAAGATATATAACTATTTTACATCATCTTTCGCACTTCTTTTACCATAAGAGACAAGGTTGAAGGTCTAAGAACCAGAGACAATTACATATTTTTCTTTTTATTCTTAAATATGCATGAACAAAAATTATCTTCCTTAAAAATTGTAAAAAAATAAACTTTAAATATATTTATCAGTTTTATTTTAGACTATTATAAGTTTTTTTAATGATTATTAATTAATATCAAAATTAAACGTATAAGTACGTTTTCAATCCAGCAAACCTGCTATTTTGACGTATGAATTGTGACAGAATACATATTTCAATAGAAAATTGAAGATAGGTCGTCTTTAAATTTAAATTCTATAATAAAAAATATTTAGAATTCTATACATATGTATATTATAATGTAATACAACCGTGTTTAACTGAAGTTAATATTCTATAAATTTGATAGTCTTAAGATTACAAAATGACAATATATAATTTGTATATATTTGATCGCTATGGTACTTTACTGTACTATGGGGAATGGAACAGAACTAAACAAGCGGGAATGTCGAGAGAGGAGGTAATATTTATTGTATTCTGAAGCCTATTATCTTCAATAAAAAAAACTTTTTTACTCTATAACGCTAAGCTATCAAATTATGTTCTACCTAAACAATTATAAGTTATCTTTTTTTAGGAAGGAAAACTAATGTACGGAATGCTCTTTTCAATCAAATCATTCGTTTCCAAAATATCTCCATTAGATCCCAAAGATGGATTCCTGAACTACAAAACATCTAAATATACATTACATTATTTGGAAACTCCGTCGGGATTAAAGTTTGTTATGAACACAGACAACCAAGTGCAGGGAGTCAGAGAATTGTTAAAGAAAATATACGCAGAGATCTACGTTAAATATATAACAAGGAACCCTTTATGTGGGATCGGTGAAACAATAACGAGTGAACTCTTCAAAACTAAACTCGATGCATTCATCAAGCAAGCACCATTTACCGCAGCAAGAGCATCTTGAAAAATAAATTATTATAACTATGATTAAATTAATTTAAGTACTAATAAGAGATAAGTTTTGTGTATATAAATAAACATATATCTTCATCAGAACTTGGTTTAACTTTTTTTATTATTTTCTTTTCTGGATTACAAAATAATTATTATGTATAACATTTTATATTTCGTGTCTAATTTTAATAATGCTTTGTTACTATATAACAAAGTATTCATTGTTGGCTACTTTGTTTACAAATTGGTATTAATGTATAATTTATGTTTTCTCTAAATGCGTTTATTCAATATATTATATGAACCCTTGGGTTTGCCATATTATCTCAGAATTTGGAAAATGAGTGCCGAAAAATCAATTTGATGACTCGCTATAACATCAACAGAAAGCATATTAAATGTTCAAGCTTTTAAGATATATTCATTTAAAATGTTTCATAGTATTTAATGAACTTAGTAAGGTCTGTATAATAATAGTAACGACACCCTATCCGTAGGTATATGAGGGAATGAGTATAAACAAGTTGCTTTAGAAATCTAGAGTCTAACACTATTAATTTAGTTTTTAACACTATTAATTTAGGTTTTAACACTATTAATTTAATTTTTAACACTATTAATTTGCTAACTGAAAAGTTACATGAGTTAATGTAAAGCAGCTGTCTCTCTTTTTCTCTCTATCTCTCTCTCAAGTAAAAGAACTCAAATGCAAGCTCTCGTCACACTTGAAAATATTAAGGAATAAGGGTTTTAAACGAATGATATTCCAAGATTGGATCATTATGTTATGTATTGTCATTTCCAATATAATCTAAACCCCTTACGATGAATACGACGGCATAGTATTGTTGATGTTAATGTTTGTTTAACGGATGAGAACGGTTGTTTCGAATATAGTTATTCTTTAAGTAAATCAAAACTATTAAAACTCTATCTTGGTTCTTAAAAACCAAAAATCTTATTACGGTAATTTAAAAAGGTTGGATGGAGTATAGATACGATATCATACAACGTTTGAGGCCACTGACTCTGCAATACAAAGTACAAACATCAGTCGTGTGAGCTTTGAAGCAGAAGATTAATACAAAAAATGTGATATCTTTTAGCTACCCTAAAATAGAGATAATCATGTAGTTTTAGCTATAAGTAATAGGTTTATATTTTTATTATAAGTATAATATTATATAAAACTAACTAAATTAAATAAAATAAACAAATAGTATCTATCGACAAACTTCTTTGTATGCTAAACTCCGAGGTACGAGGTACTGAACTCCTATTTTCATATTTTGTATCAGTATTCAGTTGTCACTGTCAAAGTCGATTTGCAGTTTGTAGCAACGGTTAATACTTTTGCAATCTAAACCAAACAAACACATTTTTTGTGTAAAAAATAAAAGAAACTATTGAATATCAGTCACTTCATGATGATAAAATATTATTTATAATATAAACTGATCATATACGTATAATGGCTTATGTGTTTTACTTGAAAACATTGATGTTTTGTGATGAGTGAGACCGACGACACAGACGTTCTTTTGCTAATACCGCCAACGTTCTTTCTCGTAAATAGCTCCTGTTCCGAGGATTCGTTCCTCGAGTCTTCTAGAACGGTAGTTCACAAACCGGTTTCATGCACTGCCAAAGTTATTGGAAAACTTGTTGATCAAGTGCAATCATTGGAATCTCGATTAGAAACCTTAGAAATTGACACAAGCAACACATTTTCCAGTCTAGGATCACGTAAAGTGTGGGATACCGAAAGTTTCGAGAGTCGTAGTCGTAGTCTAGACCGCCGATGTTTTACGTTTCCGCGTCGAAAGCGAAGGAAAACTAGGAAAGAAAGAAACGGATCTCACGTAAATCTTGACATCACCCACGAAAAACATCCCGTATACAGACAGATTCTTGATCATAAGGCTGTGCAATTGTCATTAAATGAATCACAAAGCATGGATGGCGATCTCAGCAGTATTACGTCTACACCAAGCAAGAAAACTGACAAGCTTCTCCTACATGAAATAGATGAATTTCTAACTAAAGTGGAATCATATCAAACACCAGATAACAGAGCCAGAGACAGCACAATAAGTTCTGAAAATGTTATCCAAGCAACGGGTGAATACATAATGAAATCTCTTGGCAGTAAAAATATAGAGGACATACAGTTGCCTAGCGGTAGAGTGGTGTCCAGTAACATATTAGATAAATACATTTACTTGGTGAAGAACAAACAAACACAGTCTAATGCATCAACTTCAGCTCAAAATGATTCTGACACACAAAACTTTTCATCTGCCACAACCAGGAATGAAGTTGCAAATCAAAATTGCGCTTCAACAAACATCAAACACGATACCAGGTCTCCGAGTATGAGAAAATTAAATTTCTACGAGAATAAAGATGTCCAACCTACATCAACTCCCAAAAAGAATACACACCCAAGATATTGCGATACATTCAAACCGTCCTCAAACAAAATACTTGAGAGAGCATCTAAAGTATTAGACAATTACAGGTCACAAAGTTTTAGTCGGAATACTCAAAGTGTTACGACGGAAACAAGTGATATGTCTTTTAAGAAGGATGATTTTAAATTACCACAAATGAAACCGTTCTGCTTGGATCGTGAAGGTTTTAAAATTGACTCTATTGAAACAGATTTGCTGAGTTTAAGTGAACTTTGGGGTGAGAAAGCCGATAAGAATGAAAAGTTTGACAACAATAAGTTAGAAGAAGAAAGATTGAAGAGAGAGGTGAGTTAGTGACTGGTAACAAATATTATAGAATTATTGTAGAAAACAGATTATGGTATCATATTGTGCTTAGTAAAAGAAACTTGTTTACTGGTATTATTGAATAAAATAACATTACTTAGTTTTTGATTAAATTTCAGTTTTTAGAGTTCAGTTCTTTACATAGTATATTACAGTTAAAGATTTAAATTCACTGAAATATTCTGGTTTAGATCCTAGTAAGGTTTGCTTCAAACATTTTCTTTTCTTTAAAATAAGTGACCAATGAATGTTCAAGAAAACAGTCTTGATTATGGACGGCCATAAAATAAATAATCTGTTATATATAAGTATATAAATGTATTGGAAAAATGTTTCAGCATTGCGAGGTCATGATACAGCAGTTACAAAAGAAGTTACTCGAGCAACAAGAAAAGTTAGCGGTGGCCGTTAAAGTTGACCGAGCCAAGGACGCTGCCATACACAAACTGAGAGAGGCCTGGTTAAGACTGACGGGGAATCTGGACCAGGCTGAGGAGAGACATCGGAACGCTCTTGACGAGATGAACAGAGAAGTTGATAACTTTAAAATGGTCGCTGATGAAGCACAGAAGGTATGGCTATTGGGTCTGAAAGGATCAAATTTGTTTTGTTTGTATACATTTAAGTATAAAACTTATATTTTGTGAATCTGTCTGAAATATGAAGATAATTTTAAAAGCCTATTGGTAGTAAATTAATCTGATAAGTGATTTTTAGCATTTTGTTATTCAATCTCAATATATTTCTACATTTATATGCATTTTTTTATTATACTTTCAGTAACTTAGATGTAATGTACTATTTTTGTTTAAAAATGGATTTGAATAATGAGGTTTAATATTGATGATTTTTTTGTAGAAAACAAATCACTTTGAAACTGAACTTTACAAAGCATTGGATCTGGCGCACGACTATCAGGAACAATGTAAACTATTGACAACAGAAAAGAAAGATTTACAAGAAAGTCTTCAGAGTTTACAAGCACAGAGTATAGAAACAATGAAAGTAAAAGAAAAAGAAATGGCCATTATAAAAGAAAACTGTGAAACATTGATGAGGCTAAATAAACAGTCCGCTGACTGTGTTGAGAATTTGGAGGTAGCATTGGCTAAGGTGAGTTCATTGACCCTACATTACATTTTAACTACTTATAATTAAGAATAGGGAGAAGAAACTCCCAGAATGAAGTAAGGTAACCAGAATGAAGAAAAATATCTAAGGGGAAAGAAATGTTTTAAAAAGAAATAATATCTAAGTTTTATATTTTAACTAAAAACAGCTGATCTACTTTTTTAAGAAACAATTTTTTACCTGTAAACACCTATTTATACTATAATACAATATTTTTTCAGGAGAAAAGTGATCACGAAAAGACCAAAAACAAAATTATAGAATTGATTGAGAAGATGAATAGAATTGAACAAGAGAAGAAAGTATTTGAACAAGAGAGTGAGGCTGCAAGAGAAAGAATCAATCAAGAAAAAGAGAGATGTAATATGATAGAGACAGAACTATTGACTGTGAAGGAACAGTGTGTGGAAATACAAAGGAAATATGTTAGTATATGAATATATATAGGTCCTTTTAGTTTTGTTACTTCAACTTGATTGTGTTTAGACCGAAATAATTATTAGGCCAGTGCAGATGCCTTTAAAAACAATGAAAAGTGAAAATAAATTATAGTAGAATGAAACTCATTAGAAAAGGTTGTTTTAAAAGCTATTGGCACTGGTCTATATGTGCATGTCATAAAATAATTATGATGCTCTACACTCAACAGTGACATCTATCGTAATTTTTAAATATAAATTGATTAGTGGTTGAATGTCAGTCCATCAAATTTAGGTGGTAATAAGTTCAAAATTGGAAAACGTACAGTAAAAGCTTATTTACAGTCGCCTCATTATCTTTTTTTTATGGTAAAAAAAATAATGGAGAAATTTAATTCTTCCACCTAAAATTTTATTTTTAATGTCTAATTTAACTATGTTGGAAAGTTTCAACGAAATCCGTTAATTTGATTAGCTTAATCCGTTTATTTCATGGAAGACCAGCGAAACATTGGTATATGACTCGTCCCATAGCATACCAAGATTCATTGATTTCGTCCTTCCAAAATCAATATAAGCGTTTCATCATTTCCCCTCTCCATATTTCCAGGACGCGGTCCAGTCTGAAGCGAAGAGTCTTCAAGAACAGTTGGAAGTCGAGAGGAAGGAGCTGAAGCGTCACTACCAGGCGCAGTTAGAGGAGGCCGTGGTGAGGAAGTTGAGGGAGTTCCAGGAACAACTGGAACTGGCTGAGAGAGACATGGAGCGGGCGGCGCGGGAAGGGGAGCGGGCCGCGGGACAGAGGGCGGAGAGGACCGTGGCCGCGATACGGGAACAGTTAGTATGGGGGAGGAGGTGTAGGGGAAATTGGAACCTACAGGCTTAGAAATAGAGTGGCTTTTGATTTAACAGTTAGTATGGGAGGAGAAAGATGGGGGAGGTGGTGTAGCCTGTAGGGGAAATTAGAGCCTACTGCCTTAACAATAGAGTGGCTTTTACTTTAACAATTGAGTTAATGCGGGGGACGGGCGATGTTGTAGGGGAAATTGGAACCTGCTGCCTTAACAATAGAGTGGCTTTTGCTTTAACAGTTGAGTTATCGAGAAGTTTGATAAACTTGAAGAGGATTTCGTAAGAAACCCAATAGATTTGACAGTCTGATCAGAGCGATGAATTAATATTCTACGTCAATTGCTTCAACATGATTTAAAATTACGTCAATTGCTTCAACATGATTTAAAATTAAAATAATATAAGACGGAATTAATGATTAGGCCGTCATATTAAATAATAACACAACTGTATATATTAACTTAAATAAAATTACCTTAATTACATAGACTTAAATATTAGCGTAGGACTAACTTAATATACTTGTTGCAGGCACAAGTTAGAAGTGAACGTGTTAGAAGAAAAGCAGAAAGAAGAGATCAAACTGTACAGACTACAGCTGGCGCAGGCGCAGGAGAAGATAGGACTACTAGAGGTGAGTGACAAAAAACATCACTAGTGGAAGGGAATAGAGTCGAGTTTCATTTGAAACGTAGTTTGTAGGCTATAGGACTTAATTATCTTTATGTAAACGGTTCTTGATAAGAGCTAATGTATTTATTTATTTTGTTAATTATGTACAGAACACTGGCCTTACAACACTTACTATAAGAAAATGCTTTACTTGAAGGCTTATTTTTAGCCCACACTCGCTTTAAATCAAATTAAGCAAAATTTATGACAAATATTAATTAATGCTGTCAAGTTACAACGTGTAACACTGAAGACCTAATGACATTCCTCCAGGATAAAACATCGATGAAAAAAACAGTATTTTAGAAATAAAAAAATATGTAATGTGTTATATTTATTATCATATTATTATTTTAATATATTTCATAAAATTAGTAGTATTGTAATCTTTATTGAATAATTGAAAACGAAAATTATTAAACTCAAATTAAAGTCTTTTTGAAAGGGGCGATATTTTTTTCTTTATTTAAGTTTCAATATAAATATTACTATAAGGCCATGTTTGTGTTAAATGTATTTTGTACCGTCCTTTTTATTATAAGTAATGTAATATTCTTCCAGAGCAAGTTGTCTAGTTACCGTCGAGGTCGCGGTGAGCTCGCGGCTCAGCTGCACGGTGTGATGCAGGCGCAGTGGAAACAAGCGCTCACCATACTGACTAGACAACACGCCTCGCACTACAGGGACGACGGTGAGCACGCACACACACACATACAGACACACACACACACACACATACAGACACACACACACACACATACAGACACACACATACATACAGACACACACATACATACAGACACACACATACATACAGACACACACACATACACACACACATACACACACACACACACACACACACACACACACACACACACACACATATACAGACAAGCGCTCACCATACTGACCAGACAACACGCGTCGCACTACAGGGACGACGGTGAGCACGCACACACACACTCACACACACACACACACACACACACACACACACACACACACACACACACACACACACATACACACACACACTCACACATACACACACACACACACACATACACTCATACACATGCTTTTATAAAGACAAACTCGCACACAGACACGCCTCGTACTAAAGAAAGAACGGTTAGCACACACATACGCACATACACCTGCCTGTATAAACACACATACATAATACTCGCACACACACATATTCTTACATACATTACACGCGTGACCGAACGCATTCATACACAGAATGCAATGAAAATATATTTACAACTTCTTCTATATATATTTATAACTAGCTTTACGCCCGCAGCTTCGCCCGCGTGGAGTTCGGTTATATCGCGTTTCCAAGAGAACCTTTCAAAAGTCTCTGATAAAAACTATCCTATGTTCTTTCTCAAGGTCAACTCTATCTCTGTACCAAATTTCATTAAAATCAGTTCAGTGTTTTAGGCGTGAAAGTGTCACAGACAGACAGACAGACAGAGTTACTTTGGCATTTATAATATTAGTAGGGATTTGTCTGTCAGTTAAATTAATATAGCAACCCGTTCCTAATGAGTAGTATATCAAGTTGTTTGTTAACCTGTTATTATTAATACTTATATTAATACATTAATCGTTATATTCCAGTTCCGACGCCGGTGTCCAAAGACTTCCCCCTCCCGCCCCCCCTGTCTCCTCCTAACAAGGAACACTCAGGGAACATGAGCGACCACGAGCTGCAACAGTACATAAAACTGGTGACTATATGTTATATATACTAGTTTTAGAGTTTAGACCCCGTTTCAAAAATCAATGTTAAATAAGTAACATCGTGGTAAGGCGTTTGATGCTCTGTTAGATGTATCGAGCGTCCCACCACGCACAAATGTCCGTTTTAATGTCTTAACAAGCCACTAATATTAATTCCTGCTCTGGAGCTCCGTCTAATGCAGTAGTCCCCAAACTTGTTTTTCTCGTGGACCACTTTCAAAATTTTACTGGTTTCGGTGGACCCCCTGCTGCTACATTTCTACCACATTCTTAAAGTCGCCAAAAAATAAAAATTGTGTCACTTCTGAGTTCTGTCTCTATATTCCGATAGGTAAATTGAAATTTTGGAAACAAATGAATGATTGTTTGCCTTTGGCATCAAGTATTTATAGTGGTGATCAAGTTCATGTCTGAACAAGCATTAAGCATTGTCGGGCGGATAGCGCTTTGCAAGTCTGTACACGAAATTGTACGTAATATCGAATACGCAAGTTTGGACAAGTAACAGTCGCTTGCCTTATTAAAATATTATCTGCTTAGTTAGGTACTTAAAACAATGTAGGTAGGCCCTTATAAAAACTATGCTTACATTTTTGCTCTTTACTATCAAAAGCAGATAAATTTTCGTGGACCCCCATTTTTTGTTCACGCCTACGTAAGGGATAAGGGTCACTGAGGCTCCGAACATAGAAAAGATGGCAAGCAGCTATCTGCCCATTCGCTGTTTTCGATCGCTTTCTATCGCTGTTTTTTTTAATGTTACAAACTGGAATTTAATGGGAGTTTAAGTACTGAATGTGCCATGCGGCCTCCATCGAGCACCGTCGCCGCAATCCCAGAGGAAGCTACGGCAACAGCTATTCCTTTGTCTTTTCGGATTTGGGCTAAAAGTAAATTTATTGAATAGTTTTCCTAGTGCCTCCTGGCGCATCTAAGAAAAACAATTCACCCTCACCATTATCGATTCTTTGCACAACAATATCATAAACTAATTTTTGTTCCGTGTTCAATCGAGGAACAGACTCTGATATTTGTTGCTGTAAAGAAGAGACATTGTAGTCCAGTTCTCTTATTAAATCACTATTGACTTCTCCGATTCCTTGTGGCCGGTTCATTCCAAAATCTGATAATGTCTTCCCAGATATAGCCATCACTTGGTCTTGAATCTTAGTTAGCGCCTCGTTATAAACTAAATCATAATATGTGACATTGGGATTATTTTGTTGTAGTCTGTTCAAAATATAGTCAGACATATCATTTTGGGACTTTTCCCATAATATCTGAGGATTTGAGAGACCACACGTCGCTATGAGAATGGCAAAAGATCTCTCACCTTTAAGCTGCTGATCTACAATGTCGAGCCTCTTCTAGTGTCGAGTCCCAATGATTATTTATCATTCTCTAACTTTCATTATTATCGTTAATAAATTAATCAACTGTTAGTAAATCCACTGTTAATAAATTAATCAACTGTTAATAAATTAATCTACTGTTAGTAAATCCACTGTTAATAAATTAATCAACTGTTAATAAATTAATCAACTGTTAATAAATTAATCTACTGTTAGTAAATCCACTGTTAATAAATTAATCAACTGTTAGTAAATCCACTGTTAATAAATTAATCAACTGTTAATAAATTAATCCACTGTTAATAAATTAATCCACTGTTAATAAATTAATCAACTGTTAATAAATTAATCAACTGTTAGTAAATCCACTGTTAATAAATTAATCAACTGTTAGTAAATTAATCCTCTGTTAATAAATTAATCAACTGTTAATAAATTAATCAACTGTTAGTAAATCCACTGTTAATAAATTAATCCTCTGTTAATAAATTAATCAACTGTTAATAAATTAATCAACTGTTAATAAATTAATCAACTGTTAGTAAATCCACTGTTAATAAATTAATCAACTGTTAATAAATTAATCCACTGTTAGTAAATCCACTGTTAATAAATTAATCAACTGTTAATAAATTAATCAACTGTTAGTAAATCCACTGTTAATAAATTAATCAACTGTTAATAAATTAATCAACTGTTAGTAAATCCACTGTTAATAAATTAATCAACTGTTAATAAATTAATCCACTGTTAATAAATTAATCAACTGTTAGTAAATCCACTGTTAATAAAATAATCAACTGTTAATAAATTAATCCACTGTTAATAAATTAATCAACTGTTAGTAAATCCACTGTTAATAAATTAATCAACTGTTAGTAAATCCACTGTTAATAAATTAATCAACTGTTAATAAATTAATCAACTGTTAATAAATTAATCCTCTGTTAATAAATCTGTTAATAAATTAATCCACTGTTAATAAATTAATCAACTGTTAATAAATTAATCCACTGTTAATAAATTAATCAACTGTTAGTAAATCCACTGTTAATAAATTAATCAACTGTTAATAAATTAATCAACTGTTAATAAATTAATCCTCTGTTAATAAATCTGTTAATAAATTAATCCACTGTTAATAAATTAATCAACTGTTAGTAAATCCACTGTTAATAAATTAATCCACTGTTAATAAATTAATCAACTGTTAATAAATTAATCAACTGTTAATAAATTAATCAACTGTTAGTAAATTAATCAACTGTTAGTAAATCCACTGTTAATAAATTAATCAACTGTTAATAAATTAATCCTCTGTCAATAAATTAATCAACTGTTAATAAATTAATCAACTGTTAGTAAATCCACTGTCAATAAATTAATCAACTGTTAATAAATTAATCCACTGTTAATAAATTAAACAACTGTTAATAAATTAATCCTCTGTTAATAAATTAATCCACTGTTTACTAATAAACTAATTAAAACCTATTCACTTTTTCTTAGAAGTTAGAAAGACAAATGACGATATTTAATAGTAATAAAATGGCTAAAAAATTATATGAACAGTTTACCGACCAATCAGAGAGCCCCGTTTCATTAGTTAGTTGTCAAATCTAATGTCGAAAAAAAAACGTTTGTAATAAAACAACTACTAATAAATAAAAAATTAATGAAAAAACATAGTCCAGCGGACAAAATTGTGAATCTAGACTCTAATGGCTAACATGACTGTTAATGCATTGTCAAAACTCAATTGTCCAATCACAGCCCTGATTTCTTGTAACCATAGTAACGTCATCTGTTTTGTCAGTTTCGACTATTTCCTTGTACTTTGTAATAAAGTGAATTGAAATTTCATTTCCTATGATGATTTTGTCTCCACCTTTTCTATGACATTGCAAATTAAGTTTTCTTTTTATTTCTTATAATTTGAACACAAGTTATGTCTATATTTATAACACAATAATATATAAAACAATTTAGTGACAATACGATTTTGACAAGTTATACCTAGTAAATTGAAAAGAAAACTTTTTGTGTGCTAAATGTATGCAACCAACGATATATAAAATTTGGTCGCATTAGCTTATAAGTGACGTATCGAGGGATATATACGATCAAAGTATAAAGTGGTGCATCGTGGCAAACGTGTCATGTTAAACGCTATAGTTTCAATTTGGTCTTCATATAACAAGAACGAATAATTTGGTAGTCGATCATTTAACACGACATTAATAATTTTGTTAATTTGTCATTGTGGAACGCAAATATTTTAACAGACATTTATAATTTTGAAGGTTTGTAAGTAAATGTCTTGTTTAGATTTAACAAATATTGTATGATGAAAATTGGATATAAGGATTATAGCATATGATCAATAGTACAATACAGATGGCGCCACTTGTAACAGTATGTATGTATAGGTGTTTGTTGTTCTTTCGTGAAAATTACTTCACAGATTTTGATGAAACTACACCAAAAGAAGCTTACGTATCGGACTTATACGTAAACTAAAATTTATTTTGCCACGTTTGCCACGTTTGCCACGATGCACCACTTTATGCTTTGATCGTTTATATATAGCAAATTTTATGTATCGTTGGTTGTATACATTTGGCATACAAAAGGCTTTTTTTTTTTCAAATTAACTAGGTGTAACTTGTCAAAATCGTGTTGTCAATAAATTGTGTTATATATTATTGTGTTAGAAATATAGGCATAAATTATAAGAGGTAAAAAGAAAACTTAATATCCAATGTCATAGAAAAGCTGGAGGCAAAAAACTTCATACTAAATGAAATTTTAATTCACTTTATTAATAATAACAAGGAAATAGTCGAAACTGACAAAACAGATGACGTTACTATGGATACAAGAAATCAGGGCTGTGATTGGACAATTGAGTTTTGACAATGCCATTAACATTCTGTTAGCCATTAGACGGAACTCCAGAGCAGGAATTAATATTAGTGGCTGGTTAAGACATTTAAGCGGACATTTGTGCGTGGTGGGACGCTCGATACATCTAATTAATCATCAAATGCCTTAACACGATGTTACTTTTTAACAATGATTGGTGAAATTGGGTCTTAGAATTGTTTTTATGACTGATTATATTTAATTTTAAAACTAAACCAGTGTCATTTTGCAATCACTTCGTATTTGAAAACTACAAATCGTGACTTCACACATTTTGTTCGACATTACTAGAAATAACGCTGTACATTGAAAAACATATCTGAAACTGTACCTCGAACAATAATACAATACAACGTTAGTAGGATATAAATTAACATTTAGTAGTATTTACAGATTCAGTCTCTTCTAACTATTAATGTTTAATTATGATGTTAATCTAGTCTTATCATTTCAGTTACTATCGAAGCCCCCCGGTCACACTGCGGAGCCCCACAAACCTGATGAAGAACCAACCCGCGAGCGTCGGGACCGGGGGCGAAGTCTCCACAAGCCGCCGTGGAAGGCCTAGCATTGATGAATCCTATGAGATACTATTGATGCATAATACATTTAGACATCTTGCATCAATATCATGTACCGTTACTCAATAGTCTGATAGAAATGAACTATTAATATAAAATGAAGAAGATTTAATACACGAGGCGGACCCACATTGGGTTTACTTTGGTTATAATTTAATAAGATTTAATAAGACAATTATATTTTCATACATTCCATAAATATCGCTAATTTTAATAAAATTCTATTTAAATATGTACAGTTTTTATTATCGTTATCTTGTAATGAAACGAGTGTAAGTAATATAACGATTTATTAAATGGTAAATGCAACTTAAAATATACATTAAACATCTTTATACAAACAACATGGCATCGTACACTTACGAGATATGACCACACAAGCTGTGTCGAGGCAAGATTCAAAAATATTACATTTATATAACAAATATACATTGAAACAATATATAATAAAGAAAACCTAGCTATATACTGATTATATAAATAGTGTGCTGAAATTTTTTACATAAACTCAATGATTAATATTACCGTTATATACTTAACATATTAATTCATAGTCATATATTCTATTTTAATAAGAAAAGGCATTTTTAAATATAATTTATATAAACATTCTCCCAAAACAAATTAGGATACAATTCAACATTAACAGTTAGTTATAAAATATTTAATATTATATTAATTTATATTTAACAAAAACCAATTTACACAATTATTCGATTCCACTTCCGCCGAAATACTGTAAACATTTAAGAAAAACTATAAAAGATATAAGGTAAAAAATCCTGGAAATACATAGTATTATAAATATTAAAGTAATTTCAAATTAACGTACAAAATAAATAAAAATACGGAAATAAAGAAATCTCGAGGAGATGTTACTCTGATCATGAGAAATAGTTTATGTGCCATGGGGATGAAACTCATATAATTAACGTGTAAGAAAAGAATGTATAGAAAATGCTGCCATCTAACGAACACGGTAAAAACTTTTACACTATTTTCCTACAGGAAATACTAAATAAAATATAAATTATACATAATTTCATAGATGGCGTAAGTACCTCTCAAATTGATTTGACATTAGGAGAAATTTTAAATTATTTCAGTTGCTCAATTGCCGTTGTTTACTGTTGTTCTTGTGCTCTACGTTCTTTTTCAAACATTTGACCTGGCTTAATATATCATTGAGTCCTATTTCCACGCTTTTGACGATCGACCCCGGCTTTTCTCAATAGGACTTTGTTTTCTGCGACTACGATCGACCCCGTCTCTTTTCATTTGGATTTTGATTGCAAACTACGAATTTGGATTATTGATAAGTTGAAAAAATGCCACGAAAATCGGCTATTAAATGCTATTTTCTAAAAATCTAAAAAAATATTATTTGTCATATATACAATCAATTACTACTCTTGTTACATCAATTTCAACCGTAACAGTTTATTGACTTCTAATAAAAACATTTCAGGTTCTTTTCATCAATTTCCTAAACCTGAATACCCAAATTTGGAGAAATTCATTCAATGGAAAAATATTTTAAATGAAGACATAAAAGGAAGATTCTTACATTTATAACAATAAAAGAATATGTGATCGTCATTTTGAACAGTTTTACCGTTCTTCAAGTAAACGACTCACTCAAAATGCTGTACCAACTCTATACTTAAGTAAGTATCTAAAGTAAGCAACTTCCCAAGTAGTTAAAGGCACACAATACATACTACTAATATAAAAAAAAACTATAAATAATCAATTATATTTTATAACTATAGATCGTTTTTTACATTATTATTATTTTACTTTAGAAATTGGTGCTCATAATTAAAAATTAAAAACAAAAAAAAAATTGATTTAATTTAATATAATGAAATAGGTAGGTATACAAGTCATCTTAACATTTTTATATACTTACATGTGGTTTGATAGAATTATAATGTGCGGTCTTTATTACCTTTTTTATCTAAATAAAGGAAAGTGCCTACAACAGTATCACAAAATAACTACTTGTGTCACTTCTTTACATAGGTAAAACAAAAACAAAGTGTTCTAAATATGCAGAGATTATAATTTCACTGGATAACTTCAAACCAAAAAAAGTTGTTGACAATATGTTATCATTCATTTTTAAGATTTTTCATTTAACTTTTCTTTTAATATATTTATTTGTATTAAAAAATATATATTTTATTTAGTAGCATCAACATTTGAGACTGTACACTCATTACATTCTGTTGAAACTGAAAAATGTGTTGATACACAAAAAGAAGACAATGACGCATCTTGTAGTCACCACATGGATTTAAATATGAATGAAGTTCAGCTACAAAGGAGTTCTCCTAATTCCTCTCAATTATTTCCTAAAGGTAAGTGATGAGTATATAACTAACCTTAAAATTAACTATGATTGCTATATTTACTTTTAAATTATAAAACAGCATAAAGCATTTTAAATACAATAAAAATTTAAACCACAGATTCACTAGATTTGCAAGTATCGAGATTTATTTCATATTTTCTTCTGCAAATATTGATGGTAGTTTTGTTAGCAGTCATTTATGAATTAAAATTGCAATATATTAAAAATTGTATTCAATAATTATGTCTGTAGGTAATTTGTACACAACAACAAAAATGTATATTTTTTGTCTTTTAATAAACATTTATCCCGGTTTTAGATAACCTGATTCCTGTTTAAGTATAGAGAGTACAGATATATACTCAGATGAGTGATCATCATCTACATTTAAACCTAAGATGTTCCAAAATATCTTCTCATCATTTAATTGATTATCTGAAATCCCTTTTGACAACTATTAGCCCATTAGAGATACTACTGTTATACATAATTAATAATAACTAACTATATCAATATTTATAAAACATGCTATTTATTATTTATTTTTTTTGATAAATATAGATTTTTAATTACCAGATAATGCAATGCCATATCAATAATGTTTTTATTAGGTAAAATAACAAAAACATTATGTATTATATATTTTATTATCATGTTACAATAAAACAAATACTTTATTTATTTCAGTTAAAACTAGAACACAAAACTGTTCAAAAGAGTTAAGGCTGTTAAAAGCTCTACTTCTGAAATTGAAGGAAAAATGTAAGACCTAAAAGAAACTTATTCTTCAGGCAAAAAGACTGTCACAGAATAAGGCATTTTTAAAAGCCATAGAAAATCTTCCAGAACCAATAAGATTTTTTACAAACTTACCATTGAAAAAATCATCTATTTAGTCAAGAGGTAGAAGATTTACTACACAGGAGAAGATACTGTGCTTGACTATATACAGGGTGACTGGTGAATTACTATCGATACTTGAGGACGTGATAATGACGATCATATATGACAAAATAAAAATTAATATAACATAAATATTAATAAACTTCTAAGTAAAGTTAACCAAAAGTTATGTAATTAATTACGCATCGTGTAAACACCCTACAGATTAGGTATACACACACACTCACACATACGCGTGCGGCGGCGTAGTGTTGTATCAGCACGCCAGGGTCTGCCTTACATGTTTGAATAGTTTTTGGCTATTTGTTTTTTACGACCGGCCGCCTGCCTGACATCAACCCCCTTTTGGGAATCAACATTAATCAGTGATGTCTAAATACTCTTAGAAAGTACATATGATTCGGAAAAATCACATTGGTACTTGCCCGGGCCAGGAACACAACACTTTCTGTCAACACTTTACTTATTTATACGGAAATTTTGTCAAAAATTAAGTGCCTATTTTTTTTTACATAATTCGAATGAGAATCATGTACCGAGTATTCTCCTTAAATATTGATAGTAATTCACCAGTCACCCTGTATAAACAAAGTCAAAAGGCTTATAATATATTACAAAAAATATTTTGTTTGCCATCTAAAAGAACCATGCAGAAAATTTTAAGCTGTATATCCCTTACTCCAGGTATAAATGACATCATTATTGAACATATTAACAAAGCAGTCATTAAGTAATGAAAAAAAACCTGTGTACTTTAATATTTGATGAGTACCATCCATTTAAAATTGGATACCTGACATTCATGCCACTAGGGAGTTATTTTTTGAGTTAAATAAATATCATGTCGTAAGCAGTCTGTTAACAAGAAACTTAAATCAGGATTCCTTAGAGATTTTTTTTTGTAATATTCGAAGTAATGGGATCCGTAATGTATCTCCAACTTGCTCTCAATTTGTTGGAGCATACAAAACTTTACTTGTAAATAATTTAACTTCGCCACATTCCATTGGTGCAAACTGTGAACATGACAATAACAAAATTTTAAAACCTTTAAGTTGCTTTATTAATTCGCAATTAAGAGTAAGAGATACATTAAATGAAAAAATAAATGTGGATTCTCTACTTAATTTGTTGCAGGAAAATGTCAATTTAAAACTCAGCAACATAAACGCTTCAAATTTCTTGGGTTTGATAGCACGCACAACCTGCGTTCTAGTGAGGACAACAAACTTGTCACACCCTGCAGCCGGACGCAAACTTATTGTAACTCTTTCACTGTGAAAACCGCCAAACTCTGGAATGCACTACCCACTGATATACGGCAGTCTAAATCCTTGGCAATATTTAAGCATCGTTTGAGAAACTATTACCTACCCATATCTATATAATGTATGCAAGTTTGTAATAATATGTAGTTTATATTTTTGTGTATATATTTTGATATGTATTATATTTCTATGTATGTATTATTGGGATGTAGTTATGTGTAGTTTATTACTATACCTTAGTGTAAATAATATTATATTGTATTTCCTCATTTTTCTGTATCTTTTTCTTCACTTACCTGTTTTCGTTCTAAGCTCCTATCACCAAAGGTTGTCTGTGAGAGATCGCTGTAAGCGATAAGACCGCCTTTGCGCACCATGTATGTATATACTTACTTTATGATTTGTATTTCCCCCTTTTTTTCCATGTGTTGTGCAATAAAGCATTTTAAATAAATAAATAAATAATCAGCATAGAAGCTAAACGCTATGTTGCTGGCTATTTAGTAAATAAATGTATTAAAAATGTATGTAAAAATTGTAACACATCTAAATGCACACACACATACATTACACGCGTGACCGAACGCATTCATACACAGACTGCAATGAGACGAAACTACTAAGCATTCCATGGATTCCCCGTGCGGGTGCCGGGTCCATCGCGTTGCAGGGAGAGGAGCTTCAACAGTGCCTGGGACTTGCGACCCAAGTGTAGGTTTAAGGGGCCTCTTAACTAACGCGCGTTATACGCTCACCTCCACTGCCCAAGCTCCTCTCCCTACGTAACCAAATTTGAGAAGAACCTACTAGGGCTGCCTTCGATATACGTTCCAAGAATGCATTAATGTGAGTTCTGGACAAGCCCAAGTCCTTTAGTAGGTTGTAGAGAGATTTCGCTGTTATACCTCTCGCTCCCACCTCTACCGCGTACAAATCTACTACCAACCTATTTCGAGTGAGTTCGTTTGTGAGCTCGTAATATTTGTTGACCTTGATGGTATGGTCTTTGGGGATGTTGGTTTCCCAAGGGACCGTAAGCTCTATCATCACTACGCGCTTTAAAATTCTATAATTTAAATTAAACATATTTATAACTTCTTCTACGTATGTTTATAATTTGTTTGTCAGTTAAATTAATATAGCAACCCGTTCCTAATGACTTGTATATCAAGTTGTTTGTTAACCTGTTATTATTAATAATGATATTAATACATTAATCGTTATATTCCAGTTCCGACGCCGGTGTCCAAAGACTTCCCCCTCCCGCCCCCCCTGTCTCCTCCTAACAAGGAACACTCAGGGAACATGAACGACCACGAGCTGCAGCAGTACATACAACTGGTGAATATATATTATATATATACTAGGTTAAGTCTGCGACTTTGTCCGCGTGGACTTGGAAACGGGCTCAGAGATAAAGGCTTTTGAAACTAAGCATTACCAACATAGTGTATCTCGTGCATTATACACGGTACAAATGTTATAGTGTGGTCTCGAAATAAATTTTAGTTTACGTATAAGTCCGATGTGTAAGCTGCTTTTGGAGTAGTGTCATAAAAATCAAAATCTGTGAAATAATGTTGGCGAAAGAACAACAAACACCTATATATCCATACTGTTACAAGTAGCGCCATCTGTATTGTTCTAATGATTACATGCTTTAATCCTTAGAATTGTTTTTATGACTGATTATATTAATTTTAAACCTAAACCACTGTAATTTTGTAATCACTCCGTACTTGAAAACTACACATCGTGACTTCACACATTTTGTTCGATATTATTAGAAATAACGCTGTACATTGAAAAAACATATCTGAAACTGTACCTAGAATAATAATACATCACAACGTTAGTAGGATATATGTATATTACATTGAGTAGTATTTCCAGATTCAGCCCCTCTAACAACTATTAATGTTTAATAATATTGTTAATCTAGACATTATTTCTCAGTTACTATCGAAGCCCGGTCACACTGCGGAGCCCCACAAACCTGATGAAGAACCAACCCACGAGCGGCGGGACCGGGGGTGAAGTCTCCACAAGCCGCCGTGGAAGGCCTAGCATTGATGAATCCTATGAGATACCATTGATGCATAATACATTTAGACATCTTGTATCAATATCATATACCGTTACTCAATAGTCTGATAGAAATGAACTATTAATATAAAATGAAGAAGATTTAATACATTAGGTGGAACCATATTGGGTTCACTTTGGTTGTAATTTAATAAGGCAATTATATTTTCATACATTCCATAGATATTTTGTTTAAAAGATATTTTGATAGATATTTTGAAGATAGATATTTAATTTATTTTAATAAAACTTTTAAACAAATAATCTTTATTATTATCTTATAATGAAACGAGTGTAAGTAATATAACGATTTATTAAATGGTAAATGCAACTTAAAATATACATTGAACATCTTTATACAAACAACATGGCATCGTACACTTAGAGATATGACCGCACAAGCTGTGTCGAGGCAAGATACAAAAATATTACATTTATATAACAAATATACATTGAAACGATATATAATAAAGAAAACCTAGCTATATACTGATTATATAAATAATGTGCTGAAATTTTTTACATAAACACAATGATTAATATTACCGTTATATTCTTAACATATTAATTCATAGTCATATATTCTATTTTAATAAGAAAAGGCATTTTTAAATATAATTTTATAAACATTCTCCCAAAACAAATTTGGATACGATTCAATATTAACAGTTCGTAATAAAATATTTAATTTAATATATTATATTAATTTATATTTAACAAAAACCAATTTACACAATTAATCGATTGCACTTCCGCCGAAATACTGTAAACATTTAAGAAAGACTTTATAAAAGATATAAGGTAAATAATCTTGGAAATACATAGTACTATAAATATTAAACTAATTACAAATATACGTACAAAATAAATAAAAATACGGACATAAAGAAATCTCGAGCAGATGTTACTCTGATCATGGGAAATAGTTTATCTGCGTTTAAAATCGCTCGCCGTTTAACTACATAGTACATACATATGTGTGGGAGCGTGTGTGTGTAAACAATCCTTGTATATATATGTGTGTGTGTGTGTGTGTGTGTGTGTGAGTCCCTACTGTAGCGCGGAGGCGGGCAGCGAGCTGTGTTTGGGTCTCGCTCGGTGTACGAACACCTTGATGACGCCGCTGAAGTCCGCGCTCACTAACACGTGGCCCGCCTGAGATGACGACACGAGCCCCTCGCCTTTCTGAAACATACACACATACATATAATGAATAGAGAGATTCACACACGAGGTAACTGGAACATGTTCGTGGAGTGACACAAGCTATACAAATATATAAAACTCTTTCCCTCCATTATTATTAAGGAATCATAAATGAGTCCACTGGTATAATTATACTTATCCATGTATTTATAGAAGTACTGTATAAGAGCTGATGAGAGGCGATATTCCTAAGGTAGTAATTAGTAAGGTAAATTTGAAATATACTGGAGCCTAGCTGAGATTAAGTTACTACAGATCGTAAATGGTTTGACTCGTCCGGGAAATACCACCCTCTCACAAAATAAAGTAGTCATTTATTCTCTTTCTTCACAAAATACATGATACACAAATAGACATCTTATATAAATAGACATTTGTGAGAGACTGGAGCCCGTGATGGGTATATGAATACCTGTATTACAGGTCTCCAGACAAAAGATCGGCGTGAAATAGTCTTTAATGGATGTGTTTCGTCCTATGAGTGAGAGAGACGGTTGCCCTTTTCTTTTCCACACTCAAGGTCGGCAAAACATGTCCATAAGCGACAGTACTTCTATAATAATCTATTAAGTATTCCGTGTGGTCGTATATCAAATTAATCTCTATATACTCACAGTCTCTTCACTATCCCCGTGCGCGCCGCTAGCAGCCCTCGCGCGCTCCTCCCTCTCGGCGATAGTGCGTATCATGTGATCCGGGTTGGGCGCGAACACAGCGCACGTGACGACCGCGTTGTGCGCCTTGATGCCCTCCCAGAAGTCGTTTCTGTCGCGCCTCACGGACGTGAACTTGGAGTAATCATGGCAGGTCTTCCATATATAGATGCACTGGTTCTCTGAACCGCTGACAATGTACTTCCCGTCGTGAGAGAAGGACGCCTTGATCTGGCTCGACACGTTCACGTAGCCCTTGTACTTGCAGGACAGGTTGAGGTCGCGCAGATCGTACAACCTGATGCGGCTGTCGTTGGACGTCACTAGTATTTTATCGTCGTTGGGCATCGGTTCTATGCCGCTGATCTTCTGCCCGGTTGAGTTCTTCCCTCTAGTTGAGCGCACGTCTATCTGCGTGTGATACTTCAGCTGGTCCGTAGTATAGAAGATGCATCTGCCGTCATACGTCCCGACTACCGCGAATTTGCCGTTCTGACAGAAATTCGCCGCCGTTATCAGCTTGGTTTTTCCGTCCACCTCGTTCCACACGGCCACCTGGAAAATTCGACTTAATTTGTACAAAAGTTGGAATTATAACTTATTCTCCTATTGTAAATATTTAACGTCCCCAGTGGCGTGCAAAGAGATTTGGGGTAGGGTAAGCAGAATATGTATTAAAAAAATACAAATTTTCATCATTTTCTTCGTAAAGATTGATAACAATGAGATATTTGGAAAGTATTCATATAAATGAAACTAATATTTTCGGATTACTAGACTTAATTTACTATTACTAACGGGCAGACGAGATGTCTGCCGTGATCACGGTTGCTAAAAACTAATCGAAACGTCGGGAGTATGTAGTTTTTAAACATAATAAAGTACGCGAAGTAACCAGAAAATATTAGTTTCATTTAAACATTTATAATATTCGCGCATAATGTTACAGTAGTCCGATCAGAAAGAACGTCTTTATACTTTATGAATCTCTCAAATACCCCGGACTTCTGAGCCACGAAACCTTAAAACGATTACGATCTGTTCAGAATCATCATGTGAAGATTCAAACATTCTTATTATTATCATTTGAAAATAACAGACAAGGTTTGCCTTGTTTGCCTTGCCAAAATAACTTATGTGTGTGTACACAACATGCTAACTAATTAAAACTATCATAATACTTTTTACTAAAAAGAATAACAATACCTTTCTTTTAGTTAAATCTCAACTGGTCACACACTTTGACTTTACATTTATTTTAATTTTATTATCAAACGACAGTATTGAAAATCTACTAGTGACTAATTTCAATAATCACAAATCACAAGAGCTCACAGCTATAGTTTTCCATAATAAATTAATCCACTGTTTACTAATTAAAACTTATTCACTTGACCTTAGAAAGACAAATGACAATATTAAAAAATAATAAAATAGCGAAAAAATATATGAACAGTTTACTGACCAATCAGAGAATCCCGTTTCATTTCATAATTAACGGACTTTCTACGACATTTTAAACAATGCAAAATAATTAGTGCTTCCCGAACACTATGCATGTGTTAGTTTTACACTCACACATACAAACATTTCATATACACATACACGAGAATTGTAGATCGTCCTTGAGAATTTTTGTATGTAAAATAAGCAGAGTGGTTGTGCATACCGCCGCTCTGTCTGCATAGCGGCGCTAGCAGTTAGCAGCGGCCAATCGAAAATGTTTCGTTTTTACATTCATAGATGGCACTTATTAACAAATCATGAATCAAATGTATTTTGAACGTCTGTTAACATTTGTATTAAAAGTATGTAAGTAAGAATTAAATAATATAGGTTTAGTTGTTATATGGATAGGGCATGCAGTGCATATTTGCTTCTACCGAGTGCACGCCACTGAACGTGCCCACACTCCTATAGTTCGTATATATGTAATGAAATGGAATTTCAATAAATTCAAATTTGCCATTGCAATGTTTGTAACTTGTCGACCAGAGACGCGTCACTATTCACTAATGGCGAATTATGTTTAAGTTTTTGTGCACTTTATGATTATTAAAACGTGTAGAGAGATAAACTAAGGGATACAATTGAGGAGGCGATATTAGTGGACTTTAATGTTTTTTCTTTGTATTTTCAGAGAAATAAATTGTGGTTTGCTTTGAATGCCCTTGATAATGTTCCTTATATACATAAGTATCAAAGTTCCGTACCTTCTTATCAGGTATGTCCCACAGCCTCAGTTTCCCATCAAGACTGCCGGACAGGAAATACCTGTCGTCCCTCGGATGGAACACGATGGCGGTCACGAAGTCTATATGTTGGAAACAGCACAGACACTCGCCGCGGGAGATGTGCCACAACCTGACCGTCTTGTCCATAGAGCTTGATAACACGAAGTAGTTCTTGGACCACGACACGTCCAGCAGGTCCGACGTGTGGCCGGAGTATGTGCAGAACGGCTTGGGGCAGAAGGGTGCGGAGGGACCGAGGGGCGTGTCCTCCGGGGAGGGGGGCGGGGCCGACATTGACGGCAGGGACTCTTGAGACGGAGTCGGCGAGGACTTCTTCTCTGCGTTGTATTTGGTTCGCATGTCCTGTTACAAGGAATCAATTTAGTTTAGTTATTACAATTTCAAGAATTAATTGAAATTATATTGTGTTTTTTATGTTAAAATAGTGATGAAGCTATTGTTTAGTATTAGTACATAGTTGTCCCCTGTATTGGAATTTGTTAACTGTAATAATTGACAATCCCGTCGTGTTGTGCATGCACCCTTAGGGTTATAATATGTTCGATACAATTAATGTTTAAGAAATATTCTCTATGTAATTGTAACCTGTTGTGTTTGCTTTAATAAATAAATAAATAAATAAATAAATAAATAAATAAATAAATAAATAAATAAATAAATTGATACTTAACCAGAAACTATAACTTGGATATGATCCCAAAAAATTTGATTGCATCTAGTTTAAACAAAGCAAAATCCTGATAAGACCATAACTAAGATGACATTAGACAACTATTATTGACTTCTAGTAAGATATTTATATATGTACCTGGAACAGATGGTAGGCGTCTCTAGTAACCCAGATCCTTAGCAGCCGGTCTTGACCCGCCGTAGCCAGCAGCCGTCCACACACGCTGAACTTACAACACCACACCGCACCCGCGTGCGCTGAACCCATCTCCTACACACACAAACACACACACACTAGTTAAAAACAAGAAAAAGTACCTGCACCTCGATATGAAGTATAATGTATAGTGATTTCAATTTTGTTGTACCTTGAACATTGATATGATTAATAAAAAATAATAAAATAAAAATTTGTTTATTACTGTAACTTATACCTAGAAAAAACAGATACAGCTAGGGAACTCCTTTTAAGAAATGGAATTATCTTGTGTTAGGAGTCCCCGCTCTTCCACAAACGATATCACGTATGGATTAATGATACTACTTTGGACAGTAAACTATTTTTTGTGGTATGAAAAGTAAATTGTTTCTATAAGGTCATGACAACGAAAACTCATGTAACCTTAAGCTTTAGATGAAACAGATTACGAATTATTTTTGTGTAAAGATTTATTTGTGATATATTTTTCCTAATCTCAATTTTGCACGAGTCTACCTTCAATAACGAATTCAGAACTACAGATCATTGGACGAAATAGTAACAATTACTAGGAAAAACTTATTTGACGATAGACACATTTATTGCGTCTAATTTACATTTTGTGACTACCCTATAATTGACTTGAAGATGTGCGTGTATGTGTGTGTGTATGATACTCACCTGTACATATCTAACACAGCCATCAAAGTCGTAAGGTCCCTTGTGTGAGTTGGAGGCCTTCAGTTTAATATTATGTTCGCCCCTGACTTCGTCCACTATATCCGCCACGTCCTCCTTGTGTCGCGCGTGAGACACCTCCTGAGCTAACGACTTGGCCGCGTCAACCGTCTTCTTCACAGTAGAACCGAAGAAACGCTTCAACCTAACACGTATATTCATATATTATTTGATCAGAATAATATATGTGGCAAACACGAGTTAGGAAACAAAACAAACACAGAATTAGTTGGATGGTCAAAGGAAAAACGTTTTTAATGCAAACAAAATAAAAGTCGTTTTACATTGTACCAAACTGCATGGCATTACTTTTGTTATATTAGTATGGGTATGTATGAATATTCGTGTGTGTGTGTGTGTGTGTGTGTGTGTGTGTGTGTGTGTGTGTGTGTGTGTGTGTGTGTGTGTACGTGTGACCACACTCTATTCAGATTCAAAGCAAACCGTTCCCAATCACCTCACGTTGATGTTGTCCTGAGAGTGACACTTCACAAGATCGGCGTGGATGAGTCTACGTCATTACATATATTACTTAACATCATTTATGACAAGCTCATACAAACAGATGTATTCTAGGAAATAATAATATTCTTCTGAATAAAAAAAATAGCTGTATAACTGTAATTTCTCTAATAACTGCATTCTACTTAGTCATAAATGTTTATATTTGTATGTATGGATATCTAAGCCTCATACACGAAAAATATTGAATATCTTATAATCCTGGAAAATGGTGTATCCTATTCACCAGAATAACATATAGTTTACAATATATTTGAGCGAGAACACATCATTAAATAAGTCGTTTGTATGAAGCCACTACAGATGACGATAGATGGCGCTGACTTTAGTTTAACCAATGTACTACACATGTTACTTATATCTCTCTGAATACAGAAGCGAATACAATATGAAGGAAGTCGCGGTAAGAACCTAGTATATATCTTACTTGTCTGTTTTCCTCTTAATGCCTGTCGGTCGGTCTGCGCCCTCCTTGCCCGCCTCCCGAGCCTCTTGCTCCGCGCCCACACACACACTCTCACTTTCTTCATCAGTTTCTCTATAAAAACAGTTTTATAAACACATATATATGTATATACAATTTTTAAATTTATTCAAAGCAACTATCGGAGCACCAATAATACTTTTTAACTAATGACCAACACAATAGTAATTATATTATCTACTTTATGCTTCGTTATAAATATGAAGGCATATTCAACTTAATCATACATTTTATACGAATAAAGCCTAAATACATGGCGTTACGTGTAATAAACCACAAAATATTATATTACGTAATCCAAGAAGCGTCGAATAAGCTATAAGCCCTATTGTAATACAGATATATACAGATATAAAGCGGAGTGTACACTAGAGGAAGTGTTTAAGACCTAGTGTATATACTGAGAGTGGACAGAGTGGGGAGCGGCGTGGAGGGTGATCGCTTCAAGCCGCCCACGATCATACACGACCTTTTACGCCAAATACTCTTTGGCTTCGACTTCGGACTGGAAATTCATACTAATATTATACAAACATTCCGACTATGGTCATTGTGCTCATTCATTTACATGCAGTGCGGCTAAGGGTCTTTACACACTGTAGTTATTATTGAAACTGGTTGAAACAATATATAATGTATATCGTGATCCAGTGTGTAGGGTGTCCTTATACCTTGTGTTCTCTCCGTCGTTGGTACGCCCGATGTACTCGGAGGTGAGCCTCATGATGTGTAGACTCAGAGGGTTGATGCACTGAGGCAGCTTGTGTTCAGCCACGCTGAGAGGCATGCGCTCACCTGGAAAATATAACAAGCTGTATCAGCTATAAACCACATAGGATTAAGCTCGAATGTTCATAAGCTTCTGACAAGCTGAGATAAATTTTGAAACGTAGGAGGGGCTGAAATGTATCGTTTTCATTTTATATAAAATACCGAACATCATCTTTCTTTTTATTGCTCCAAATATATCTTTGATATTTCATTTTCAACCACAATAAAACTAAAATCGCAGTCTCAATAGAGCTAGTTAAACTATAATAAGTTTTCAGTCAGGAATCGTTGTAAAAATGTTTTCCAAAGTGCGAGTAGTTTTAAAACTGACTATATTATACAGGGTGACTGGTGAATTACTATCAATATTTAAGGAGAATACTCGGCACATGATTCTCATTCGAATTATGTTAAAAAAAATAGGTACTTAATTTTTGACCAAATTTCTGTATAAATAACTAAAGTGTGGACACGTTCCAAGTCTTCCAAGTGTGGACGTGTGCGGCGGCGTGCTGATACAACACCACGCCGCCGCACGCGTGTGTGTGTGAGTGTATACCTAATCTGTAGGGTGTTCACACGATGCGTAATTAATTACGTAACTTTTGATTAACTTTACTTAGAAGTTTATTAATATTTATGTTATATTAATTTTTATTTTGTCATATATGATCGTCAAATATCACATCCTCAAGTATCGATAATAATTCACCAGTCACCCTGTATATATTTTCAACTTTATTTTAATGTAATTATTAAAAAAAATCTGCTCATGTTATGTATTTTGCTCTCCAACTTAAGACACCTATTTTAAAGTGTATTTTTCTTAATAACCAATCTTACCGGTGTCTAGATTGAGCACGGTGACCTGTTCCAGTATTTCCATGTCTGAGAGAGGTCGCGCAGAGTGTTGAGGGGAATCCCCGGCCGAGCGACGACGGGCGCGACACTCTGTACGTCTATAAGGAAACATACATTCATGTAGTCATCATATTATTTTATTTTTAGTAAAAAAAGGTTGTATAAATATTACTCCGGGTAAGCGTAGATTAAGAATATAAATAAGATTCTCGTCTTTTAATCTTGCCTAGATATAGATAATAAAATATGAAATAATAAATAGTAATCCTTCTTGCATGAAAGTATTTTGTATTTATTGTAGTATTTTGGGGAATAATTTGAAAATTTAATACATAAAGGAAGGACTACAGCGTCGGGTAGTATTATAAGAATATAGACCGTTTGAATATTTGAAAAGAGAACTAAAATTATAAATTAAAACAAATTTCAATTTTACATAATAGTACAATAAAATTGAAAATAATAAAGCAACATTTAAAGTAAGTAATGAAGGAGTTTTTTTAATGTAAAAAGTGACAAACGAGCAGACGGCCCACTTGATGGTCAGTAGTGACCGTCGCCCATGGACATCCACAACATACATGTTGCGGATTCGTTGCCAAGCTTACTTGTGAGGGAAAAGGGAGGGGTGGGAATAAGGAAATATAAGGAAAGGTTGGGAACAGGAAAAGGGCAACCGGCTCTCTCACTCATCGGACGAAACGCAGTCATTAAAGACTACTTCACGGCGATCTTCTGTGAGAGGGAAATACTTCCCCGGTCGAGCCAGCCCGTGTTCGAGCTGTAGTAACTGAACTATAGCTAGGCTCTACCACCTATAACAGGTATTTCTGTTTTGTTTCTCTAGTTGATACTCACTTGGAGACCGATCCTAGGCTTGAAGTGCCAGTCGGCGGCCGACCCTCACTATGTGTCCTACCGGTACAACTAGTAGCCTCGATACTATCACCACTGTAAGCTTTCTCTTCATCTTGAGGCTTCACCACGTAATCTCCTGCTCAGACACAAAATTATACGATAATTTTACCAAAAACTGTGGAGCAACAAAATTTGACGAAAATTCGGCAAAATCAGGTAGTAACTTTTTTGGCGAGAATGCAAAATAAAAGATAATCATAAAATATTTCAGCAAGAATCGATTCGATTGATCGATATTAGTTTTTTTATTGCAAGGAATGATGATAGAGTGAATGACGCACCTTTAACGGCCTCCCGTATGTCCAACGTGGATTGTGGCTTCAAAGTCGAATCACGGGACTCGCGACTGACTGAAGAATCCGCTGATATAAAAAAACGTATATTTAGTACGATCTTTATATATATAATTCTTCTGTGAGTGTGTATGTCACTGAACTTCTCTCAAGCGACTGGACCGATTTAGATGAAATTTTTTGTGTGTGTTCAAGGGGATCTGGGAATGGTTTAGATTCACAATTTTATTAAATTGTGAATAACAATACTTTGGTCACAGATCTATTACAGAGTATTATTGGAAGTGTAATTTTAAAATTCAAATACATATAAAAGAACGTAAACAATAAAATCAAAGTAAAATTTGAAATTATTATTACTTCTTAATTTGATATGGTTCTAACTAGTAACCAGTTTCCAAGAACCCTGTATTTTTAAATGCATTATGACTTCTTAATTTGATATGGTTCTAACTAATATCAATCTCCAAGGACGTCGGTTCCTTATCATTGTAACACGTACCGTATTTGGTGGATAGTTCTAGTTCGTCTCTGAACTCTCGTGTAAGCGACTCGATGGTGCTGGCGGGGCTCGGTAACGCCGCGCTCACGGAACACGCTGGCTGGAATATATTACAAGGAAATGTGAGATAAAGACATATTACACAATAGATAAATAATATAAACAGCTCTTTTGTATTAAAATATATCTTAAATTTATATAAATATATGAATACGCATTTAATTATATAATGGAACATGAAATCAATATTCTGATTAGAAGTAAGATCATAGCGTAATTCGTAGGTTGAAACTTGAATTCAAACGTTCTGAAAAGAATTCGGCAATTGAAACATTAAAACATAGATTTACATATTTTCGTTATTTCTAATTCTAATTGTAATAATAACATATTATTTTTGTATATAAAGGCAAACATGTTTCATGTAAACCATTCTCATAGCCACAGTTACTTGAGTTTTAATCTTAACAACAAATCCTCGAACGCAGTCTCCATAAATACATATAAAAATTTAATATCAAAAATGTACATTTAACATATTTTCTGAATGCATATTAATATTGAAGACAGTATCACATCAAAAGTAATGTACTATATATTACTTAATCGTGGACTGTTAATGAAAAACTTGGGAACTTTTAACAATATTTCCTACTAAAGTCTCAACTCACCTCAACAATCAGAGTTTCCAACTGCGGTTTCTCTATCCTCCTTAAATAGCCTATATCGTCAGTATCTGTCGTACAAACGCTCAGATTATCCCCGTCTGTTGTGGACAGGGATTGAGAACCGTGGAGTTTATCTGTAATGTTATTTAACACTTAAAGTATCGATCACTATTGTTAATAATTATTAGACATCACGGACATCACAACATTAAATATTATTAACCTTTCAAAAGTCTGGGATAAAAACTATCCTTTGTTCTTTCTCAAGGTCAACTCTATCTATGTACCAAATTTCATTAAAATCAGTTCAGTGCTTTAGGCGTGAAAGCGTAACAGACAGACAGAGTTACTTTCGCATTTATAATATAATATTAGTAGGGAAAAATATTTCACTTCTTTACGACGGTTGTTGTGAACTAAAACTGATTAAGTGGCAATAGAAAATGTAACCTGTTTTTAATACGTGATGTGTTCGTATAATATGGATACATATATAGGGAGTGGATTTGTTTGAGGGGGGGGGGGCCACTTACTTTAGATTACGACGACAAATTACCAAGCAGCGAACAGACAGAAGATTGCTATTGTGTAAGAAACGTAGGAGAAGAGTTAAGGTTGGAAGATGTTTTCTACTTCACCTCTAGCGTCATGCATTAGTCACGAAGGAATCAAGAACAATACTCACTTTATTATGATATTCATATACCGGATGTGCTATTTCGCTCTAACGCCAAGATATAGAGAGAGAAGGAACTATTTGTGGAGAAATAGGGAGTGGTCCAATAGTTACTATTATACTCACTGTTCATCGATGTCTCTGATGCCTTCTATTTTTGGCTTTGACTTTGATGTTTGAGGTTCAAAGTATCAACACTATTTGCATTAAAATTAACATGCATAGGATTCTTACTTAATAGGCATACTTCTGTGTACTATAAGTTTTGGAGAGGAAGAAAGGTGTTTTAGGTTTCACTTACAACTCTCTGGTTCGCTCGATGTAGTATAGTGCTTTAACTGGTTTGGGTGTATCTAATACATACAATGAGTGACTCACTTCGTTTTCTCCTCCTAGGTGGCGCTATAGGTCCAGGTCGTGGGGCGCTAACGCTGACTGTGGTCCCGCGGCATACCTTCAAGCTGTTCGCCTTCGTGCTGGCGATCACGTCCGGCTCCACTGAGGAGAGAACGATCTATAAGACCCCCCCTCAGACACTAACTATATTAAATCCAACGATTACGTAACATGGGACCTATTTTTTTTTATGGTAAAGGGGTAAACCGAGTAGACGTCCTACCAGATGGAAGTAGTACCGTCGCCCATGGACATCCGCAACATTTCTATGTCGCAGATGTGTCGCTACCTTTGATTAGGGAAAAGGAGGAGGGAAAAGTGGAAAAGGGAGGGAAAAGGTAAGGCGTAGCAAAGGACGAGAAAAAGGAAATGGCTGGAATGATTTGGTCTTCATCCGAATTATATGATAAAAATAATACAATTTTACTATGAAAAGTCCAAATATATGATCCGTTCATCTTCCATAAGAATCCAAAAAAGTTAAAGTATAAAAGTTAGTTAAATTAAGCACAATGAGCAAAAAAACTATAGAATTCTTACCATTCTGTGTTCTATCAACCATAATGGGTTCGTCTGTGATGTGTGATAGTTCCCGCGGCGCGGTCACCATATGCGTGGACTCTCGTATATTTGCTGTATCAAATTATCAACATTATTATCTATTTTACCTAAAAATACTAATTTTAATATATTCCACTCACGATGTGATTCAGCGGCTCCACTAAGAATTCTTCCGATCCTGCCAAGCGACGTCATACTCTGAAGACTCATTGTGTCGTGTGATATTATTCTATAATACCAAAGAAATATATTTCTTTCATTGTAGCATACATTGTATAACACAGTAAAATATTTCTACCGTGAACTGTTCTAATCAATTCATTTGCCAAGGATTGGACGACAATTATATTGTATTATTATTCTCTTTTCATTAAGTTTTTCGTATTGAATATGAACCTTAATTCAATCAAAATTATTTAGGTAATAAACAAGCTACATAAACAACACGCAATTCGCTTTTTTATAGATATTTAATAAAATATAATCTGATAATGGACCTTAATTTTTTTTCTAATATAATCTATTTTTTGTTATCATAGACAAGAAAAACTTCATATGAGACGAAACTTCTCAGCATTCCATGGATTCACCGTGCGGGTGCCGGGTCCATCGCGTTGCAGGGAGAGAAGCTTCAACAGTGACTGGGACTTGTGACTGGTGAATTACTATCAATATTTAAGGAGCATACTCGGTACATGATTCTCATTCGAATTATGTAAAAAAAAATAGGTACTTAATTTTTTACCAAATTTCCGAATAAATAAATAAAGTGTGTACACGTTCCAACTGTTCCAAGTGTGGACGCGTGCGGCGGCGTGCTGATACAACACACGCCGCCGCGCGCGTATGTGTGAGTGTGTGTATACCTAATCTGTAGGGTGTTCATACGATGCGTAATTAATTACATAACTTTTGGTTAACTTGACTTAGAAGTTTATTAATATTTATGTTATATTAATAGTAATTCACCAGTTACCCTGTATATACAGGGTGACTGGTGAATTACTATCGATATTTGAGGACGTGATAGTTGACGATCATATATGACAAAATAAAAATTAATATAACATAAATATTAATAAACTTCTAAGTAAAGTTAACCAAAAGTTGTGTAATTAATTACGCATCGTATGAACACCCTACAGATTAGGTATACAGACACACTCACACACACACGCGGCGGGGGCGTGGTTTTGTATCAGTACGCCGCCGCACGCGTCCACACTAGGAACACTTGGAACGTGTACACACTTTATTTATTTATACGGAAATTTGATCAAAAATTAAGTACCTATTTTTTTTACATAATTCGAATGAGAATCATGTACCGACTATGCTCCTTAAATATTGATAGTAATTCACCAGTCACCCTGTATATATATATATATATATATATATATATATATATATATATATATATGTCTATGGTAGATCTTTACGTACTTGAAGGGATGTTCCATTGGTGCAGCCAGCGGCGCGCCTGCCTCCGGCTCATCTTCCTCCTCCGTCTGCATACATCTCCTCAACTCTTGGAAACGACGTCTTTCTTGCACCACCTATTAATATTACACTAGTTTTTACCCTCGACTTCGTCTGCGTAGGCTAGTATTTGGATCAGAGATAAAATAATAGTGGGTAACTGAAAGATGGGGCCGTTTATATTCTGTCTTATGTACAAAATATAACTATCACGGCTTAAAAGAACTAAAACAAATCTCTTTATGGGTTAATTTTATGTTATTCTATGTTCCGAGCTATGTTATAAAAAGTTTCATACATATTTACTTACATTTTTTTTTTTTTGCATAAGAAAGCACATCTAACACTCTAACACCCACACCTAAATAACACCTAATAATTATGTATGGGACATTCATAAATCCTCACAAACTTTCGCATTTATTATATTACTAGCTGCGCCCCGCGGTGTTACCCGCGGATTTCCGGAATGTAAAGTAGCCTATGTGTTATTCCTGGACGTCAACTTCCTGTATACAAAATTTTATCAAAATCTTTTCAGCCGTTTGAGCGTGAAGAAGTAACAAACATACACACACACTCACAAACTTTCGTAATTATAATATTAGTAGGATAAGGACTATAGTTAATAGTGTTAACATTACATACATTCTTCACTGTATTCCTATCTTCCTGAACTGTTTCTATGGGTGTGCTGGCTGCAACCACTTGTGGCGTTTCTTCAGTCTTGATCGTTTTATCTTCACCATTACTCTTCTCTGACAAACTGATACTCTTACATAATGAGGACCTCCTAAACAAAATCATTAATGTAATATTTTTATATATTTTATACAATTTTATTATATGAATCTAATGTTGTTGTCTTATTTACTTATTTGGAATAATGTAAAAGGTTACTGATCAAAGAAAGAACAGAGCTCAACATATATTTGCTTATGGTGAACACCAACCTAAGAAAATCTAGGTGGAATCATCATTACAAGTCGAAAATTAAGTGTTCCTGAGCATTAGACCCCAAGTGAAAGGAAATTTTTTATTTAGTTAAATACAACATATTGACTATGTAGGCCCTCAGAAATAAATGGTATAGATCTCTACTCAAAGGACCTTTCCAATATAATCTTGCAAGGAAAGAAAATATAAGAATTATTGTTAGAGAAAAAAATAATAAATCTTTGTCTTTAACTAAAAAAACTATGCCCTTATAAGGTAACACCAAGCTATTCATAAAGAGTATTTAATTAATAAGTCTTCACCCGAGCTAATGCTATAAAATAAGTTTAAAAAGAAATATCTGGAACATTATATAATTGATGTAACAATGTCAGCTTGTTGCACGAGTAATGTGCAGTTCCTCTGAACTAAATATAATTAACACTGCTTAAGTAACAATATACATTGAATATTGATAAACAGTGAAAAATCTTCAAATATTTAACTCAAGCCACAGACATCTCTGTTAGAAATAATTTATTCACAGTATTTCTTTATAGTAAATTCCTAATAAGATTAATCAAGAAAAGTTTAATCAGAACATGCACAGACCGGAAATATAAATAAATATTTACTTAAAGAAAGAAAATGATTTTATATGTCATCCGAGTCAATGCTCAAAACAAAATTATATTCTAATAAACTGTTACCATTAAGTGTAATTTCTGCAGCTATAAGCAATACGAATTGACCCCAACTATTACACACAGGGGAATTTGGGTTTAGTGGTTGTAATTTGAACTATAGAAAGAATCTATATACATAATGATATACAGATAACAATGTATTTAGCCTTCAAATTCAATACATAATTTCAATGTATTATTTTGATGATATGTAAATTACAAATGAATCATACAAATACAATCAATAGACCAGAATTACTCATACAAATATAAAAAATCTTTAGTAGTCTTATTCTTCTCCTTCCTGAACATTTCCCAGCCTTAGCCAGGGTCTGCTTTACATGTTATGAATAGTTTTGGCTAGTTATTTTTACGACCGGCCGCCTGCCTCACATCAACCCTCTTTGGGAATTTAGTGTTATGATACACTAAAAATTCACGAGTATACAGGATAACTGGTGAATTACTATCGATATTTGAGGACGTGATAATTGACGGTCATATATGACAAAATAAAAATTAATATAACATAAATATTAATAAACTTCTAAGTAAAGTTTACCAAAAGTTATGTAATTAATTACGCATTGTATGAACACCCTACAGATTACGTATAAACACACACACACACACACACTCGCGCGCGGCGGCGTGTTGTTGTATCAGCACGCCGCCGCACGCGTCCACACTTGGAACACTTGGAATGTGTACACACTTTATTTATTTATACGGAAATTTGGTCAAAAATTAAGTACCTATTTTTTTTACATAATTCGAATGAGAATCATGTACCGAGTATGCTCCTTAAATATTGACAGTAATTCACCAGTCACCCTGTATATTAAAATAAAAATGCACATATTTGTTGGATATGTTTTGAGATTTTGGTATGAAATATTTTACTCAAAATTGTGACTAGTTTTCAGAAACAGGGATCACAAACACATAAAATCAAAGTATTTCTCCAGTAGTTCTATTTTTTGTTATCCAATAATGTTTTAATTGCCTCATATATTCTTAATCATGTGTGAGGTTCCAAATAAAATGTAGAAAAATAAAAAATTGCTCCAATATAAAGTATTGTTAAAACTTTAAATATTGTTATAGTAGATGTTTAATATCAATAGCAAGTGATTTTTGTTATCTCTGAAACAATGTGTGAATATATTATTACCTATCTGAAGTGTACCTTGGATGTCTATGTAATATATATTTGTAATTGTTTGTATGTTAAAGAAAATCTATAAATTTCTTTACAATATTGATGAGGTAAGGATAATCTTTTCTAGTTATGGCTAAATGTTTAAATATAATTCCCATCATATTTAACCTGTCTTTTTATTCTAGAAAGATTTTCCATATGATGCTAGACACTACAGGTTATTTGTATTCAGTCAGTGGTAACTTGCTCATAAACAGACCATAATATATTAATATATAACAAATAATTATGAATTATTAATAAAGAAACATTATTATAAAAATATATATTAAGAACTAACTTACTTTATGGGGTAGCAAAGTAATTGAAGTGATTTTGACATAACAAATATTTACTAACAACCAAATTGAACAAATATACACTACTTACTGACCAAGACTGAATACATTTGGTATATTACTATTGCCGAGTTAACAAGTAATCATTTGAACTAACTGTAACACTAAATAATCACCTGCCGATACCAAGGACGTATAAAAGTAGGAAAACATCTGTTTAATTGCAACTATCAAGCAAAACCAGTTTTTTGGACTCGTCAAGTTATATAAACGGTGCCAGTGTTTACTAACTGAAGCAAGGTGTATAGTTTTACAATAATATGTTTAGTTTAACGTAAATATTCCGTTTAAATTATATTTTAAAAGAACTTACTTTGAACCCTTGACAGGCGTGAATTCTTCAGCATCAAAAAACTCTTCGGAATCGCTACTGTCGTCCATTTTGTCGGTATATAAGGTTAATCACTTAAAACTTTATACAAAAATTAAATAAAGTCATCTAGAACATAGTTTATATTAGAGTTATTTGAGACACAAAGTTGATACAATTTTTATCAACCATTTTCTATTATACGACATGTCGCACTGACGTTTGTCATTAATGACAGGTTATTGTAATAGCTTATTGCGTTCAAAAACTAGAAAATGAATCATGTACTTTATTTAAAAAAAAGAATAAAGCTGTGTGCCTTAAATAAAATCACCAATAAATTGGTACATTTAATGTGATTTATACTTATAAAAATTAATGGATACTGTCAAAAGAAATAGATTGTTCTTCACAAATCTAAATCTAATTCATTTATAGTTCAGGCTCCATACTATACTACTTGATCAGTGATCAATAAGTTCTATGCGTAGTGATGCATAGAACTTATTTCTTCCCAGCTCATTCTTTTATCTTCTAGTCTCATTCTGTTAACCAGTACTTTAATGAATAAAAAGCTTCAGTTTTGTTTTTCAAGGCTTATGTCCCATAAGAAAAGTCTTTCTACCAAAAAGGCTAACAGGATCTTTGTCGTAGGTGTATAAATATTAGAGAGTGTTGAGAGACAAGGATTGATTATTCCCACCGCAAAATGGTCTAATAGTGTTTTAGAATATATTATAGACTTTTTTACAAAACGATTACTTAGGTGTTTAATAAATATTTAGTATCAAATAATAACTAAACTGAGTAAAAAATACTAATGATAACAAACTGTTATTTTTTCAGGGTACAGAACAATATTCGGTTTTTGTAATGAAGACCTATCTTGTTCTTAAACGATAAATACCAGTGCACCTAGAAATCATCGATAATATAAAGTGTTTTTAAGTTTATTTTCTATGGACCAATTATTATAAAATAGAGTTAATTTAATCCGCTTTAACAACTCCTGAGATGTATACGTCAAATTTTTATTTTTAAATCTCTCTGTCTCATAGGCTTAGTAAGGGTCATACCGCTCTATTCCGGATAAACAATGGAAATCAAGATATTGTCATAAAATCGTATTGTTTCATTGGTAATATTGCGGGATAAACAGTCATCTGGTCAGAAGCTCATAATTATGAAGGCACTTTTATCTGCTGTGGATTATTAAAGAGATTTTAGCGAGCAACCTTAAATAGAAACTAATCATCTGATTATCGTTTTTTAGAATCAAATATGTATATGTAGTTTGATATATTTAAGGGGTTGTATGCTCATAAGTAGTAAATTAAGCTCAGCATAGATGTGCAGTTTAAAATGTTTGGAGCTTCAATTACGCAGGGTATGCAATATTTTGTGACTATGAATATAGTATTACAATTTAATTACAAAACACAACGTACTTTTTAAATAAAATAATTAAAACGGTAAGACTTCTTTGCAAATCACTTATTTATTTCAAACTACCACAAAATATTGAATAATTACATTCCTATAAGCTATTTAAATTTTCTCCCCTCCTCTCTCTTAACACCTCGACCTGAGAAGCAGCACCCTCTCACAGAAGATCGGCGTGAAGTAGTCTCTAATGGATGCGTTTCGTTATGAGTGAGAGAGCCGGTTACCCTTTTCCTGTTCCCACCCTTTCCTGCTACCTCCTTATTCCAACCCCTCTCTCTTCCTCAACAACCAAAGTCGGCTACACATCCACAACAAAAGACATGTGGATGGCCATGGGAGCCGATACCTATAGTGAACATCGTTTGCCATTTTTCTCATAAAAAGTCCATGTTATTTGACTGACCGATTAGACATTAGAGTATTGTTTTTATTTAACTTTAGTTAACTAAGTAAATATGTCCATGCATTTGGCTTCTTATAAAGGAAATGCGTAGTAAGCGGTTGTCTTAAACGAAAAAAAAATTCACTATAAAACGGTGAGGGATGGCAAAGAAATTTTCAGAAATTTAGAATAACAGTAACGAAAAGGAATGACAAAAACCGAAGCCGGCTTTTAAATGTACTTGATAATTTTAATATGAAGGAATAATGAATACAAAGAATGTAAGGGTTTTTACGAACTAGTATTGGTTATGATGTGAACTTATAGAGAAAATGAGTCATGGCCATACTGTCTTAGTAAACGATAAGAAAGTCACTGAATCTTGTTTAATTAGTCCTCTTTAGTATCAAAAGAAATATATTTAAATAATTCAAACGTTGAAGTAGAGGCGAATTCTCCTAAGGCAATTTTTATTAAGAAAATCGATTTATTAATGAAAATCTGTAAAGTAAACTCATTTTACAAAAAAAATCTACCATTACTATTATGCATCCAGAAAATATACTGGATCCAATAAAACAACAGTCAAATTATTTATTTCATCATAACAAGGAGTTGTTACACTACTTATCGAAAATATCAGATGCATTTTTATTAAGTTAGTCTTTAACTTCATTGTATTTTAAAGGTAATTATAACTGTGAATTTTTAATTAAGTCTCAAAATTCTCTTTCATTATTCAAGTTAAAAACAAAGCACACAATTCGTGGATATCAGATGTTTGTTCCACCTCGTTGCAATAAGGGCTAAATTCAACACAATATAGCGTCCTTTGTTGACGTCACGGTAGCTGAAGATGGAACGGCGCCGGAGATCTGATGACACCTGAAACCCTACCATTGACCTTAGGCGTGTACAAAGATATATTACTATGAAACATTTATTAAATCACTACTACGAATAAAAATAAAAGGGATATTTTAGCCTGACATTAAATGTCATGTTGTTGTCATTTTTTTTATTACTCTGAAACAGTTTGCAATATACAGCCTAACATTATTTAAAATTAAAATAGTTTTTAATATTCGGGTTCAATATAAAAATAATCTTACATTTAAGCGGTGACATCCCTAGCACGTGACAAAGTTTTTCATGGAACATTAAATTACAGGTTAATAAAAAAAAAACACAAAAAACCTTAAGAAGGTGACGAGACAATGAAAACAAGACAATGCAATTAACACACGTACATTACAATCCTTCTTTTATCCACCAAAATGCATTTCAATAGTTTTTTATGATAAATGAAATATAATAATAGACACGGAAATAGAATATCTAATATACATGTCAGGAGGATATTCTTACAGTGCTAAAATAATTTTAATAATAGCTTATATGTGTAATGTTGTAAGTAGAAACCACACAAGGAAGATTTAATAATAATTGCATTTTTCAACACATACCGCTATTAACAAATGCTAAAATAATCTATTTATCTGCTTATCATTTTGATGTATAATCTGTAATAATTGTCAAGGTTCAAAATGACGTATTATAAATCAAAAACTTTAAAAATCTTGCTAAAAAATGTTACATATTTTTTTAGTGATAGAGAAAATTGTACGTCTGGTTTGCATAATTGAAAATATATAAAAGTGATCTATTATACTTAAACTACATTAGGTTAAAAAGAACTATATATTTTCATGTTAAATTATTTTTATTAAATCTAGATGTTCATAAATATAAATACATATATTTTTATTATGTACAAATAAAATAATTACGAAATGTTGGTTTTTTCTTACGTCATATAAGCCTAAATTTTTCGTTTTCTTTCTTCCTAAGAAAAAAATATTTAGAAAACGACCTTTGTACCGGGGAAATACGCTATGAATCAATTGTAAAATGCGCGGGCGACGTCATTTTAATTTGTATCCTGTTGGAATGTTTTGATACAGAATTTACTAAATGTATTAGTTTAATATTAATCATAATTATTTAATTATTTTAATGACTGTATCATATATTTTTCAATGTTATATTCGGAATATTTTTTTCAGTTCACAAAAGAGTAATATGTAGTGACTAATGACTTCTTATAGTCTAGGAGATGGCGTTGTCTAGTCAATTTCAAATAAGCTTCGATTTTTATGAATACTGAATCAAGTGTGTTTTGTATTCAGCCGTACAAAATGGAAAATATAACAAACCTGTTTGAGTTACTTATCATACATAATATATACGTATCTTCTACGTTCCAATAAGAAATAAATAAATACATTTTAAGGTTTTAATACTTTTGTTACAGGATAAATTAAATAAAAATTCGTTATTATAATATATTTTTATAATTTTAGTTATGTCTGTTTATTTATTCTGGCTTATTCTTAAAGCGGAGGGACTAATTTTGATAGGACTTTTACGCTAATAAAATTTAATAAGAAGTAACTTAGACTATTTTAAATCTTTATCTTTATTATTATACATAATAAAAGCCTAATTATTCCAAGCAGACGAAGACGATGGAACAACTTGTATATTAATATAAAACTATTAAGCCTCGGACATGTAGTACTTACGTCTTATAGATAATTCCAAAGAAACTTTCTAAATAAAAAAACTGTCACCGCTTTGTAGGAGCTCTTAAAATATAAAGCAATTACTATATTTGATAGAAATCAAATCATTTCTTATTCATTACCATTATAATACAGTATTGTTGAAAAGCGACTAAATTCCAATTATATATCATGTAATATCTAACTCCTATACACAAACAAACTGGTAAACACATCACTGCGGTGTATATTTGGCGCGAATATAAAAGCGTCCTCCCTCTACCGACGCTTACTTGCTGACAGTTAGTGTTGGAAACTGGACGGCTCGTGTAACGCTACGTTCAACAATTTTGAATAATTTATTACTTTATTAAGGTAATGTGCTATTATTATTGTTATATTTACTTTAATTATTATTTTTTACTAATTAGTAATTATTATATATCAAGTTAGATAAAAAAATTTCATTAATTAAGAGATGGTTGGGTGGATAGATGGTGTAATAAAAAGGTTTAATTGATTCTGTATTTAAGAACATCGAAGCTTTTGATATATATTTATAACCAAATGGTATTAATAAAAGTAGGTTTTAGTTGTTTAACATTTTTTTAACACAAGTATTTTATATACGTTTACTTATAATAATCTAAGTTTTGCTTAATCGACCTACACACCTATAGTTTCAAGGTTTTAGTATTAATAGTAATTGCCCTAATAACAGCCAACGCTATATCTATAAGAATCGTTTTAACTTTCGGTCTGTAAGTCAACGATAGAAGCTGGTACCTAGTTAAATAGTCTTTTTAATAAAACTAACACACAATAATGTAACAATTGTGTTACCACCTTCGAAGTAGTGAATATAAATAAGGTTTGACAACTTAATGATAATATAAGTGTACACGCTTCAATGATTATGACAACAGATAAACATGACATCACATATGCACTTACAATTATCTTTATTTCAAACATTTTATCGACTGTCAGTACAAATATTTTTGACATGTTTTTTTTTAAACCAATAATAAAACACTTAAATCCTAAATACTGTTTCGTGTTGGATAACAAAAGAGTTTGATTAAAATAAGATTAGATTAATCCATATTGAAACAATTCCTTATTTTTTCAATTAATAAGTGGATCACGTCTCATTCCCGTTATAATTCTGTCAAGCTGCGATGTTCTCACGTAATTATGTTCAATTCTACTAGCGATACACATATCAAACGGAATTCTGAGTAAAAATTGTTATATTAAGGCGGTACTGAATAATTAGAATTCATAAAATTATGACTGGCGTTTTCTAATTTGTAGTTGTAGCCCGCGGCTTCATATGCCTCGGTATCAGAATTAGAAATATCTATAGTTGACTAGGCAAGCTCTGTTCAGTGTTTGAGGAAGCAAATAATTTGATATTGGATTGTTTTTTGTTCTTTATCGATAGAACGAAGTGAAAATTATCTTATGTCCTGGTTCCACGCTAATTTTTATACAAATCAGTACAAGCTTCCTTGAGTTCAACTAGTATAGCTAACACGACTTTCTCATATACATATTTATATTTATATTTGACCCGACGTTACTTGATGGGAATTCCGAAACCTTGAGTATAACTGCCTAATCATATTGAATCAAAGACAATTAAAAGAAGTGTACCCGCAAAGTATCATTGTGTAACATTGCGTTTGAAGTGCGTATCTCTAAGTAATAAAGTTGTTATAAAATGTGTATATATATAATGTTATTTAAACGGAATATTGTTTTAGTGCCTTAATAATTATGTCAATACCAAAGTATAACAAAGTAACTAGCGGTATAAACGACATACCGACCGTTCTAAGAAATTCATAGATTTGCATTGTCGTGCCGAAGTATGTATAGGGACGTTTAATATAAATGAAAAGTACTTTCACTTCAAACGACAAACCTTATATGTTGAATATGTTTAAAATATATGTTTAAATCATATAATATAATTTTAAAACCGAGTGCATATAATATTTGTAGGAATGTTTAAGCAAATAATGTTAGTACTTTATCTGATTCAAAAGCATAATATTGATAAGGCTGCGATAATATAGAAGTAACCTATTTTAATAACAATATAATATATAAATATTTTAAATATAAAATATATGAGAACACTATTTTAATAAGGAAATAATATTTATTTATATTTGTTGTTTTAATCTCGTCCACATTTAGTTTTCGCGGGAATTCCCAAAATGTAGAATGTGTCAACGTCGTCATCTGAACAAATTTTCCTGTAAAAAACATTTAAAACTATAATATATTGTATTATGTATGAAGGTTTATTAATAGATATTGTCAATACTACGTTTACCCTACGATACCATATTGTCAATATTACGTTTTGTGTACAAATCTATTTCAACAAACTATTTTGTATCACACATAACAATATGATTTCGCTTGTACATATTTAAGTGTAACTACATAATTGTTTTGGATACTACGTGTTTTTATTATTTTATATCTGCACGCAACAAACGTTTCGGTTACTTTACACTAACCGTGATCACGGGCAGAGGAGATAAAAGTATTACATACTATATGACACAAAATAAGAGCTATATTTTAGAAAATTCCTTTTTAAGAACATATATAATCATAGTTTTTTCCTTCGAATTAAACTTTATCTTTCAAAAAGTTATAATAAGTCTAATATGACAAATTACTTCCACAAATATGACATAATATTGTTATACAATACAAATAAACTTCCTTATAATTATTGTGTACGAGTATATAACATTTTTATCATAATAGTTCAAATTTATTACCAACAACAGCAATAAATATCTATATTTAATTAATTATTTAATTACATATATTTTTATATGATTTAAAGCCGATTGATTTTAAAACCAAACTTCCTAACTATCTTCATGAATAAAAAGTACGGAAATGACTCTAAATGAACTAAACTATTGATTTTTTTCTGTAACAATTTGTAACTTGCTGTGGGTTACTCGGACATCGATTCAAAATGTTTTAGTCATTCAACAAAAAATGAATTGCACGGCCTTTAGCTAGCATTGAACAATTAACTATTACCGTGTCGATTCTTTTTCCGCCTTCACTTTACAAATAACGTGACAAAATTAAGGTTATTTTATGTTGTATTATTTTTACTTCCGATATTAAGTTTATATATATTTTTACTGATACACAATACGGAAAAATATTTGTCACTTTTTGTATTTTATTCTGTTCTTGCTGGTAGGGTAATAATTATAAATGAAATAATGATACCTTGAACTTAGAGAGCACAATGTTCACAAAGTGTTAGTTGACCTTTTTTCTATAGAAATTCTATTAAAGTTTAATCTTCTAAAAGACTATGACTATAAATAGGTAAATACTATAAAAGCAAGTGAAAAGTCGAGAGTTCATCATTAACAAATAAGTTTTATGTATTAACCTGATTTTTTTTTAACTTTTGTAATAACACGGCAAAGAATGCACCATACCATTTGTTATGTTGTACCTATCATCACAAACTGACATTAAATCAACAAGAAATTATTAATAAATTATTATTAGTGTTTTCAATTATATTAATATAATTTCAACTCTCTTTTATACTCTGTAGCAGAATGCCAGTAGATCTGTACTACGTGCCCGGCTCCGCGCCTTGCCGCGCCGTCTTACTGACGGCCCGCGCTCTCAACCTCAATCTGAACTTGAAACTCGTCGATCTGCATCATGGAGAACACCTTAAACCTGAATACCTCAAGGTAATTGTTTAATTATCACTTACTAGCTGCGCCCCGCGGTGTTACCCGGATTTCAAGAATGTAAAGTAGCCTATGTGTTATTCCTGGACGTAGGCTTCCTGTATACAAAATGTTATCAAAATCGGTTCAGCCGTTTGAGCGTGAAGAAGTAACAAACATACAGATACATACACAAACTTTCGCAACTATAATATTAGTAGGATTGTGAAAAAAACACCTTAAAAATCGTTAATATAGAAAATATTTCAGTTTAAACTTTCTTCTGATAATCTGCTTTCAATGTAGATACAGATTATCCAATGGTATTTACGCGGATTTGCACTATCCCTGAAGATATGTCTTTGGATGTATGTATTAGTAATTGAACTATATTTAAACACAACAGAAATGAAAAAAAATGCTAATACGTGTATAAATATTTTTAAATTAATTGGAAAATATCAGTTTATCTTTAACAAAAATACTACGAAACCCTAAAAACGTGTTAGTTATTAATACAAAAATATGCTTAGTCATTACCATAACCAGAAAAAAACATTTCAATGTTATTAATCAAATAAAACACTAACAATGTTATATAGTACATTAATTATGAAGAAATCAATTAAATAAATCAACAATTGAGCTGAGAATATTTATAATTAATGATTTTATTTTCCGTTTCCTCATGCAAATAGATACGTGTTGAATTTATCATTACAATTCATGGAAAAACTAGCAACTATACTGTTTCTATTAATAAGTTAACGGTTCTACATCATACATAGATGTTTTTCGTATTGAAGTGAAACTTTATATGCAACTTTCAACAAGGTTGCGTTAAACGTTCAACGCATAAGAGGGGTAATAGAAAGAGACGGAACGAGAGTAAATAGGTGGGTCAATTGTGTTTGTGTATTGTAAGCAATGTTTATAAGTTTGTCTTAAAGAAATAATACGAGTACATTAAAAATTAATTTTTATCCCTTCATATTGTCATTTTTACATTACGAAGTTTCACTTCATTCGCGCAGAAGTCTACACGTACTTATTTTTACATATATGATTGAAAAACTCAAAAAAAAAAATTAACTTTGACCATGCGAACTCATTATAGACGTACTGATATTACTATAATTAGAACGGTTCTGAACAAAAGCTTTGTATCAAAACTCAGAAGTAATATTTCTTTATCTAATTACACGAACTAACCTCGCGGAACCTAAATTTAGTCATGGTCATTTGCGAAGTTCTCAAAACCCTGTTTTAACATAAAAGTATACAAATCAATGCCTTATTTTTATAGCAGTAAGGGCTATTATCTTAAAACATATATTTGAAGGTCGCATCGCGTGCATGATGTAATTTTAAGAGTTCGTTGATCTCTATTGAGAACTTGTTCGTGTACAATGTACGTACATACGACTTTTATTTTCAATTTATCAAATTATTTTAGATATATATAATTATTGTATTGTTAATATGTAGTAGAAAAACGTTTATTTGTTGTATTCGGCCAAATAAGACCATGTGTGGAGGATTTATTCGTCTTCATTTGACATATTTGCACAAATAAGACACATACACCAATAAGCGAAAACGCGTAAAGACGTGTTGTTGGCATGAAAAGTGTGGATGTCATGTTTGCGCTATTTGGCCTACGTTACATTACAAATATTGACCTAAATTGACAAAATATTGACCTAATTGACCCAAACTGTCATATCAAGGCACCAAATATATATTTTTGAATACAATATTTCAGAAGTCTTTATATGTTTTTATATTATTATAATGTAATGACGCAGTTGAATAAAGGTAACGATATATTTCTTGTGGTAAAATTGACTTAAACCGGTTTAATAAAAATTCAGACACCACAGATGAAATGAGATGAATCTCGTTCCTCTTATTAGTTTTGGGTACCTGCTCGAGAATGACAAAAAATACTTGAATTAGTGGCACGTTCTAGAACATTCTTCGATAACATTTTATTTGACTCCATATTATGTTTCTATTGATAAGGTGATAATTACGCAAAAAAACAATTTACCAATACCTAGTTTGATTTTATATTTAGAAGCCCATTTGACATAATTTTTTAAAATATATTATGCTTTAACTATTGAAATTACCACAGTTATTATAAACTAGTTTTCCGCCCGCAGCTTCGCCGCGTGGAGTTCGGTTATATCGCGTTTCCAAGAGAACCTTTCAAAAGTCTGGGATAAAAACTATCCTATGTTCTTTCTCAAGGTCAACTCTATCTCTGTACCGAATTTCATTAAAATCAGTTCAGTGGTTTAGGCGTGAAAGCGTAGCAGACAGACAGACAGACAGACAGACAGAGTTACTTTCGCATTTATAATATTAGTAGGGATTTATCTATTATTTTATTTATTTATTATTTTATTTGAAGTTTTTCAAACACACGAATGCAATAATTCACAATATGCAATAATACGTAACACTACCTATGTAATAATTTTGATATTTATAAAATATGTATAATGATTATACTTCTACTATGGTTGTAAATTATTTCCTTGTGTATTTTCAAAACAATATACATATTCTGTCAATATATCAAATGTAGGACAGCGTCACAGGAAAACATCTAGGATATAAATAAATATAATTACTTGCATAATAAATAATGATCAAATAAACGTATATATTTCATTCGTCAAACTCCATCGTGTTTCCTCCACACAGTACTAGAGGTTATAAGTCGTTGAACAAATTATAATGTTGACAATTTGACATTGGCAAAAAGTTGCACGATTCTCGTGTGAATGGAGACATAGCATGGAAATAACGTCTGAAAAAATTCTGATAGAGATATAATGAGTATCCCACTACATAGGAGCATAATATGGACAATGTTTAGTAGACGATAGTGGGGATGCTACTAAGAAACTAATATATTTCGGATATATGTACTACGTTATTTTTTATAAAACCTACATACTCCCGACGTTTCGGCTACTTTTCATCAACCGTGATCACGGGCAGACGAGGTGTGAATGTCTATCTGTTGGTCTTGTTATCATTTAAATAAATACTCTCGAAAATCTTAGATCTCATTCTCTCGTCAGCTGAATTATATACATGAATGTGTGTGTCTCTATGGACATATTTTTCTTCTCATCGAGTTTGAAAACACAACGATTCTAAAGAATTATAAATCAATTATGGTTCTATCGTCAGATCAATCCTCAACACACGGTTCCTACGCTGGTGGATGACGGCTGCTCCATCTACGAATCCCGCGCAATCATCACGTACTTGGTGAACAAGTACGGCAAAGGCAGCGCCCTCTACCCCGAGGAGCCCAAGGCTAGAGCATTGGTCGACCAGAGACTTTACTTCGACATCGGCACTTTGTATCAAAGATTCAGCGACTACTTCGTAAGTATGACGAATTTTCATGTGTTTTCTTAATATACATATAAGTCCGGTTCTAAGTATCATTACGTTTCAATACTGCCTGTTGTAATATTTTCATATTAAGTTGTTTATAGACTGTGTAAGTGGCCGTAGCTCTAACGCATTCTAATGAACTAACTGTTTCGCCCTTCGCGTTTCGTAAGCGAACATTCCATTTGAAGTACATAACTATTACGAATCGACAAATGTTTTTAATACAAACATTCATTATATGTATAATGTTTTAAATCGAGTCATATTTATATCATATGTAAATATTTGATAATATCTACAACCTTTTCTTATCAAAGCAAAGGCATTAAGTGTCTGTATTATTGTATAGAAGTCGTGGTGGCCTTGAGATTAAAAAGCCGCCTCTCGAGCGCGCATTCAAACCTGTCAAAACTCAAATACCAATGTGATTTTTACAGTCATAAGTATGTACTTTCTAATAGACACCACTGATAGACGGTGAAGGAAAACATAGTGAGGAAATCTTGACCTCTAATATTTAATTATAAATTTGATGTCACCAACCCGTCTTGAGCAAGCGTGGTGATTAATGCTCAAACCTTCTCCATATGAGAAAGAGACCTTTGCTCAGCAGTGAGCTCTGATAGGCTGATGATGATGAATGATGATTATTATTATATTAATGTTCACTATACCTGTATAATATTCCAGTATCCACAAATCTTCGGCGGCGCGCCAGCCGACCAGGATAAGTTAGCCAAGGTAGAAGACGCTCTCAAGTTGTTGGACACCTTCCTCGAGGGTCAGAAGTATGTGGCCGGACCCAACCTCACGGTCGCCGACCTCAGCATCATAGCAGGAGTCTCTAGCTTCGAGGCTTCTGACATCGACTTCAAGAAATACGCCAATGTTAAACGGTAAGATAATAAACACTAATACGATTTAAATTTCATGAACACATACAAATCTGTTGACACTAGCTTGATAGATTTTTTATATTATTTAGACTGACTTCGTCGTAAATTTCCTTTTAGTAACATAACAGTGATCTGTTTATTTTTGGGCCAAAAGGTGACAGCTTTTTATATAAATAACGAATATTTATGTCATATCTTTAAATTACCAGATTTAAAAAAAGGTATATTGATGTATGTTTTTTTTTATAAAATCATTTTTAAATGAGACTATCATATTCGGATTACTACGCATATTTAATTATTTTAAACTTCATACTTCCGACGTTTCTTTTACTTATCAGAAATCGTGATCACACGCAGACGAGATGAAAAAAAATATATAATATATAATTGAAAACTCGCGAAAGTCTTAGATCTCAGAATGCATGTTTTTTATTTAAAAAGATATAGAGTAAATGACAAAAATATTTGAAACAATACTATAAAATGTAGTATATTGTAATGGTAGTATATCATATAATAAAATATTGATTTTAAAGATTATAATATATAATTTGAGTGTTATACAAGAATTACATTGTTATTGTTTAACACAATGTGTTTTTTGATGCATTGTTACGAACGTTATTCCTACAGAAATTATAGTACAAGTATATTTCTATGTAATAAGTTAGCTTGTTTCAATATAGTCCGTGTTTGTATTGTAACGATGTTATCTCGTATTAAAGTACCCTATTAAATGAGACCTACGCTTCGTATGTTGTATGATGATGACTGTTGTTACATAGGGGTTTAGTTTGCGAGCGAACCCGTCGTCCACAGCTAGCATTAAATATATTTTTGTAGACAAAGTCACATTCTGTAAACAGTATTCGCAGCCATTCACAAATCCTTCATGCCTTTACTTATATTCCACTTATTAACTAGCTTTCCGCCTGCGCAGAGTTCGGTTATATCGCGTCTCAAAGAGAACTTTTCAAGTCTGGGATAAAAACTATCCTATGTTCTTTCTCAAGTCAGCTCTGTCTATACCTAATTTCATTAAAATCAGTTCAGTGGTTTAGGCGCGATTCCCATTTTAGTTTTAAAATTAAATGTCTATTGAGTCATAGATAGTTTTAATAGTCTTTCGTTAGATAACCTCTGATATGTATGTGTTTGTTTTATTCCAGATGGTATGAAACAGTGAAGTCCACCGCCCCCGGGTACCAGGAGGCCAACGAGAAGGGTCTGGACGCCTTCAAGGCTCTCGTCAACAGTCTTCTCAAGAAGTAACCCTGCCCATGTCGCTCGCCCACACTCCACTCACTATAAGTCAACACCGCTGTTGTCGTGATATTTAAGTTATAGGAATAAGGCACAATAAACTGAATCAAATATTATCAATAGTTTCATTGGCGAATAAAACTCACAGACCTTCACATTATATTTTATTATCTTTGTCTTTAATAAAGTAATTACAGAAAATGCACAGACAGGCACTAAAAAAAATAACTATGCATATGTAATACAATAACATATCCTTAACGAACACCGCTCGAGGACGTCACCGAGGACACCCGACGACCGCCGGACACGCCCGAACGATCCCGAGATCGACCGAGCAAACCCGAAAGATCCCGAGGGTTGCCGAATAGGCCCGAACTATCCCGAGAACGTCCGAACATTTCCGACGGCGCCCGAGCACTAGCCCTCGTTACCATAACATACGCGTAAATTTATCATAAGCGTTATTTGATCTCGGATTGCATTGAAAATAAAATTAAAATATAACTCCAACAATTTAGTTACTTGGAAGCGTCGAGTACACCGCGCTTCTTGTAGATGGCAGTCACCGATCAAGATGTTAAGGAATTTATATAACGAACGTGTAAATGAGATTTATATGGCGTAGGACTAGACTGTTGGAGTCATACTCATATTGCTGAGACCCATAAGGAACGCTCGATCAACACCGACAGCTCCACAACATCACCGAATCCGAAGGCACATAATATCCGTAAATAAAAAAAAGGTTTATTTATTTATTTTATTTTAAAAAGCTATCCCTTATAAAAGACTATTTGCTAGTGTTATGCGAAAATAATTTGAATGAAGTCGAATTATTGCTGTGTAGATATATAGATCCCGCAGATGTCTCTAGACGAACTGACGACGAGGTCGCTGATAAACACTTTATTAACTAAATAAATAGATATATGTATTATCTACTACATCGAAACAATATATATATTTTTCGTCTTAACGCAAAATGTATTTTCCATGGTGGTGTAGCTACAAGCGCCAAATGATACGACGTGTGCACTCTCAGCCTGCCACGCGCTGTATTATTATTATAGATTTATTAGTTTCAATCGTTCCAACACTAAATATCAATAATTACACAAAGCTATCTACATGAGCCACTCTTAACAGCAGTAGTGTTGCCAGTCGATGAAGCGTGAAGACACAGATATAATACTGTCTATAGTAGATGTTGGTATCTCTGACTGGCAACATTAGTTACGTTGGTAGTTTGACCTTGTCTGGGAATGATTCATTATCTTGCTTTAATATTCCTTTCATAACTGACTTTCTCTCCCAATGTTTACTGGACACTCTGTAACAGATAATAACATTTATTTGAACATTTCTTTCACTATTACTTCAATATATTAGTAGTCCGGTCAAATTAGACATTCGAGGTTACATAAATTCCCACCAAGCTGAAAATCGGTAAGATTGTTTGAAGTATCATTAAAAACAAAATTTGAAAGTTTCCCATCTTTCTCCTGTAAGGAAAAAATTTTATTCAAGGTCAAAGGTAAACAAAATGAGTTTTTGGCGATTTTCAGCAAAACGGTAAGTTTTATCATAAAAATGTCTCGGACAAAAATTGTAGATCATAAAATTATCTACAAAGAATTAATTAATACTTTTTGTTCTACGAGCCACCGTTTTTGAGATATAACGATTCAAAAAGTTGTAATCGTCATAATATGCACGTATTGTATATGTATACTCGTACATCTCTATAGTTGTAATATCATATGTTAAAATATTTTTACACTTTACTTCCACCTGCGCCTGAAAAACTGAACTCGATTTTTTGCAACTGCAAAAACTGCACTCCTAAATGTGGTTGCAAAAAAGTCGGACTGTCCTATTCTCCGGCATGTACACATTGTCAAGGCCGGTTGTGCTCTAATATTGAATCACCAACACAAACAGTAGAGGATCCGTTTAATTCCAACGATATCCGATTAATTCCAACATGCAGTTTCATGCATGCATGCATGCATCGCTATTATATGTATTATATAATATATAACGCAGTTTACATCCACTCAGGATGAAGATCATGAAGAACAAGATTTTGAAAATTACATCGGACGATTAAATTTCACAACTTTTTTTTTAACTTAAATTGCTTTTATCTTTTCAATCTCTGCTAATATCCAATATTTATCAATAGTTTCTAATTAAATAAGATCAAAACTGACCCGTGGAATAGACCTACTGGGGGAGATACAAAAAAAAAGCCAAGTACACTACCTCATAGGTGGCGAGGAAACGTGTGCATATCATGACGATTACAACTTTTACAACTTTTTGAATCGTTATATCTCAAAAACAGTGGCTCGTAGAACTAAAAATATTATTAAATTCTTTGTAGATAATTTTATAATCTACAATTTTTGTCTGAGATATTTTTATGATAAGCTTACCGTTTTTCTGAAAATCACGAAACTCATTTTGTTTAATTTTGACCTTGAATAACTTTTTCCTTACAGGGGAAAGATGGGGAACTTTCAAATTTTGTTTTTAATGATATTTCAAACAATCTTACCGATTTTCAGCTTGGGGGGAATTTATGTCACCTTACTGTTATTATTTGGTCTACTTTTACCGGACTATAGGGCATATTTACGTTTTGTGAATACTTTACTGTGTTTCTCGAGTTGTATGAACAATTGCGTCCGTGTGCGGTCCGTACGCGTGCGCGTGTGGGTGTATCCGTCTATGTACGTGTGTGTGTGTGTGTGTGTGTGTGTCTGTGTGTGTATATCACTATGTCAGTATCCTCAATTCCTCACCCTACTGGCAGCAGTTGCGCCTGACCGCGTCAGCGCCGGCCGCCCGCACGTCCGCGGGCTCGGCATCGGGACGGATCACGTCCCCCTCGGGCGGGTCACGCATCTGCTTCTGGGACACGATCCTGTAGATCTCTGGAATATAATACATATATTTACTATCGATGTTCCTATAGTTTTAAAGTTTAGTATCGTTTGTGTTTGACTAGAAATCTTATATCTTTAAATGAGCAATTCTTGTATATATATAATTGGAGTCTCGGAATCGGCTCGACGATTTTTATGAAATTTATTAAATAGGGGGTTTCGGGGCGATAAATCGATCTAGCTTATGAAAAAACAAAATAAGATAACAAAAAGGAGGCGTTTAAAATATGAGTATTCCTGACATCTATTGGCGAATAATAATACTACTTATAATGCTAATTGCTTTGACGACACAACAGCAGACGGCGTTGTTACGCAACAGGTAGTCAATGAGTGTTCGTTTTGAGTTTAGACTTTAGACTAAGAAATTAATTGTTGATTTATATTGTTTTATGTCTTATTAACGTGTTCACTTAAAAATGCCTAAACGAAATTTAAAAAAAATACTGATAATAATTCTTAAGTACTGAACAAAGCTCGGTGTCCAGATATTGATAAAATTATGAGATGACATCGGTTTATACTTTATATCTCGCGATGAATACTGGTGTTTCTTGTCTCTATGGGAAGAATATCATTCCGTATTGTTTGTAGTGGTGTAGTGTTGTATATTTACCCGTGAGTATATTCTGGAAGGCGGGCTCCACGTTAGTTGAGTCCAGAGCGGAGGTCTCGATGAAACTCAGACCGTTTTTTTCCGCGAACGCCTTCGCCTCCTCTGTGGGGATAGATCTGTAAACATAGAATATCTTTTAAGTTAATTTTGAAAGACATAGGACAATTTCAATTTATGAAACGCTATTTGTTATTGAATGTGTCTCAAAAGTTTTCATCTTTATATCCTTTTTCAATAAGAAACTTAGGGTTTTCCAAAATAAACAAATTTGATGTCATCTCTGTTGCAACGTCGCATCCTAACTACCAAATATACATAGAAGGCTAAGATTTAATAACAGAGTTATCCTGAATAAGGGAGCGTTCAAGTATTACGTAACGCAATTTTGGGGGAGGGGGGGGGGGTCTCGTAAAACGTTACGATGCGTTACTGGGGCGGGAGGGGGTGTCTCTTACAAAACGTTACGTAGCATTGTTTCTAAAAAAATATATTAATAAAAACCCCCAAACTGGCAACTCTTTTCATATATATTACATTGTTGACCAGATTATATTAGTCTGGTCGATATTTTTATTTGTTATTCCAAGTTTGCAAACCTCTTAATTGATATTTTACGGGGAATACATAGATTGCATTGTAAGTCTTTTGATGAAATTGATCACTTGAGTGTTACGTAACGTTTTGAGAAGGGGGGGGGGGGCTTACAGAAAAACGTTACTGTGCGTTACGACGGGGGAAGGGGGGGGGGGTCAAAAATCTTCGAAAATTGCGTTACGTAATACTTGAACGCTCCCTAAGAAAGAGATTTTTATAATACATCATGTACTTAATGTATTAGCCTGTTACAGGGTGACTGGTGAATTGCTATCGATACTTGAGGACGTGATATTTGACGATCATATATGACAAAATAAAAATTAATATAACATAAATATTAATAAACTTCTAAGTAAAGTTAACCAAAAGTTATGTAATTAATTACGCATCGTGTGAACACCCTACAGATTAGGTATACACACACAACACAGACGCGTGCGGCAGCGTGGTGTTGTATCAGCACGCCGCCGCGCGCGTCCACACTTGGAACACTTGCAACGTCTCCACACTTTATTTATTTATACGGAAATTTGGACAAAAATTAAGTACCTATTTTTTTTAACTAATTCGAATGAGAATCATGTACCGAGTATTCTACTTAAATATTGATAGTAATTCACCAGTCACCATGTATATATAGTAATAAATTAAATTGAAACCTGTATTTTAAATTTCAAATCAATGGCTTTTAATTAAACCCAAATGACATGTACATACAGTACCTAAATCGAAATAAAATTATCTCTTGAAGGGTTGCACGAATTTTGTCAAGAATGTAAGTCACAGGAACGTAATATAGATCATGAGGAGTAACTTAGTCTACTTTTCAATAGACTATAAATAAAATACGAAGGCAATTTTCGATCAGACAAAATGTTTATTAGACTATTGCCATATTGTGTTGATTTCCATTGTCACAACGTCATTGTCGAAGTAGTCCTCGAAAAATGTAATGTAATCTCATGATGATAACTCTTTTTCTAGTAGTAGCTAGTATTACCTGTGTACAGTGTGTATGTGTGTTTGTGTGTGTGTTGTACCTGAGATGTCGCAGGTCGCTCTTGTTGCCGACCAGCATGATGAGTATGTTCTGGTCGGCGTGGTCCCTCAGCTCGCGCAGCCACCGCTCCACGTTCTCGTAGGACAGGTGCTTCGCTATGTCGTACACTAGCAGAGCGCCCACCGCCCCGCGGTAGTAGGCGGAAGTTATCGCCCGGTACCGCTCTTGGCCCGCTGTATCCCATATCTGGGCTTTGATGGTTTTGCCGTCAACCTACGATTTAAATAGATTTTTGTAAGAACATTTAATGTATAATATACATATTTATATAGAGTTAGAGACATTCCCAAAGAGGGTTGATGTCAGGCAGGCGGCCGATCGTAAAAACAATTAGCCAAAACTATTCACAACATGTAAGGCAGACCCTGGCTAAAGCTAGGAAATTGCCAGGTAGAAGAAGAAGATTTATATAGAGTTATTGTGGTACGTCAATTTTTGACAAGGATTTTGTCATTAATGGACTTGGTGTACAAAATATCATACTTGGAATATTATACAAATTTTTCTTTTGTGCTAAAGAAGAAAAAAATAATATTAATGAAAGTCCTATTGGTTTTCGGTGTATATAAACTAATTTTTTCTTGACTGTTATAACTTGTGATAAATTATTCAGGTTGTAAGCTCCACGCCTGTGTTAGCGGAAATTAAGTCGTAACCACGAAGGTTTTTTGGGTCAATCGAACTATATTGATATAATTTATTCATAGTCCACTACTAGTAACTTCACCCGTTTATTAATCGCAATTATCTGGACTCGTAAAATTTAACAAAATAATTATTATTCCCTTTTTATTACAAAAGCACTCTTTCATTGTAATATTATTTAGTAATTATATAAATTACTCTGTCATAATTATACATTTAGCCACTATTTGATTTTCGGCTAAGTCGGTCAAATCACTATTCGTGGGTACTAAATAATACTTAATTTCCCGCAATGTTATATTTAGCTCTGCTCAATAGAATTTACTTAGATATAAGTTTTATTTTAAGTTCATTTTTTGGCAAGGACATATTCAAATCGCTAAAACGACATTTAATTAAATATGTGCTAAAAAATGTTGCATATAAATAAATAGATTTCCGATTCTTTTAGAGCTTTCTAGAAAGTGTGATTCTTAATAAAGGCTTTTATATTTTATGAGCAACCAATTGGAAATAAAATTTTACTTTATTATGTAGATTTCAATAATTAAATATCAATACAACCCACACACCTATATACATAAAACAGCTATAATTGTGAATACACAAAATATATTCAGAAACTTCTCTAATATAGAGAGTCCCTACTAATATTATAAATGCGAAAGTAACTCTGTCTGTCTGTCTCTTACGCTTTCACGCCTAAACAACTGAACTGATTTTAATGAAATTTGGTATAGAGATGGAATTGAACTTGTGAAAGAACATAGGATAGTTTTTATCCCAGACTTTTGAAAGGTTCTCTTGGAAACGCTATATAACAAAACTCCACGCGGACGAAGCTGCGGGCGGAAAGCTAGTAATTGTATAAATCGTTTTTAAGAAGAAATATAATATTATCACACAAATTAAAACTATAATATATGATATTGGATCCCCTAGTACATTTGAGGTTGGCCAACAAGACATCGGGTTCAAAGGGGTCATATAAATAATTAGAGGTTCATTGACACTTCCGCGATCTTTTATACGACATTCGTGTTTAATTGAAATATGCCGGCGGCGACTGTGGTAGTCTGATAGAGAGTGACGTCACTACGACAATATTCATTAATGCATATTAAAAACAGTTAACATTTATTGATAAAACTTATCTTGATACGTTTCTTCATATGCTGATGAAATAAAACAATCATGCAAAGTTAAATAACCTCATTACACTATATGAAAGAACTTTAATTAAATCATAATAAAAATTACTTCAATTCATTAAAATTAACTTATTAATTTATTGTGCAGAAACGTGTTACATCAACAAAATATATAAAAAATCAGCAAAATATTCGTATAAGTATGCATTAACGAAACTATTAATTTCAATTGTTATATAAATAGAAAAACTTGTTTAAACATTCACACGTTGTGTTTTTGACGCGTCATTGAAATAAAACTAATACATATTATTGAATTTACTACGAGTTTCTTATTATTTTAACTACATATTCCCGACATCATCATGAAAATACGTCTTCCCGTAGTCACGGTTGCTGCAAAGATACCGAAACGTTGGGAATATGTAGTTTAAAATAATCAAAAGCGCAGTAATTTGTGCAATATTAGTTTTATTTCAATGAATACTCACGATAGTCTCAGATCTCATTACATTAACGCGTCATATTTGATCTACGCTTTGGCAGTATTGTATCATAAATTCTATTTGTAATCATCAAATATTATACTAAGGTATAAAAATTGGTAATCTTATATGTACAAAAAATTGAAAAGAAACATCCAAGTAACACATTCAAGCCATCTGTAGGATAATAATATACCCGACATGACAAGATGTAATGGAAAAAACAGGTTACCAAGAAAATTAACATGTACACATTGAGATTACTTGAGCAAGAAACTATTAATCTTCCCACAACTGTAAAAAATAACACATTGAATACAAAAATGAAAGTTATCTTTGTGAGGCTGCTGTAATAACTAATTTACTTTACATTGAGATAAAAAAATACCTTTTCCTTATACAGGAGAGTTTTATTGAATGTTAACTGATTAAAAGTTGATTATCATAACAAATTATAACTACTCAAATAGGTTTTTCTAAATAATTGTCTTATTTTTTGATTTGCATTAATTGAATGTAACGGCTGAAACATTCCTGATAGTAATTTTGATGATTAATAGAGCAAGAATTATACTACAAATATTATAAATATTAAGAAACTTATTCAAATTACTGAGACTAATATTTTGAATCCTAAAACAAAAGATCTATCATTAATACCCAAAAAATATTTTCATTAAATTGAATTGTTGAAAATGAAAATTAAATAAAGATTTGAAATTAAAACAATCTAGAAAATATAGTTCAAATAATATTATTTAGCGAATAACAAAGTCACCAACAGAGGTTATATTTCGACAATCCTTAAAAATACCTCAATATAACAAAGAAAGTAGAATAATAGTTGGTAAAATAACAATTAATATGAGAATCGGTGCTCTTTGCACTTATATCTTTGAACTATATGTTTTACACTCTCAATAATAATTCTAAGAAAAGAACAAAACAAAAAGCATATATTTTTTGGATTTTTCAGATTATCTGAATACTCCTTTAATAGTCTCGGGCAAGATATTAGAAATACTAAACCGTGTGAAAGATATTTACATGAATCAAACAACTGAGACTGTTTTTAAAATTCATTCAAATGATTACTCCATATCAAAGTATTGTATACAACTCAGGTTGAAGGGAAAATTGTATTGGAATAATGCCAGAATTGTGAATTGTAGTGTGGATAGATGTGTATCAGAATTAGACAATACAGTTACTCAAGACATCATAACATTAATACTGTTGATTGTATTAACAGTATTATAGTATATTAAATATATTTAAGGTTCAAAACTCCAGTTTATTGTGATAGTAAATTTTCATACTATTAAATACAAATTGATACACAAAAGATTGTACATAAGTTTTTAAATGCCAAAATAGGTGGTTATACTTAGAACCAATCAATGGTGCTATTTGGCAGCGATGAATCAGAGAATCAATAATAAATATAACCAAAATGACCTTGAAATGATGATTGTAAGGAAATAACTATCTTCAATAGCCATTAACATTGATCAAGGGACAAAGACTTTGTAGTGTAATGCACTGATTATTATAATTATTACTATATGTGATGTATGCATTGTTTACCTCTATACTCCTCGTTGCAAACTCCACCCCTATCGTAGATTTCGATTCTAGGTTAAATTCATTTCTAGTGAAACGGGAGAGAAGACTACTTTTTCCCACACCAGAGTCCCCAATCAAAACAACTGGAACAAAAGAAACGGCGTTTCATTATAATTATTTATTGTACTTTATATATTTTATATGCAAGTTATTTCGACTTTAGATAAAGGCGGTATATGGTGACTCATAAAATTGTTGTGGGGTGTTGCTGAAATCAGCTGATAAAATACAAAGCGAAAGTTTTATATTATTTATCGACGTATGCATATAAATATACTTAGATATGGACTGTATAAGAAGATATTTATTAAGAAAAAAATCTCTCTTAAAATATGATAAAAATCCGATACATAACTTATTGATGTACGTCATTCAAGATAAAACAATGGTTTAAACGTATTATACATATTATGTATTGTTATATATAGAATACATTCATACGAATAAAGATATGATAATAATAGAATCAGGATATTTACCTTTGAATAAATAATCGTACTCGTCCTCTCTTGTACCCATTTTGATATCTAGTTGTCCGTTCGACGTCAAAATCGGTCAACTAATAACGTCAAGATATAAGAAACGTAAACAAAAAATAATTGTACACAAAAATATCACAGGCTTTTTAAACACTACACAGCTCACAATATATCACTTTTAAATACGGATTATTTGAATAAAGACGGGTTAAAACTAGATAAAATCTAAAATTGTCACTGGGACAAAATGGCGGATTGTTTTAACTTTTACGCCCCTGCTACGTTCGGAAACGTCATGAGAATATAGAGGTTATTTTCAGGTTTTTATTTGTTACATTTTTTTATTCATTTTAAATATTTTTATTATGTATTCTATTATAAATATCTTAATAAACCTTAACAAGGATTAATTTTTTTTGTCAAGGCAAATCTAAGAGTGTAAGGAAATGAAACACAATATGAACTATTAATTTATATTTTTATTACAACTACTATTTACAATAAGTAATTATGATCTCGCGGCTACAGCTTCGTCTTCATCATCGCTGTCTTCTTGAACTTCCTTAGATAGTGTTCGGTCGACGTGAACGAATGGATCTATCTTGAGTTTCTCGCTTGAAGGCGGACTTACGATAAAACACCTATAATATATTAACACTATTTAATGACAATATCAAAATTACTTATATAGGCAATATTATGCAGTAATATTTAATCTTCTCATATAATGTATGCATCTTAAAGGTATTGAACATTTGCTACTTTTTTTACTTTAACTCTTGTATTTGAATAAAAACTTTTTTAATACCTAGTTATAAAAAGCCCGTCTCGCTTCGGACGCACGGACTGAATATCTTTCAATAATGCATCAATATTTTCTGCTATATGTTTAGCGTCCATGTTCAACTGAAACAAAAAGTTTTTATTACTTACCTTTATTATTTTTACTTCATAGACAATTTTAGTTCTTTTATCAAATAAAAATGTTGAGATGAATCCTGCCTTATAATTTTATGGTAAGCTTTTGATTTGCAATCTGTTTTTTTATACATTAAGAGTCTATTGGGTCAGTGAGTAAAATTATAAAAAATATTTTACTACAAACTAAACATTAGAAAAAAAATTGTTTCAATGGACAGTTAATAAAAATTAAGATATGATATAATTTTCATATATATACGAAAATTAAAAGATATAAGTATATATGTATATATATACAGGGTGACTGGTGAATTACTATCAATATTTAAGGAGCATACTCGGTACATGATTCTCATTCGAATTATGTAAAAAAAAATAGGTACTTAATTTTTGACCAAATTTCCGTATTAATAAATAAAGTGTGTACTCGGTTCCAAGTGTTCCAAGTGTGGACGCGTGCGGCGGCGTGCTGATAGAACACTACGCCGCCGCCGCGTCTGTGTGAGTGTGTGTGTATGCCTAATCTGTAGGGTGTTCACACGATGCGTAATTAATTACATAACTTTTGGTTAACTTTACTAAGAAGTTTATTAATATTTATGTTATATTAATTTGTATTTTGTCATATATGATCGTCAAATATCACGTCCTCAAATATCGATAGTAATTCACCAGTCACCCTGTATATATAAACTTATATCTTCTCAGTATGCTATACTAACCCTTCCAACAGGCACTTCAACGGATCCAAAATTCTGTTGCTGTTCATCCTTAACAACTCTATATTGCACTCCGGCAGCAAACTTCTTCACCAAGTCACATATATTAGCATTCAATGTACCATTGTTGGGACTTGGGAACCTTCTCTTCATTAGACCCCTGATCGGCACTAACTCCGTTAATATATTGGGATGAGCTATCACATAGTCATAATCGCCGAGCTTTAAAGAACCTTCCTGAAACAAATGACATATATATAATATTTCAGAAGTTGACAATTTTTTCTTTATAAGTATACTGTTTGATATCATCATCAGCCTATCAGAGCCCACTGCTGAGCAAAGGCCTCTTTCTCACATGGAGAAGGTTTGAGCATTAATCACCCACCACGCTTGCTCATGATGGGTTTTTCTGTTTGATAGAAAATACAAATATTTACATAGCAAAGGCATATAAATTGATATTTATTACTACTAGCTTCATATTATATATAATGAAAATAGCAGGAAATAAGTGAAATTTATAAAAATATGCTTACACTCTACATATATAGTCCGTGTTTTGGAGCAATCAGAGGTTCCAGCAAAACTACGAAACTTTCTTACATGTATTTTATAATAAGTTTTTCGTATTAAAATTTATAACTTATATCTAAGACTAAGACTACATGATTGTCCCGACGTTAGGATAGCAATACCATTCCATAGCTTGTGTGGTATCAGGAATCTTCTGGTTCACACGTCTTTATATTCATTCCGCGGAGTCAGCGGCGACACTCGTTATACGATATATTATCATACAACGATGTTGACCCGACGATGTTCATTTGTTTTTTAATATGTAGTGCATATTAAAAACTGAATTAGTTATTATGTATGTATGTTTTGCTACCTGTATCTTCTTAATGAGTTCCGTACTGCCAGCGGTCGTGGCTCCAGCCTCAGCCACTTGTTTGATCAACTCCGGACCCTTACAGAACGCGAGTATAGTACGTTCTTCGTCTCGAGGGAACACTCGTGGCAGAAGGGTCAGTCGGGAGAAGTTTTCTATGTAGCGGTTCTGTAAAAATTTATATGTGATTATTGATTAATAAACTCTTTAGCTGTTATAAAGCCAAAATTATCACTATTCCTATTGATATATTTATGGAGAGTTGGGACAAACAAAAGACAGTCTGCATAGAACTTTCAGCGTATTTATAAATTTTCTTATAATTTATGACATATTGTTATCTAAACATATTGCAATCGTGGCTCATTAAAAACTTGAAATTTTAGTTATATGTATATTAAAAATGGCGCAGTTATTTGAATACCAAAAGAGTATGTGAAGACTCACAAGTTCATAACTAAACAATTAGGAAGACTAAAATTGAATAAAACACTATGAGAGTAATAGTAATAACAAGAAATGATGATGATGATTATAAGAAATATTATTCTAAATTAATATTTACTTAAGAATAACACACTGAGTTCCACTTATAATATGAAAGTGACTCTAACAATAATCTTATTTTTAATTGTTGGGAAAATTATTTATAAGTTACTATGACTGAAAGATATTCAAAAGAATGTAGGGCTCACTGCTATAAGCTAGGATTACAATCTGTATAATAATTATGGATGATCATTCAACTCAACACTTCAATGAAGCACTAATAAGTTCTTTACTCGTTCAACTGTGACAATAAGTCTAGTCTATTTAATGTCTCTTTTCCAGTCAAATATCTCTTAATACTGTAGTATTCAATAAAACTATATTAAAGTCTTGTATGTATTGTGCTAAGTAGCAAACTGAATGACAGCAATTAATATAATAAAGTAATCTACCTACACTTGACATCATACTATTTAAACAATATCGAGCAAGTATAACTAATACATAACAAATACCTTCTTAACGGCTTCCATGTTTAGTTCAACTTGAGCAAACACAAGTGCGTCAGGTACATTGTACATAGTTGGATGGTGGGTTTCCTTGTGTGCGAGAACAGCCTCTTCGGCAGTGTATACCACCCAACGATAGTAACGCATCGGGTAAACATCATCCTTTGATATATGCTTGTTTGAATCATCTAAATGCTTGTTAACATGTACCTTTGTCTCTCTGTAATTGATAAAGTTATGTTTTAATTGTAATAATAATAAATATCTCCTCTGCCTGTGATCGCGGTTGCTGTAAAGTAAACGAAACATCGGGAGTATGTAGTATAAAATAAAAATCGCGTAGTTAATCCGAAAATATTAGTTTCATTTAAATGAATACTTGCGAAAATCTTAGATCTCAATAATAATAATTAAGATGTTTTTTGCACAAAGATTACGATTTAGTTGATATTTGGATCTGTTATGAATTACAGTAATATTAAGTATATGTAATGTTTTACGATAGTGGGATAATTTAAATTCTAATATTGAGTTAGTACATCCATCTCAATAATATTGATGCTTACTTATTTTTTCCTCTCTGGTTGTGTGGTATAAAACCGACTTTAGTAATTTCTACTTTTACTTTCTTTGCCCTCGCTTTGGCCCTCGTTCCCTTACGAGCTGCATAATATACAGCGCCGGTGTTGATTGATCTCTGAAATAGAATACCAAGTTATAAGAAGCCCAATTTCAACGTTATGTTACTTTTCACTGACTTAAGTTAATATTGTTTTTTCGTTTACTTACTATTGTTGTTATATTAGTTTTATTCAAAGTTAAAGATGTATTGAATAAGGAACCTGAAACGAGATATTTATATTTGAAAAGATTTGTAATATATACTACTTTAAACGAATACATGAAATGTTATCAGACTATTAAAATAACTTACGAAAAATTATTCCAGCCATTTTATTGATGACTGATGTATTTTCAGAAACTTTATTCTTATATTTACTATTTTGCCATATATTTTAGGTTAGTCTTACTTATTTCTTTATTGACAATTGTCTTTATTAAATTTATGCATAGACTATACATACAAATAGTGAAAAGCTAAATAGTCCATTTAATATTTAAATTAATTTTTGATTGATTCGTGTACAGTAAAATAGATTATAGAATATTTTAGAAACAAAAAATTATGTATGATTACATATATTGCAAAATATTATGAGCCAGAAAAGAAAGAAATTTTTTTAAGGATTTAGAAATTGGGAGTAAAAATGTCGAAAAATAAATCTTATAAGAAAATTATTTACATACAGACCGAAAAATTTTATTTTAAATATCCTAAAGGATAAAATTAAATACAATTATCACTAATTCTAGTTGATATTTGCACTTTTCTATATTTTCTTAATCAACAGGGTTGTAAAAATCCATTATACCTTCTCAAAATTAATCATCATCAACAGTTATACTTAGTTAAATATAAATTCTATCATTTCCAACCAAAAACTAATAAGAAGGTACCGGTTCTTGATATGTTTATTATTTAATTAACCTTTTAAACAGAAGTGACAGCAGTAGGTGAATACTGCTGTAGTATGGACAGTAGAGTATAGTCTGTAGTCTCATTCATTAAATCAAAACAACCGTGAATTTAAGAGTTAAAAGCGGTTACAATGTGTTTTAAAACCGGAAATTGTAACTGATAATTAAATTGAATCGTAAATATGTTTAGGATTTGGTGATTATAGAATACTGTATTTCTAGGCATAAAGTAAATATGGAGGTATTAAACTGTAGTCTCATTTTATTCTCATTGTGTGTTTTGTTGTGGGGTGTGGCAGGCCAATATGAATGGCAAATACGTGATGCTTTTGATGAAATCCGAGGAAAAATGGACAAAGTCAACGAAGATAACTGCTATATCACTCATTTGGATGATCTATTCCTTCCAAAAGATTCAGTTTCCCATCATCCGGATGTAAAAGAAATAAATATAAACCCTATATTTCCCAATCGGACGGCTTTGTTACATTTGCATAACATGGCTATGACCAGGGCGTTTTTCTGGAGTTATATCCTCCAATCTAGATTCATACGTCCCGCTATTAATGATACTTACGATCCAGGAATGATGTACTACTTCTTATCGTCTGTAGCCGATGTTTCAGCCAACCCGTACATCAACGCCAGTTCTATATACTTCTCACCCAACATGTCTTACACTTCTTCCTACCGAGGATTCTTCAATAAAACTATGCCCAGATTCGCGCCAAGAGCTTTCCGAGCCGACGACTTTAATGATCCCGTACATTTACAAAAGATTTCGACTTTGAACACGTTCTTCGTAGAAGATTTGGGCGCATTCGACCCCGAGAGCCTTTCTAAGGATTACACATCAGATTTCTATAGAACTAACGAGTGGTATTCTTTATGGTTGCCGGACAAAGTCAATAAGAGACATGACACGAAAACTACATATCAAGTTGAGATCAGATATGCCAATAATACTAATGAAACATTTACATTTCACGGACCACCAGGAAACGACGAGGTTTGTAGAATATAGTCATGAATGCTAAGAAAGAAATTAATATTACTGTATTCATTGAAACAAATATTAAAGGGAAATTATTGAACTATTCAGTGAATTCATACATAAACCAGAAAGAATCTGATATAAAATCTATTTATTTTGATTGATGTAATACTTAGTTTAAGGACAAAACTCTGAAACTTCTACACTAGCAACTATAGTATAATAAATTTCTAATTCATATTTATTTATTTATTTATTTATTTATTTATTAAGGCAAACACAACAGGTCACAATCACATAGAGAATATTTCTTAAACATTAATAGCATCGAACAGATTATGACCCTAAGGGTGCATGCACAACATGACGGGATTGCCAATTATTATTATACAGGAGATAACTATATATTAGTACTAAACAAAAAAAGACAAAAAATATTCTTTACAAGACAAGTGAATTTGCAAATTGTTTTCTTGTTTTTGGGTGTAATTTTTTTAATCATGTTAATATTATAGGTTCCAGGGCCAGTGAATTGGACAAAACCATATTTTGACTGCGGCCGTCTCAATAAATGGCTAGTAGGAGCAGTATCTCCTATAGCTGATATATATCCTCGACACACACAGTTCAGACACATTGAATTCCCATTGTGAGTTGGTTTGATCATACTACTTTTGTAGCAATTTATTCTTCTTCTACCTGGCAATTTCCGAGCTTTAGCCAGGGTCTGCCTTACATGTTGTGAATGGTTTTGGCTAATCGTTTTTATGACCGGCCGCCTGCTTGACATCAACCCTCTTTGGGAATGCATTAATCAGTGATGTCGAAATACTCTTAGAAAGTACATATGACTCAGAAAAATCACATTGGTACTTGCCAGGATCGAACCCGCACCCTTATGCATGAGAGGCAGGACTTTTCACATCTAGGCCACCACTGACTTTGTAGCAATTTATTGAATACATAAATATAATTTAAATTAGCCATGTACTTACATATATTTTTATTTTATACTTCTATTTATTTATTCCATTAGTGTATATAATACAAAGTTAAAAATTTACTCTTTAAAATATAAGTCTAATAAGTAATAACTGTTGTCTACTGAATTGTACAAAATTATTTTTATCTCTTAATATATACACATATTTGCAAACCTACAATGCAATGTTTACCTAATTACGTATGAATGTGTGTGTGTATGTATGTGGGTGTGTGTGTTTATCATGTGATCATTAAATGGTGTCTTTAAATTTTAAACATATATAAGTACAGTAGAAACTAAAATATCGGGCAATCAGTTATACGGATTCGCGATTATCCGGACTTGTCCGTAGTAAGAAAAAATGTCAAAGCGAAAGATAGTGGTGTTGTTGAGAGTGGCGTAAGTCAAATGACAGTTATTACCAAACAGTCTATACCAAATGAAACTTATTATGATAATTCATGATCAGGAATTGCAAATTACCAAATTCATATTGTAGTTTATTTCATGATTAAATAAGTTTTTAGTTCATACATGTATCTGTATGTATATGTAATCTAAGAAAATATATCCTTCAATTATTTATTAATAAAAATTGATTTTCGTTGAAATTTATTTGTTATTTTTTCTAAATAAACATATAATATTATACATATGCACAAAACTGGCTTTTCTTCATAAATTCGGTTATCTGGATTTTCGATTATCCGAATGCCTATCTACAACAATTAGTCTGGTTAATCGAGTTTCTACTGTATAACATTTTATTTGATATCAATGTTTATACATGTATCTATCTGTTTTCAGATATACAGCAACTGTAGTTATGGAGATTGATTATGACCGGATAGACATCAACCAGTGTCCTAAAGGCCCCGGGAACCAGGGGCCTAATAGGTTCGCTTCAACTGATAGGTGTAAGAATGAAACGACAGAGGTCAGTTGATATATAATATATGTAGATAATATATGATAAGCTTGAGTTTTAATATGTTATAAGAACAAGTTGTTATGTAAAAGTTATTTTAAGAACCAGTTGGGCTAAAAAAAATCAATAATATTGTTGGTTTTGTTAATGATTATTCAAATCTAACTACGGTTCTTATAATTTTTGTATTAACTATGTATAATCAATAGAAACAGTTTTTATTTGCAATAAATATACATCTCTATCTGCAAATTTGGCTCAAAATTTTCATTTTCATTTTCATGTATATAACATTAATATATGTTTGTATGATCCAGTGTGAGCCAATCCACGGGTTCGGTTTCCGTCGCGGCGGCTACCAGTGTCGCTGTAAGCCCGGCTACCGGCTGCCCGGGGTCGTTAGAAGACCCTACCTCGGAGAGATCGTTGAGAGAGCCACCGCTGATCAATATTATAACAACTTTGATTGTTTGGAAATCGGATGTGAGTGACAGTTATATTTAATACTAATATAATATAATATATACAGTGGTGGCCCAGTGGTTTAAGGGCCCGCCTCTCATTGCCGAGGGCGCGGGTTCGATCCTGGCCCGGGCAAGTACCAATGTGATTTTTCCGAATCATATGTACTTTCCAAGAGTATTTAGACACCACTGATTAATGTTGATTCCCAAAAGAGGGTTGATGTCAGGCAGGCGGCCGGTCGTAAGAACAATTAGCCAAAACTATTCACAACATGTAAGGCAGACCCTGGCTAATGCTGTTAAATTGCCAGGTAGAAGAAGACTAGTTTTTGTCCGTCAGTGGTGGACTACTCGTTAAAAGGCTCGCCTCTCATACAGTGGCGGCTGGTGGGTTATAAAACTGGTGGTGCACTTTACTAAAAAATTAAAATTAGAAAATGCAACAGAACATAACGAGATGTCAATCACGGCTCAATTCGTCATAGTCACGAGTGCACTTAAGGTACAGCCGCCACTGCTCTCATATATGAGGGCGCGGGTTCGAAACCCGTCAAGTACCAATGTGATTTTTCGGAGTCATATGTACTTTAAAAAAAAAGTATTATACACCACTGACTGACAGACGGTGAAGGAAAACATCGTGAGTTAAACTGGACTTATAATTTCCAATTATAGCGTGAGTGATTAATGCTCAGACCTTCTCCATGTGAAAAGAGGCCTTTCCTCAGCTGTGGGTTTACAATAGACCTATGAAGAAGTTTTTGTCCGCGACTTTTCATTTCGGCATTATTAATATATGTATGTACAGCCGACCGAGCGATTTGTATTCTTTTCTAGGTTTTAAATAACCAGATTTTAGAATTTATTAAGTATTTTCTTTTTCGATAGAACAGAATTAAATATCCTATATCCATGTTCTGGTTCTAAACTATCTTCCCACCAATTTTCAACGATATCCCTACAGCTGTTCTTGAGTTATAAATAGTTTAACTAATACAACTTTTTATATATTAGTTTAAATTTGTCAGTTTTATAACTTTAACTAGAGATTTTTTTATATAAAATTATTCGACATGTGGTTACCGAGCTTTGCTCGGTATCTAGTAAATGTTAGTATTTATTTTGTGTTTTTTTTTCATTTCGTTTAGGCATTTTTAAGTGAACACGTTAAGAAGACACAAAACATTATAAATCAACAATTAAGTTTCTTAGTCTAACCTCAAAACAAACACTCATTGATTTCCTGTTATTTAACAACGCCATCTGCTGTGGTATCGTTCAAACAATTATTAAAATCAATAAGCAAAAAGCAGTATTACTATTCGCTAATAGATGTCAGGGAGAGTCATTAAACGCCTCCTTTTTGTTATTATTTTTTAAATGACATTTTCTAACAATGATTCATAGCTAGATCGATTTATCGCCCCCGAAACCCATATACTAAATTTCATGAAAATCCTTAGAGACGATTCCGAGATTCCAATAATATACAAGAATTGCTCATTTAAAGATATAAGATAAGATAACAACATAAGCATTATTTGTCAAAATCTTTTTTTTTAATGTGTAAAGTGGCAAACGGATAGATTGGCCACTTGATGGTCAGTAGACACCGTCGCCCATGGACATCCGCAACATCTATGTTGCCAACCTTTGTTGTACGGGAAAAGGGACGGGAGGGAAAAAGGAAAAACTTGGAAAGGGTGGGAAACAGGGAAAGGCCACCGGCTCTCACACTCATCAAATGAAACCCAGTCATTACTGACTACTTCACGCCGATATTCTGTGAGAGGGTGCTACTTCCCCGGTCGAGTCAGCCCATGTTCAAGCTGTAGTAACTTAACCACAGCTAGGCTCTACCACCTAAAGAATTCTAATAAGATCCTATATATATATGTCATTGACCTCTTTTATCTATATTATTCCAGGGATCCAACGCCTGCCAGTTCAGTGGGAGCGCGCTCACCCCTTCCTGCGAGCGTTGTACATGGACCGCTACTACGAGTACGTGAACACGACGCCCGGCCGGGACTCGTTACACGCAGAGAGGGTCAACGTGTACGACGTGCTCAACTACATACGAGGAGTGCAGCCGCATAACTGTTCGCTGTGAGTTGTTGGACCTTAGTAGGGGATTTATATAGAAACTAGCTTTCCGCCCGCAGCTTCGCCCGCGTGGTATTCGGTTATATCGCGTTTCCAAGAGAACATTTCAACAGTCTGAGATAAAAACTATCCCATGTTCTTTCTCAAGGTCAACTCTGTCTGTACCAAATTTCATTAAAATCAGTTCAGTGGTTTAGGCGTGAAAGCGTAACAGACAGACAGAGATTACTTTCGCATTTATAATATTAGTAGGGATGTTCAAATATGATATTTTATTGTTGAATATAAAAGAAAGTCGTTTATACATTACTTATAAATCAAAAACGGATAAATGGTTTGCATGAAAATTGGTGAGGAGGTAGAATCGTATTAAAGATGGATATAGATTAACTTTTTATTCCGTTCGATATTAAAGAAAATAATTTTGATTATTTTCATCTCAAATAAGTGCTTCAAGTATGTAAGTTTTTGTAAGTACAAGTTATACTTAACAAAACTTAAAGGGCCCGTAAACTCGTCTATTGAAAATATTGGTATATTTTTTGTGTAATACAAATTTTTGTATTAAAAAAGAGAGGAAAAAAATTCAAATTATATTTTTATCCATAACATATTAAATAAAAGTTGTATACAGTGTAAAATTTTCGTTAATCATAAATTAATCTTTTATTATACTATTTCAGGTATAACCCAACAGATTTGTTCCTCAATGGTGACATAGCTTTTGGTGCGGAGGAACAATTTGAGAACCAAGCCAAGATGGCCGTCAGGTTGGCCAACTTCATAAGTGCCTTTTTACAGGTACGTACACTTTTAATTTAATAAAATAAACTGACATAATTTTCGAGATCCTAATTAAGCCATTTTGTATTAAATTGTAACGAGACATACATATAATATATTATATATATCAGTCAGTGGTGGCTCAGTGGTTAGAGGGCCCGCCTCTCGTCACCGAGGGCGCGGGTTCGATCCTGGCCCGGGCAAGTACCAATGTGATTTTTCCGAATCATATGTACTTTCTAAAAGTATTTAGACATCACTGAGTAATGTTGATTCCCAAAAGAGGGTTGATGTCAGGCAGGCGGCCGGTCGTAAAAACAAAGAGCCAAAAACTATTCACAACATGAGAGGCAGACCCTGGCTATAGCTGGGAAATTGCCAGGTAGAAGAGACATACATATAATATATTAAAAAACGATCATATCGTTCGTCCGTGATCACGGTTGCTGCAAAGTAAAGCAGTATGTAGGTTTTAAAAATAATAAATATAAACCGAAATGTTTCATTTAAATGAATACTCGACAAAGTCTAAGACCTCATTAAAAAGCTATATAAGTCTTTATCAAGTTTATTATTTTCGTATTTCTCAGGTATCAGATCCTAAGGAAGTGTTCAGCGGCACGAGAGTGGCTGACAAACCTCTCACAGAGGATCAAATGTTAGGAGAAACACTCGCATTAGTTTTGGGTGATTCAAAGGTTTGGTCGGCAGGTGGGTTAATAAAAATATTTTCTTCTTTTAGTACTATGTAGTTATGTATTCAGAGTATATATATGTATGTATAAGCTGCAATATATTAGTATACATAATATATATTTAGTATACATCAAAATTAGGCTATTATTATAATGTATAAGTAAATGCTTCATAAATACCATTTTATATTACTATATTCTACTTATATTCTTGTACTTAGTTTTATAAAGGACTGATATTATTGTTATTTGTTGTCAGGTACATATTGGGATCGGAATAAATTCACCAATCGGACGTTCTTTGCACCGTTCGCTTACAAGACTGAGTTGAATACAAGGAAGTTTAAATTAGAGGACTTAGCAAGACTCAATAAAACAGGTAAGACATATATCTTTACCATGAGTGTGAAAGAAAGAAATTCCTAACAACTCTCAGTAGGTATGTAGTAAGACGGCATAAATATTTACTAAAGCTACTACTTGTTATGTTATATATACATAGTATAAAACAAAATCGCTTTTTTTGTCCCCACAATAACATTTTTTCGTCATTTACTTTTGCGACATATAATGGCTAATTTTCGATGATTTTAACCAAAACAGCATTAATCCTTATCCAATTAAATACCTTAAACATATTGTTGATTTAAAATACATCTATATGGCCGTTTACAGCAGATAATTTAAATTTAATTCCCCTACGAACCTTAAAGCGACCTTCTACGGTTTTATATACAACGTTCACAGATTTTTTGTAGTATATTTAGCATCAGCATGTCCATGCGAAGACGGGGTCGCTAGTTTATATGTAGAAATAGAAATCATATATAAAATCAATATGTAACCATACTATAATTTACATTCCAGAGGAATTATACACAAACAAACCGTGGTTCCAATTCCTAAAACAGCGCTGGTCTAACAACTTCGATAGCCTGGAGAAATATTTCCTCAAAATGAAGATACGTAACGATGAACTCGGTAAATACTTGAAGCAGTATGAGAGGTACCCGACGTACTACAGAGCGGCGAGCATTAAACATGGACATTGGACACAGCCGTACTACGACTGTGATGGACATCTCAAACAATGGGTTGTGACATACGCCGCGCCATTCTTCGGATGGGATAACGTTAAAGTTAAACTGGAATTCAAGTTAGTATTGTTTAAACCGTTATCACGGTTGCTGTAAAGTAGCAAACGTCGGGAGTATGTCCGAAATGTATTAGTTTCATTTAAATGAATAAAACTAGTGAAAATCTTAGATCTCATTAGTATTGTGTTGTAATAATATTATTAAAGTTAATTGCAGGAAATAAATATGTAATGGATAATAAATATTATTAAGAATTTCTTGATATTAACTGGTCGTGAAGGTGCAATTTCCAAAATATCATTTTCTATTTTGCTGGCATTTCTTTTTATTGTACTTTTCCTGTTATTGATGATGTTAAAACATAATTTGTAGAACAATCATACTTTTATAATTATTTAGAAATGTATATAGTATATTAATTTTAATAAATATTATTTCAGAGGGGTGGTAGCTGTCACCATGTCTTTAATGCAGCTAGACATCAATCAATGTCCCGACAAGTATTACATACCCAATGCTTTCAAGAGCACAGACAAGTGTGATAGAAGCTCCTCTTATGTGAGTATGGAGTGAATTAAATTAATTTATCTATATAGGAACTTTAATCAATAATATTAAGCTTTAAAATAGGTATATTAAATAGGTTTAAAAAATCATACTTTGAGTTTATCAAAGTGGTCTTGTTAGTCCTGACATTATCTAATTGTGAGTGCAATTCCCGTCAAAATCGGTACATTCATTCCAGAAATTAGCCAGAACAAACAGAAACTGAAAAAAATAATCATTGTGCGCGTATTCACTTCTCGCGGAAGAAGTGTAACTTTGTAATGTTTGAATGAAAATCGGAAGATGTAGAAATTGATTTTTATAAAATTTTTGTTTTTCCTTAAGATGAACTTTATAAACAAACAAAAAATGTTTTGATATAGCCCTTGTAAATAATTTTACTTAAATACCTATAATTTCAAAATAACTCATACTTTAACTTTATCACTATACATATATATTGTTCCTCTAAGAGTCTAAGTGTATTCACAGCCTAACAAGCAAATAAAAATCTATTTCAGTGCGTCCCAATACAAGGCCGAGGTTTCGAAGCCGGTGGCTACAAGTGCGAGTGTCTCCAAGGCTTTGAATATCCCTTCGAAGACCAAACAACGTACTACGACGGTCAAATCGTAGAGGCGGAGTTCCAGAACATTATAGAAGACAAACAAACAAGGATTGATATGTTCAAATGCAGGCTGGCTGGAGGCAGTGCGATCAAGGCTGATCTTATTCTCATTATAGCTTTAGCTATATTTATATGGTGGAAATGAAATTAATAATATAATGAATCTCTATTAAGAATCTTCAGTTTCATATATAACTATTGTTTTTATTTGATTTTTATTTGAATATTGTAATACTTATCTATTTGACAAATCTAGTATAAATGGAATTTGAAACTGATTAACAATACAATATGAGAAAGAGCATATCAGATTGTACTATCACCATAGAATAATATTTTTTAACAAACTAATATTATCTTAGTTTTATAGAAAAATCTATATAAAAATAATATAAAAATGTTATTTTTATGTGATTGTGATTAATTATGACATACAATTAATACTATAGCTAAAATTTCAAACAGAAATTGAAACACAGTTCAAAGTCCAGTAGTTATTATTATTGTGCTTATTTTTAGTTCCAGCAATGTTTTTTACTTATATTTTGAACTTTTTTAACTGATTTTTAAATAAGGTTTATAGAATAAGTTGTTTGTATATTAATCTGAGTGCAGCTACTTAAGATATTGTATTTTCTATAAGTAAATTGAATCTACATAATTTTACCCAGTGTACCTTTTCATTAGACTGTTTACTTTTCAATATTTTACAATTTAATATATAGATTTCCCACATTTTTGTTAATTTATACATGATGGGACATATGTACAATCTCAATTTGTGTTGTATAATTTTTGGTTACTCAATTGTTATGAAATGAAAACAGCAAAATTTGTGAAAAATACTGAAAATACCTTTATATTTTTATTTTGTATTTTATATGTTGGACATATTTTTGGTTACTTAATATTTTAAACTGATTGACATGCATTTATATAATCTTGATTCAATATTATTGTATAAATTGTTTTAAGATCTATCATATGATATAGTAGGAGTAGGAGATAGTTATTTTTTTACTACTAACAGGTTTTATAAATAGGTAAAAAGTTTTTTTAACTATATATATAGAAAAAACAATTGTATTGTTTTGGACTAATGCTTTATATTAAACATTCCATATATCATGTACAGAGTAATAATGTGCCGTCCATTTTTGTGCCTTTTATAGTTTTTTTTTTAATTAAATCTCACAAAGTATATCTTGTTTTTTATTGTATGTACATATTTTCAGGTATGCTGAAATTAATTTTCAATAGGTAAATTGAGTTTTAAGTATATAGAAATGGTGTATTAAATAAAAACACGGAATATGGTTCCAAAAGACGCTTACTTGTGCTCAGCAATGATTGTACTCCTTATATACACGAGAGCGCCAACCAGTCCTATGTATAGTGTTATGTATATTAACATGTACACTATTATTATTGTTCGGAGTAAGCTCATTCTGGTTATACCATATTTCTTGATATTGTTTTTATCCGGTTTTAATGTTTTTGAAGCGAGTAATTTGACTACTCATTAATGAGAATGTCAGTTATTCCTTAAAAACTTTTCCGTTATTTTCTAAACTACATTCAATATACTAACGTATATTGTAAATAGTACGTTGAAATTTTTATACTTACGTCGAAATAAAGAAAATTACTAATTTGATATTTAGAAAACGTTCAAAATATATATTTTTTGTTGTCTTATTCTAAAAATGTATTTATTTTAATGTTCCTACTTGTATTCTCGTATGGCAACATTAAAAACATATTTGACAATGCGCAACTGTCATCTAAAACCTAACAATTTATTTAAATAGTCTTGTCAATTGACAATGACATTGAAATCAGTAGTGAGAAAGTTGTGAAGCAAACTGAAATTACCAATTAATATCTAATAGTCTTTATTATTTTATTTAAAGAAAGACAACAAAAAAAAAGGTGAGCTATATTTTATAGTCCTTTTACTCCACCCTTATTTACTCCCTATTAATGATAATTCCACCTTTTTTAACCTTGACATCCATTCGTTGAACTTGAATACGTAATTTAAATAAGTGAATTTTTAATTAATTAATTTAGATATATCATTTTAATTATACACCGTATATCAGTATGACTTTTGTTTGTGTTTTAATATTATTATTTACTTATAAATACATTCGATATAAATAATTATTTATATAAGGATAACTACCATACTTTAATTTGATTTAAATTTTGTGAAAATTTTTAATTTCAGTAAAAATGAGTGGCGCTGTGAGAAAACTATTAGAATCTTTGAAGAGCAAAGAATTTAGAGATTATTTAATGAGGTCAGTAATCAAATACATTTAACATAAAAAATATATTTTGTATAATATATTAATATAATTTTCACAATATGATTTCAGCACTCATTTCTGGGGTCCGGTAGCCAACTGGGGTATTCCATTAGCAGCTATCGCAGATATTAAAAAAGACCCCAGTTTTATCAGTGGAAAAATGACTTTTGGTATGCATTTAGATATTTTATGACACTACTATACTATAAACATCATTGATTCACAAACAACTGTGTCAATATATACAATTATAAAACAATTTGGTAAAAGTAACCGGTTCTTAAAAGTTATGTATTTTATTTATAAAAAAATAGTTGAGATGTATAGAAAAACAGTTCAGACATGATAATATATAAAACACTTGATGTTTATTGATTTTTGTTGAAGAAATATAGCTTAAGAAGCCCCATACAACATTTTAAATCTAATCTTTGATAGACCCAGCACTTGCAAAGTGAACCCATGAAATACTGACAAGTTTCATTTCTTTCTTCTTCTTCTTCCTGGCAATTCCCCAGCTTTAGCCAGGATCTGCCCTTTCATCTCTTTCTGTTAGGTATTATTTAAAATTATAATTAAAATATAATAGTAATGAAAGGCACACACACTTAATAAAATAATAATACATTTAAAAAATTAAAAGATATGGAAAATAATGATAAATGATTGCTTACATAATGTGAGAAAAAAGCTTGTATTTATATTGCAATGGGAATTCCTAACACTGATACGTGTTAAATAATATATAGATGGCTATCATAATATATTTTATCACCAAAATATATCTTCTAATCTAAATAAATCTCCTGGAATTACCCACACAGTAATATTCAATATTTGTAACTTACTCGCTTTCAATGATTATTTATCATATTCATAAACCATTGTGATAATGTCTTATGCTAATATTGAACATAGTTGACTTATCTCATAGTAAATCATATTCTGAAGTATTAGAAGTTAAACAATATGTTAAAAATTCTTATAAGAATTATATGCAAACACTATAAAGATAATGAATACATACAAACTGACGGTTAGCTGTCGTAGTAAATTATTTTTAATAATACAATTGATATTTATGATTTCTTACAACATATATACATATATATATATATATATATATATATATATATATATATATATATGTGTGTGTGTGTGTGTAAATGACTTTATCTTTTAATCACACACTTGACATGAAACACTTTGAAGGTGACACATTGATAACACATATTCAAATGTCTTATAAATATATTTTTCTTCATTAAACTAATATAATGATATATTTATTAATATTACAAAGTAAATATTATATTATATTCGGCTCTGACCAGATTTATATAAAGCCATATTTTTCTTATCAATGACAAATCTTTTTTTATATTTATAGTATTACTATATTGCACTCAATATGATAAAGTGATATGCTTTTAGATAATAAAAGATTTTTGTTTTTGATATCAAATTGTATATAATGATTTAAATGAAACTAATATTTTTCAGATATACTACGCGATTTTTATTTTTATCAAAATCAAACTACATATTCCCGACGTTTCGGTTATTTTAAAGCAACACATCCGAAAAATATTAGTTAGTACATCCGAAAAATATTAGTTTCGTTTAAATGAATACTCTCGAAAATCTCAGATACTATTATGCATATAATCATATTTTAAGTGATGAAATTGTTTAAAAACAATATTTATTTGCCATTATCTATATAAAATGTTTCAACCATGTTTGTAAATGAGGAGTATTGTTCTTAATTGAATGAGCAATTAACAATACAAGTGTTAGTCATTGATTTCCTGTGCATTTGTAAATTACCAAGTAGTATATGTGTATAAGCAGTTAATATATTTTGGTAACAACTCTCTTCTCATTGTGTATATGTAATATTTCTATTTAAATTTAATATTGGGTTATTATCTGTAAAAATTATAATTTTTGATCAAAGTTTTTTTGATTGCTCGTTTTATATCATATTAGGGGTGGACATACATATGGTCAGTCTAGTATTAAATGTTGACCATAGTCTATGATTCCCTGCAATAACATATGTATTAATTTTGTGTTGCTGACTTCTCCTTATTAATTTCTTGAAGAAGCCCTTACTGTAGACCCTTGTAAAAAATTCATTAGAAGGTATGTTTCATAGTGTCAGCCTTTGCGAGTAAAAATACTCTGAAATAACACTAGGAATGACATTGGCAAGCCAAGGAGTGAGAACAGACCAACATACACAACACTTTCTTTGAATATTTCCTTTTAAATAGTCCTTTTAAATATACATATGTTATGTTAGGACACCAAGTTTCTTATAAACAACTTGGCCTTATTGTCCATTTTATTATAGAATTGTGTTTCTGTAAACAAGGGATCGTCGACAATTCATATATCCTATTTTTGAAAGAGGACAAATTATCAAAATGTTTGTAGGCAATAATGTCTGCCAAAGGTATGTAAGTTTGCTATGATTAGCACAGCAGGTTTTTGGTGAGCAACTTGGTCTTATCATCTCGACTATGTTACTCTGGAATTGTATATATTTGGTGACTTTGATGTCAAGGACTCTAATACTCTTACAGGTGGTTAAGGGAGTGTTCTAGTACTATGGGTCCACAGTAAATGGGTTTTTCTTAATTGTGAATGCATAACCTATTCTTTCGTTGGGGAAATTGGACAATTGAATTGTTCGCGACCTTTTTCCACAATGTGACGAGTTACATCGCCCGTATGCGAGCAACTGTACTTGGTTTTATAGTCCGCATAGCAATGAATGCTATATAATATTGTTGATCATCCTCATGACCTCGAAGAGAAGAGAGACTATGGCGATAGACCTGTAAATAGATGGATGTGAACTGTCACCTTTTTGAATCATAGAGTGCACATAGGCTGTCTTCTACAAAAATTGTGTTGTCTTGTTTTGTGAGAAATTTCGAAAATTCGTGTTAAGACATGGCACAAATCCGCAGTATATGATTTGAGTACCATTTCTCGTATGTCATTAGGAATACTCGATTTAGACAAAACAGAACTTTCCGAACATTTCTCTGTGAGATTCTTAGTTGACAGCTTAGACAGAAGGTAAATACAGCGTGGTATGATTGGCGTTGTGGTAATACGGTCATCGTCCAATGTTGAGATCTAAAAGAATACGCAGTAGATAAGGTCTCTGTAGCGTTTAGGGCCAAATTACCATCGGCTTTCCAAAATGTTGGTAGAGACCGAAAAATACGTTGAATTTTGACTGGACCTCGAGGCCGCGTTAAGATTGCATTTCATTCTGGAATCTTAGGACCTCTTAAGCTTTGTACAGGACCAAGTATCGTACATTTCCGTGACTTTTTGGCTCCAAAAATCTATAATTCAAAGAGCTCCAACAACCGATTTGTGTCCTTATTATGCTGGAACTGTATAGGCACCCGTAAATAGCACCGTGTCTGCCAATATCCATTAATAGAAGACCGTCAAATTTGTATTTCCGAAAAGGAGGGGGCAGTAAGATATAAATACTTTGTCACGTCTCAGTAATTTGTTCTTGTTTGTAGTCCGGGAACCATATATAAAATACATGAGGTGGTCAGATTATTTATCAGCGATCTGCGATGGATAGAGTTTGGTCTCGGTCGACTGCGCAGTCTTCAGTTTCTGATATACTGCGAATGTAATCTGTAAATGTGGAAGATGTCGCTTCGAAAATTTTCCTTTTTTCATAACGTTTATCACTTTATTTACTAAGGGCCAGACCAGTGTAAGTCCATTCCGGTTTTTTACTCAGACAACTATCGCTAAAAACTTTTTTTCTTGTTTGGTTAAGCCCCAGAGTCGAGGTGTCCCTGGTTTCTGCCAAATATCGAGTGAGCGGCAATTGTTTCAATCGGGGTCAACCCTCTCACCTACTAATAGCCATTTTATCATCACTGATTGCCCAACTATCAGGATATTCAATTAGGGAAAGTAGCATAATTTGGCTTCTGTGCGTAGAGTTATACTTCCACAGCATACTGCTCCAAATTGTCGCAAATAAATCCCGATATGGCGTTCCTGTTTTATACACTTTAGGTATACTTAGTTTTTTCTATAACAATTACTTAAATTGTTAGAGTTTTGACAAAATAATTTATAACTTACCCTGTTTGTATGTTCTTGGTACGATATTAGTATCGCCACAAACTATGATGTGTGAAATTAGTTATAATTTATGAAGAGAGCGTGAAAATGATCCAAATTGGATTTATAGATTAGCATGCGATATTAATTGGATGCTTAAAATTTTGAATTAACAATAAACTATTATATTTCCGGATGTTTTTCACTTCTAAATCTATAGATGAAGCATATTCTATACATATATGTATTATATTTCATGAATTGATTATTGAATAATTACATATATAATGGGAATTATAAATAATTATAAGTAAATATCTTTGCAATTAGCCATAGCCTTCAGCTCAACGAGTTACACTATTAAGTAACAATAGTCCAGATTATGAATACTAATATATTATGTTTTTTGTTCCAGCACTTACACTCTACTCTCTAATGTTCATGCGTTTCGCGTGGAAGGTGCAGCCAAGGAATTTGTTGTTATTCGCCTGTCACTTTACAAACGAATGCGCCCAACTGACTCAAGGCGCTAGATTCATAAATCACTATTACATAGAAAATAAGACGAAAGATGAAAAGTCATAAAACAATTGACAACGTGACGATCATACGACGTATGGTCCTGCCAATAATTTAGTGGAATAGACAATAGTTTTTTTTTTATATATATGTATATTGAAAGTTATAAATCAGCTGTCATTCTGCCAAAATAGTGACGCAATGTTAGTTGTTACGGTTTTTGCACAAATTCAAATTTATTTTATATTTTGCTTTAGTTAATGTAAGATGAAAAGAAATTTGATAAGTGTATAGCTCAGTTACCATTTTATCCATTATAGATTGTATATATCTATTTCTTCCGATGTATGTAGTGTGTAGTGTAGATTAATACAAATAAGGAACCAGACAGTAAGCATATAACTTATTAATCGTTTCAACGTTTTTTTAATTATTTTGGTCCATTCTTTCTCACATGAGTCGCAAAATTTGTGTTGTTGACGATAAACATGATGCTTCAGGATGTAAATGTTACTAAAAATAATTGAAGCTTTTGGACGTGACGCAGTATGTATGCCAAGAATTGTCGAATTTCAAACATTAGCTAAACATGTTAAAAATACAAAATATATGAAAAGATATGTAAGTTGAAGATGTTTTCCGAATTAATGTTATGTTTATTTTGAAATAATATAATTATGTTCTTATGTGGTTGGTCTTTACAACTCTCGTAGTTAAAACAATATATAAATGGACTTGAATAATTTGTGTTACTTATTGTGCCTATCTGTCACTGTTAGATATTTGAATTTGTTTTGTTTTAACTGTTTGTAGTTAGTAGTTGCTCAGAATGTGTACAAACTATATATTTTTTGAATATTTATTGTAATTAAATTTATTACGTCGATTATATTCTCTTGTTGATATTCTGTAGTTTTATTTCAAATTGGATGCCTTGTTTTATTATCTACGTATTTATAAGATGCTTTCGTTGAATACCGCCAAATATGTATAATATAAATCATAGTTATTTAATTGACATATAAGGTAATGAAAATATATTTCAAAGGAAGTTTTAATATTAGCATTTAGCATATTTATTAATAGTTGCCTCAACACATTCCGTAGTCAACATTTAACAATGCTTCTGTTAATGATACACTGAAGTCTGAAAGCGTATGAATTGGTCACGCACTGACAGTCACTTGTATGACAAAGACATTGTTCGCCCGTCAGCCGCCTCAAGGCTGGCTATTGTCAAAGTTGGCGGGAAATATAGACTTCAGAAATTTCCACAGATAACATAAAGTTGGTTAATATGTTTTACATTCTACATTTTTTTATTAAATGCATTAACTGTCTTAATGCGTGTTAGTTATTAGCGGTAAAAAAAGTTAAATACACAATAATACTTAAAACTTTAGCGTATATTCATTTAAATAAAACTAAGATTTCCGGTAATAATTGCGCGTTGTTCTTATTTTGTTTTTTATTATTTTAAAAGTACATATTCTCGACGTTTCATATCCTTTGCAGCAATCGTGATCTTGGGCAGATGATATGTAAAAATACTCAAATACATATTTTATGGCGTAGTGTTATTAGAATATATAATAAATTAAGTGACTCTCCTTGTTGATGAACAATGTAAAACGCGTGTTCCTCAATATAGTGATGTAGATTAGCGGATGTTATAATTTGTATGACCAACAGTGGGACCCTAACCTGTTGCGGTGTTTATGTTGATATTAATTGACTTGCATTTACGACTCAAAAACACCTCTTTTGATATAATGGAAGTCCCGACATGGTTTTTGGAGGTATATTGGCAGTAGAAAATTTCATTTAAATAAAAATAAGGCTATCAGATTGTTTCTCTAATATTATTTTAAATTTAAATCGTCGTTTCGATTATTTTTGAGCAGTATTAGTAGCAGCATCTCGTGCGACGTATAAATCCAAGGAAAAAATCAATTCAGTAGAAATTAATTGAAAACTATGAACATATAGATTTTCATGAACTTAAAATTTGTTTTAAATGTAAATAATTTGTATAAAACGAAGCTCATTATAAGGTTTAAAATTCATACAGTGACAATTAACTAGACTTTTTTGTTCGATTAAAGTATAGTGCGTTTGATTTAAGCTGAGCTTTGCATTTATGTGAGTGCACACGGATAGTATAGGTGTGATGTCAAATTTATGAATGCAACATTCTTTTCTAGTTTTGAACCGGTTTATTCTGATTTTATTCCGCCCCGCACCTTCTTCACTTCACCTTTTGTACTGGTAGCAAAATCAAATGTTGAAAACGCAATGTCAAGTGACTAAGAATTTGTATAGTTTTTTCAAAATTTTATTCATCAATAAAAAAAATTCCATAATATTCATAATATTTCCATCTGGCCTTTACAAGTTTTGCTTATTTTATAGCACTTATATTGTGTATCTATTTAAAATATAATAAAATTTAATTCTAACAGTTTTTTGTCGAACTCTACTTTTACTTACACAAATGCAAAGCTCAGCTTAAGTCTAACGGACAATACATATTATACTGTTAATTGTATATATTGAAATTTCTTACAACTTTATTACAGACATTAATCATAAAAGTTAAAATGATAAGATCGATACTGATAATGTTCAAAGATAAAAATAAATAAAATGGGAGATAGATATTCACAAAACTTTTTGTTTATAACTGTGTCTTCAAAAGTAGGACATGTAATAAAATGTAAGAAAAAGTATAAAGGGAATGGATAAAAATAAAATTAGTATGAATCAAAAAAAAATCATTCTTACCTTACCTAAGTGACCTTAAACATTTATTTTGTTTTTTGTTTCTTTAGTGCTATTATTATTTATTTCATTTAGTGTTGTGTATATTTAGTTTGCTTGGGTGAATGTTATATGAGTTTTGTAAAGTTTAAACTAATCAGATGAATATACAATGATCTTCAATGATCTTCAATGATCCTAGTACTCGTAATTATATTATAAAAAAATGGCAACTTTTTACGTGTTCATGAATTGTTTACTTTTTTTCTTAATTATAAATAAAATGTTTACCTAAATTATAATTTTGATTTTCATAACCGATGTAAAGTATAATTTATTTAGTTATGGAAAAAACTCATTTCTATTTATAAATAATTTTATAATAATTTCGAAAATGAAAACGATTATTATAATTATTCCTTTAATTTTCATAGAATTTAAAAATAAGTTTTTGGAATTAATAAATTCATAATAAATAGTAATAAAACGAAGTTCATAAAAAATCTGATTAAAGTTTATTTATCGAATGTTAAAGATGTTATTTTATCTGTCGCAAGCAAGCGGTAGTGTATACTACAGTATAAGTGTACAAACTTAAAGCAATGTAAATTTGGTATATTTGGGCGCATTTGTAATTTAAGAGACTACATTGATTATTCTTTCGATAGATTGAGGATAACTCGGGGGACTGGCTGTATCGTGCTTGAATCGGTGAATAAGTCCGGTCGTATGAGGCGCATACGCCACGTTGTCCGTGGAACGTCTTGTGATTTCGATTAATATTGAGTACGAACTTTGTAATTGAACCTTGGTTATTGAGTTTAGTTAATTGTAGTGTGCGTTAATTCATTATTTAAATTATAACATCGATTACGTATAGACGTCAAATGTTAATTATTTTTTCCTAGCCCGTTAACGGTCCACTAAAGGCCAAGTTCCTATATTATATTCAATTTCTTAGCAAATATTTTTCTCCTTAAATACTCGTGTTAATTAGAAAATGAAATTTGCGAAAGTTAAGAGTCTTAAAAATAGTGTTAAGACAGAATATATTTATATTATAATACATATATTAATATTGAATATTATCGTATTTTATATACATAATATCTAAGGAACAAACAGCGTAGTTTATATAGCTATCGAGTTATTACGTCTAAACATGCGATGTATGAAAGGAAATGAACATAGAACAACAAAAAGAGGAAAACACACAAACGGCACGTACTCCTGTTATTAATAACCCGCCATATGTATCGGAGCTCACCATAGATAATAAATGCTCTTGTTTCTGAACGCAAATGAACACCAAAATTTTATCTTTCAATTTGACATTTCAATAATTTAAAAATGATTTATAAATTGATTATTAAATAAAACTGAGATTTTCGCATATATATTTTTTTAATATTTTCATTTCGTCTGCCCGTGATAACGGTTGCTGCAAAGAACCAAAACGTTGGGTTTATGTAGATATAAAATAATAAAAAACGTAATATATTAGAACATCTTAGTTTTATTTGAATGAAGAGTCTTAAATATTAAATATTACACATTACATTATTATTAAACTATAAAATATGTTACTTGAAAATTTTATTATAATGTAAATGGTTTTATTTCTTCTTTCGTAACTAAGTGAAATTTCCTTGGAAAACATAAGTTCACAGTGTTAAAAGGAAATAATGAAGTGAAAATGTTTTCATTATATGAAGCGTCGTGCTTAAATCTCACCGTATGTAAACACACGTTAAAAATATTACAGCAATAACACACACATTTTTCTTTTGAAGCGACGTGACGTCACAAGTCTCGGAAGCGGGACTGTAAACAAAAAGTTGTCTGCGAAAACAAAACCGGCGAACATTTATATTGGAGTTTTATATGATCACGTGTTCACGCGTTCACGGTCGATTGAACCGGGAGTGAGCCTTCCGTAGCGGCGCCGGCGAGCCTCCGTCCGGTTTGAACCGCCTTCACACCTACACTTTGCCGCCTCTATTCACTACACTACACTGTATTATATAAACTTCAAGCTAAATCTATATTGAAATTTATTTATATATTTAAACGTGGTTCCTTTAATTTGGTCGTCTTATAACAAGAACGAATAATTTGGTAGTCGGTCATTTAACGCGACATTTAATAATGCCTAGTTAATTTTTCATCGTGGGACGTAAATATTTTAGCAGACAATTATATTTTTAACAAACATTGATTGGTGAAAATAGGTCTAAATTCTAAATGTTATATATATGAAATAGAAATTATTCCGTATTCGTACAATACGATTTAACTCAACAAGA